GCAATGAAGAAGTACCCCACTGCGTACAGCATGCCAACGAACATTGTCACGGCTGTACGCCATGACTTGCCTATGACTTCAAGAACTGATAGGAAGTGAAGACAAACAAAATTGTTATACCTCTGTCTTGAATACTGTATTTTCATTGGCCTAGAATGATCATGCCTTAAGTTTATAAAAAGTTTTGGCACACTCCCTGTGGGATATCACGTGTGCTATGACTTTGTACGTACGGTGCGTACGGTGTGAAACGCTTGTATCGCTGGTACCCACGCTATTTTCACCATGCTTTCACGTATGAGTGGGAGCAGCGATCAGACGATCAGCTGTTTCGAGCAAGTGACATGCCTGTGAGTTGACGTTCAATTGTCATGATTGTCTGGTTTATACTGCTGTTTGTTTTCGTGATTTTTACATCAAAATCCAAAGATTCCAATAACAAAACAATTGTTGACTGCTGTGATGTGGGATATGACGTTTTGAACACCCGAGGGGCGCACAGAACGTCATGTCTCACATCACAGCAGTCAACAATTGTTAATTATCTCACATGTTTATCGTGAATCTATCATAAGATAATCATCAATTAAATCACAAGTAAATCACAAGGCAATCGTGTTAAATTATGACTCAATCACAAGTCTTACCTCAATCACAAGTTATTCACAATAAAAATCACAAGCAGTCATAAACGAATCTTAAGTCGATCACAAGTCAGTCACGGGTCATTCACAAGTCAGTCACGAGTCATTCACAGTGTAAATCACAAGTCAATCACAACTGTATTGCGGTTCATTTTGAGTGACTTGTGATTGACTTTGTGATGTCTTGCGATGAGCCTCGATTACAATTTGGGCACTGAAACCATGCTTTCTTACCCAAAACGTACAGGCCGACGTAGCTTGCTATGTTACCGAAACCAGAAATGAATCGGACAGCCATGTACATGTAGATGTTAACTGAAAATGTGGTAGCGAGCACGCCGGCCACCCATAAACACTGTCCAATGATTATGACCTTCTTACGACCAATCCTACCAAAGTTGAAGGAAAAATATCCAATGTTATAAATTGTCAACATTTTTAAGAGTTGTTTTCTTTTCTGCATAATTTATCACAAGGCATTCACGGGTATAATCAATTGAACACTAACAAAATAATTCCTTTGTCGCTGTTCATCAGCGCCTGTTACCTGTGATTTGACTTGTGAATTACGGCTATAACTACGGTACATCTCTGATAAGTATGATTAATTTGTTACTTCTTGCTTTCCTTGTGCTTTAAAAAGAATATATTTGTGCTTTTCCTCGAAAAACTCTAAAAGGGGTTCATGTTCACGATACAAAGTATTTCGATTCTGTAGAGTTAACTTTTGGCATTACGAAAGTAGCTATAACATACACGTTTCGATTATTGTGCCGAGTTGGCAATTTGTTGCAAGCATTTAAGTGCATGACCTTTTTCTTATTCCCATGTCAAATTCTTGTTGTACAAAAAGAATACTTAGTCAACTGTAATATTGTAAAATGTCTTGTTTAGACCTACCAGTCAGAGAAGGAGCCGCCAACGAAGGAGCCCACTAACAACCCGGAAAAGTAAATGGTCTGCGCCAGACTAGGCAGGCTTCCTTGGTCACACACCAGACCAAACTTGAAATCAAGAGAAAAAGGTCAAAGAACACAACAACTTATAAAACCTTGTATTTCACCTTGTAATTCGTGTTTTATTACAATACCTTCATCTTATATTCTATCGGTTATGACAGTTCACATACTGGTTCAAACTGAAATTTCAAAATGTTTCTAATGTTCAAAGCATAGATACACGTACACTACGCCTTTCACATTACATCACAGTACTTGATAAGGCTCAGAAGGATTTTGGGATTTGAAAAATACACTAGTCAAACCAAATTTATACCAAATTTCGGGATCTGGTTACCTCTGAAATGGTGGTGGTCTTGTACTGTGACGTGTCGAACTCCCATCCATTTTTGCAGAGCACATCCACGTAGGTGAAACCGTCGTAGTCACTGAGCGGTACGTACGGATCAAATACGTACCCATCTGGTAGCTGCCACTGCTTACAATTGGAGTAAGGATACTCGCTGTCGGAACCATTTTCAGGAGGAGGCAGGAAGATGGACTTCTTCACGTCAGTGCAGTTGTCTTGAAACTCCGCCCAGTTGGAACAATTCTCATTGGGCAAAACGTTGCACCAATGGTCGGTCTCCGCCGCGTAGAACACATTACCCAGAGATGTGAAGCAACCAACGATATTGTTTAGACCCAGGTAGCATATCAGGACGAACTGGTAGAAGCCAAAATTACCGAGAAGCGGAATGATGTCATCCACTTTCATCGTGTTTTAGTGGACAACAAAGTTTCCGACTGAAGTCTCAACAGTTGTATGAAGTTTCTGTCACGGTTACAAGGGATTTTTCACGGGGGGAGGGGATGCTGGTACGTGTGTGGTGGTAGAGCGGACGAGTTACTCATTAATCCAGCGTGTAAATAGGGCGCTATCACAGCCTTTGATTCCCGCCAAGGAAAACTGACGAAACAAAACCGGTCGAGTGTTTCATATATAACACAACAAAGGGCTATATCTGATTGTCATGAGGTCATGTCTTTATGGCACTAAGAAAATGGCGTATTGGGTCGTGTGGATATTACCATGCAAATCGACACACAGACTGAAAGTTGAAAATTGGAGAAAAAAAATAATCTTGCTTGAAATCGTGCTTGTTATTGAGGGTCGAATTGAAGCCTAGGGTTTATATGAGCGATCAAATCTTGGTCAAACCTTTTCATGTTTTTCGTCAATAGTAATTCTAAAGTTCATGTTGATGTTGCCCACCCAGTTCACGCGTTATCCATGAACCTTAATTTCATTTTTGACTTAATCTTATTTATTTTGTCTCTTGAAAAACCAAAAATGTAGCTTGAAGATGTCATTCAGAGGAGAACCCATGAATTTCAAAGGGGGGTGGGGGTGCGGGAGGGGATGCTAAGTTGTTGAGGTCAATGGTCAGCTAAACCTTTTTTCATATGTTGGTGCATGTGTTGGGTACAAGAGACAAGTTAACCATTAACCCAGTGTGAAAATAGGGCGCCATCACAGACTTTGCAGTTTGATTCCATGGAGAACTGACATGAACAATAAATCAGAAACCCTTTACATCTATACAAACGATCGAGGATGATACGTCGATAAGAGAAAAAGACACCAGTCTAGTATTTCGAAGCACTTAGGGCAATTGTGATTAACCTCAGTTTATTTTTTACCGCTCCAATTTAGTTCTTATCAGATTGAATGACATCTAAATTGGAAGGACTATTGAGAATGTAAGATAACATGAAATTATGTATCATAATCATTGCATAATCATGGCATAATAGCGGCATAATAATTCTCTGTCCTGTCGCATGCCATTGTAGTTGTAGAATTGTTCATACATCAGCAAAAATATCAGCACATGTTTTTTTTTTCTCTTCAATACATCCATTATAATCTCATCATTAATAGAAGAATGGTCACATCAACCTTTCTAAAAGAAGAACAGGAACTCGAATCCCGCCGTTCATAGTGTTTTTCTTTACAGTAAACCAACATTTGAAGGGGTAAAAAACCCAGTTCTTTATATTGCTTTGTGAGTTTGCTTTTTAAGATAAAAATGAAGGGTGCCTCACGATGGCCTATGGGCAGACTTAACTAAACAAAGACATTACTTCTAGATACCTCGGAAATAATCATAATGTTTCGTCAATTGTAATTCTAAAGTTCATTTTAAATTACCAACAACCTACATTGTGTACCTATCAGCCTATCAGGGCCCGTTGTCAAAAACTTGAAACCCAAAGCTGACACGTGCTTCATCGTGTGAGTGTTCTATGTCCGAGTAGGAGTGGCGTTTCGAAATATGCGAATTGGAGTTTTGTCTAACCAAAAAGTATATTCGGAATTGTTCACCCGCGATATTTTGAAACGTCAAAGTTACTTAATTACTTAAAAGTGAAAACATCAAATAACAAAGCCATCATATATAAAACTAAGATCATTTTTTTTCTAACAGAAAAATAAACGATGGCTGTTGTTAACTACAGCCAATACTGAAAAAAAGAATACTCTTTGGTCTGGGAGATTACAGTGATATAGATGTCTAATTGTAATATATGGCAACATCGTACATCCTATAAAACAGGCAAAGCTTATAGGCCTATAGCATTGTTTCCTTGGATTGATAGTCAAAATGTATTTTACTTCAACAATAAATGTGACCAATACTGTTGGGCATACAAACGAAATAGACTATAAGGCCCCAGTATCTACAAAATGTACATGTATATTTGCAATCAATGAAAACGAAAAGCTAAAGAATGAAGTTTAAAAACAGCTAAAATACCGTTTCATTCTTTAAGGTTCCATAACTGTGCAAATTTCCACTTTTTCAAATGAATATGTCGCGTTATGGAAACATATTCTTCACCTACTGTTTAAGCAGCCGTGTGTCTAAAAGGTATGGAGTGCATCATTATAAAATCCTATTTTGTAAAGAATCAAATTTAGTAAAAATAAAAAGCATTAATAACCTTCAGTATAATGTGATAAGATCAATACCAACTCAGGTCCGCCCCATTAACTTGAATTAACATTGAACTTGGTTATTATAAACGTTATACATATTAACGCCATGGTCCAGTGGTTACGGTGTTTGACTCATGTACGAAGGTGCGCGGGTTCAAACCCGCCCAGGAACATGGTGTTTGTGCCCTTGGGCAAGACACTTAACTACAATTGCCTCTCTCCACCCAGGAGTATTAATGGGTACCTGTGAGGGTCAAGGACCGATTGAGCGCTGATATCGGCTGCCGCGTGGTCCCATGGCCTGATGAACGGGGTAATAATCGTAAAGCGCTTTGAGATCGTTGATACGATGGAAAGCGTTATATAAGCACATTTATTATTATTATTATTATATTGATTTTTGTATCACTGCCATATACACAGTACAAAATGAATGTGTATTACTAACCAGTTGCTCATTTCAAATAGGAGGATATACAAATGGTTGTGTATGTATGAATTGTCTGTGTTCAAGAGTTGATTACATATCGTGTGCAAAGTGGGCAACTCGCCCGCGAAGCCTCGTTTTTGGCTACAATGTAAAGTCCAAATTTTCGTGACACAACAAGTGCTGACTTTCGGCACTCCTTCGAAAACTGTGGACAATTAAGTTTTGTCTTGTTGAAAGTGTCCATCAAAATGATGCATATGCTGGGTTTATTGTGTCAAGGATAGCGCATTTGCAGATGAAAATAACATAAAAATGTGTATCGTGTACATCTCCTGTTCTACATATGCGAGCTGTCTCGAAGGTCTTTGGTGAATTGCTGCGAGAAGTCGCGATATTCCTTCTTCTCGTCCTTTTTATCGAAGGCGGCGTTGGAAATCGCAAAGACGCCCTCTGTGGCTGCGTCCATGTCGTCAAGTTCCACGTCAGACTCGTCATAGACGTTCTCGCCACCCATGCATCGACATCTGAGAATAAGAAAATTGAATGGAATTTTGAAATTTACGTCAAGCAACTGAATCATTATGAAACCAATGTTATTGTGGTAGAGCTAAACTTAGTGAAAACGGGGGGGGGGGGGCCTCTGTGAACTCTTGGTCTGGAGCATTGAATTTAAGATTTGTGGTCAATTCTGGAGTGTGTGCAATGTGTTGGTTGGAGTTTAGCCTATGGGTTGCGTTGTTCTTGTGCAAAATACTTTGTCACATGAGTAATTAACGGTTAACCTGTGAGGGTAGATTTGGTTTAGTACTGTTATCGAATTTTGTTGCTTTTGAATGAAATGGCGCTATATACTCCTAAATGGTCTTCAGAATGTTATATGGAACAAACTGAGCAGGGGCAATATTTGTCGTGATCATCTTGCTTTCCAATTTCTTCCCCTTCCTTCAACGTCTGAGGTAACTTCTGGCCGCGTGTTTCCGGCAGGAAGAATACCAGAACGCCGGCCACAAGCGCACTTGCACCGAATAGAATCAAGGGGAGTGCCTCAATGGTGGTGTCTCCAAGTAGCAGGATGATGGGTGAGAGCATCGAGCCGACTCGAGCCGCAAAGGAACAAAGTCCTACTCCTACACCTCTGTCAATTAAAGGAAGGCATATGCCAGAATCAAAATGTATACATTATTGAAATGCAGTAATTGAATGAATTATTGAATGTGTGTATTAGTGAATATCAACAAGAAAAACAACAACCACAACATTTTCCAAAACCACAACATCCTCCACAACTACATCCTCCATAACCACCACATCTACCACAACCACCACATCCACAACAACCACCACATCCACAACAACCACCACATCATCCAAGAAAAACAACAACCACAACATTCTCCACAACCACAACATCCTCCACAACTACATCCTCCATAACCACCACATCTACCACAACCACCACATCCACAACAACCACCACATCATCCAAGAAAAACAACAACCACAACATTCTCCAAAACCACAACATCCTCCACAACTACATCCTCCATAACCACCACATCTACCACAACCACCACATTAACCACGACCATCACATCCACAACAACCACCGCATCATCCAAGAAAAACAACAACCACAACATTCTCCACAACCACAACATCCTCCACAGCTACATCCTCCATAACCACCACATCTACCACAACCACCACATTAACAACGACCATCACATCCACAACAACCACCACATCATCCAAAACCACCACCCTCAACACCACCATGTAACTATTACACATTAGTAAGAATAACCGTCCTATTTAAATAATCGCTGATGGCAAATAAGTCTTCTATTAAAGATAATTTGTCATTCAGAAATGACTAAACAGAGTTACTCATTGTTACAAAGAGGCAGCAACAGCATCAACAACAACAGCAACAGCGACAACGGCAACAACGGCAACAACAGCAACAGCAACAGCAACAACAGCAGCAGCAGCAGCAACAACAACAACAACAACAACAACAATAACAATAACAAGATCAACAACATGCAGCAACGACAGCAACAACAGCAACAACAACAACAACAGCAACAACAGCAACAACAACAGCAACAACAACAGCAGCAACAGCAACGACAGCAGCGATAGCAACAACAACAACAACAACAACAACAACAACACCGGAGGAAACATACTCGAAACAATATGAAGGGGACATCATGCACAATACCATCAATTTCGGATTCCCAAAATTCCCAAAATCTCGAAACCTGGATTGTTAACGCATCACACTATAGTCTTATCAACGCTCGTATGTTTTGAACTGGTCGGGAATTTATGTCATAACCACAACATGTTTCACTGACCCAAAACTACCAAAACTTTACCTGATTGGTGTTGGGAACAGCTCGGTAGAGTAGAGATATATGATGCTATATGAGGTAGAGATGCACAACTTGCCTATCATGGCGACCACGGTCCGCCAGACACCAGCGGCTGAGAGGAAGACAGATGGGGAAACACGTTTGTATATTCTATGTAAGCACCGGAGACTAAATGTTAAGGTATGTGTTGCACAAGTGGCGGAACATTTCCTTTGCTGGTCTCACGTTGTAGGCCTATTAAATAACATTTTGATATAAAAAATTAATTTTTTAAAAAGTTGTGCGACGGTACCGACATTGTCAGTATAATTTTAAAATATTTTTAAGAACTCCGTCATTTTTTCGTCCAAAAAATTCATACTCCGCAAGTGCCCCATTAATCCTGGTTAAACGTTTGACCCAGAATTTCTGAGGCAAAGATCCGTCCCAGGCCAACTCCCTTATGATTTATATTGTCTCGTATAGTATTTCAATTGGATTGTCTTGTAAGTATAGCTGCTGTTATCACAAAGGCCATCAATCATCCTTTTACTAGGTACCGGTACAGTCGTGAAGCCTAGACACAGGTGATCCTCAGCCTCTTTTTAGCTACATGTATAAACATGTAGCTCAGGCTGTTGTGTTGGGGGGGGGGTGGGATGGCAAGGGAAACATCAGGGAGATGAAAATTTCACTTTTTTGCACGGGTACTGACCAAACACATAGTAATCCAGGCATGCAAACACTTTGTTTTAGCTTGAAATTGTTTTCTTGAGTAAATATGGCCTCTATCCATCTATTGAGACACTAAAGAGAAGGGATTATGTTCACCAAAACACCTTCTGAAGGGATTGTGTTAGACCGTAACACCCATGCACCATTGCACTAAAAAGTTATACTGTGGTGGATTGCAACTAAAATAAAACGATATCGCCTCGCAGGGTTAAAGTGCAAGTACGAATGGGAAGGTCGTTTCTGCTGAATAGCAGTCAATAGACTTTGGTTTATAACCATTGAGTTAAGGTCTTTATCAGATATAAGTTCTGGATATTACTCAGTAACAAAGAAAATAAAAGTATTGTTCAAACTATTTCATATGTAAGGATGGCGAGAGAATATGGTATTGGTAACACTCACGGATGAAGATAGTGGCTAAACACGCTGCGCCGCCAATCAACTCCAATATGCCGGTGTTCAGTTTCCGGCCGAACCACTCCACTCCAAAAGCGGCGTACAGCAGGGCCGGGATTTCCACGGCTCCCGACACGAAGAAGGCCCAGTAGTCGTCGACTCCTAGATCGTTAGTGCTCTGCGAAAGGCCGAAGTAGACCAGACTGTTGACAAACCTACGAGAAACAGAACACAACATTGTGAAGGACACTTTTTTTTTTTAATATTGACCATTTCATTCCGATTGGTTAATACACTTCTGTGTACACGATAAAGATTTTAATTCCACGTTTACGAAACGTGATAGTGACATAATCGTGTTGACAAAATTACTCCTAACTGCCATTTTGAATAAATGCGTGGCTGCAAAGATAATCTTAATTTTGTATTTGACATCTGCATATCATTTAAAGAACTTTAAAAGGGGAGGGGCCATTATTCTCGGTTTTTTTTTCTCTTCATTTTGGCGGGTACATACAGAAGCCGCACCCTCTTTCAATTAATTAAGGCAACGTAAAAAAAAAATAGAGGTCTATGTCTGTTTGCAACATTTCTCCCTTTTGGGTTTCTTCAGGCATGTGATCATTTTCAGAATCCTTATAGCGCACAGTAAGAATTGCATAATACATACCAGTTATACTGCATGTTGAGTGTCTTAACCGCCATGTTAGGCGTTTTATAGAGATTAATTGCAGATGGAGGGATTGCCGACTCCTTCGCTTCCTGGGTCGAAAAACAGACAACAAAATTGGATTCAATCTAACTTCATCTTTAATTGTTGCAACTGATGTTCTCTTTTACTGAACGGAAGGACGATACTGACAATACAGAGAAAAATGACCGAGATTCATAATTGTGTTCATCAGTTTCATATTCATGTTTTTCTACGATAAGCCTCTCCAAACGTTTGTCTCCTGGCTGACGTTTAAGATTGTACGTATATTAAACATTTAACTATGGTTCACAATTACCATTTCTTCCACGATATCCTCTTTCTCGAATAAGACATCAGGCAAAGTCTTCTTGTTGTACTTTGCAATTCTCCTGATGACTGATTCAGCTTCATCAACCCTGCCCTTAGAAACCAACCATCTAATCGATTCTTGTAGGAAACTACACGGGGAAGAAGTATCTAAAACTGAATAGAGTATTACAGAAGATAAAGTAATCCATATTGCTGGCATTTTTATTAAAAGCCGGATAATTCATGGGATTTGGACTCAGCAGTCACGTGCTCTTACGTCACACTGCATTTGTTCTAGTTTTACTTCTTGAATCTGTTTGAGTATCTGCTGGACCCTAGGTCCACTGTTCTCTGACTGGCTGAATGAGTCACTCGCTGACTTTGAGTCACTGACTGACTTTGAGTCGCTGAGTATGAAAAATGTCCTTAACTGAGACTTTCGGTTCCAGCCCCACTCGGCTTACCTATATAGGCCCTAGACTTGTTCATCTCCTCGTCTTTTTCAGGCGATTTTTTTTTTACAAGTTGCGTCCCTGACAAAAAAATCCTCCATGTATATTTGACTTTGCATTATTGCCTTTTGTAAAAAAAAAAACCCCAAAAACCCACATGCACACGCATCTTTGCAAACACCGGGAATCATGGTCCCCAATTGTCCCTAATCCACATTCCTTTGTTTGTACACTAACTTTTTAGCAACAGCTCTTATTGGTTTTGTACACGAATTTCAATCATGGACTATCGGTCAATCGTGGACCCTTTGTTTATGCCCTAACCCTTTTGTCCCTAGTACACGATTTTGCCAGTGTTTACATACTCACACTCGCACATGTGTATTTACCAGCAGTTGGGGACCCCCTATTGTCCATCTTTTGTCTGTACTCTTTAGGAGAACTCCCATATGTTTTGTTCACAATCGCAAAACTGGGGACCTTCGGGAATTGGGGACCCTATTGTCCTCTATTGTTCAACGTCCCCTATTGAATGCATAAACAATCTCACACACGTCACACACCCAAAAGAAATACTTACAACAGCGGGATGAGCATAACCACTGACGTCACACTGAGATACAACGACAAAGGGCGCCACTGTCTGACGAACATGGCTGCAGTGGCTATAAAGAAGTACCCCAATGAGTACATCATGCCCGAGAACATTGTCACGGCTGTACGCCAGGACTTGCCTATGACTTCAAGAGCTGATAGAAAGGGAAGAAACACAAAAATGCATCGATAATATTGGATGATATCACAGGTATAAATCCAAAATCTATCAAAGATAATCATCAACCAAATCACAAGTGAATAGTCAAATTACTACTCCTTACGCCAGTCACAAGTTTAATTATCACGATAAAAATAACAAGCAGTCTAAATCAATCTTAAGTTGATCACAAGTTGATCACAAGACGTTCATAATGTAAGTCACATCACAACTATTTTGCAGTTCATTTTGAATGACTTGTGTTTGACTTAATTTGCGATATGACTCGCGAAGGGCTTCGATTGCAATTTGGTAAACGAAACCATGCTTTCTTACCCAAAATGTAGAGGCCGACATAGCCTGTTACGCTACCGAAACCAGTAATAAATCGGACGGCCATGTACATGTAGATGTTGACTGAAAATGTGGTAGCGAGCACGCCGGCCACCCATAAACACTGTCCAATGATAACGACCTTCTTACGACCAATCCTACAAAAGGGAAAATATCCAATGTTACTCTGTCAACCTCCGTAAGAAATGTTGCCTATTCTGCATAATTTATCTCAAGCAGAGTTCACAAGATTTTATTGAACTGTACATGTATAACAAATGCATTCATTTGAAGTGTTCATCAACTGTTAGGTGTGATTTGACTTGTGAATTACGGCTGACTACATCTCTCGTAACCATGATTATGAGTTTGTGACTTCTTGCTTTCCTATGCTTTAAACAAAAACCATTTATTTATGCTTACTTTGTGGCAATACGGAAGTATAGCTATAACATACTCGGACGGAGGTCTAGCTATATTACCGAAGTAGAGCTATAAGAGACTCGTTTAGATTATTGTGCCGAGTTGACGATTTGTTAATCGCAAAATATTTATTTAAATGCATGGGCGTTTTTATATTCCCATGTCGAATTCTTGCCGTGCCAAAAGAATCCCTAATTAACCGACTGTGGTATTGTACAAATTCTTGATTGGACCTACCAGTCAGAAAAGGAGCCACCAACTAAGGATCCCACTAACCACCCGGAAAAGTAAATTGTCTGCGCCAGACTAGGCAGACTGCCTTGATCACACACCAGACCGAACTTGAAATCAAGAGAAAAAGGGTAAATTAACAAACAAAAATTTACCTTATTTGTTCACATTGTAGTTCGTGTTTTAACACAATACCTTTATGTTGTTTCCTATCGGTTCACCTACTGGTGCAAACGTACATTTTAACCTGTCTCTATTGTCCATAATAAGGCTCAGAAGGCCGGGGTTTGGGTATATTTATACCAAACCTTTGGAATCTGGTACCTCAGTAATAGTGGTGGTCATGTACTGTGACGTGTCGAACTCCCATCCATCTTGACAGGGCACCTCCACGTAAGTGAAACCGTCGTAGTCACTGAGCGGTACGTACGGATCAAACACGTACCCATCTGGTAGCTGCCACTGCTTACAGTTGGAGTAAGGATAGTTGCTGTTGGAACCACTTTCAGGAGGAGGCAGGAAGATGGACTTCTTCACGTCAGTGCAGTTGTCTTGAAACTCCGCCCAGTTGGAGCAATTCTCGCTGGGCAAAACCTTGCACCAGTGATCGGTCTCCGCGGCGTAGAACACATTACCCAGCGATGTGAAGCATGAAATGATATCGGTAAGACAAAGGAAGCATATCAGGACGAACTGGTAGAAGCCAAAGTTGCCTAGAAGCGGAATGATTTCATCCACCTTCATCGTGTTTTAGTGGACAACAAAATTCAAGGATTCCGACTGAGTTTAACAATTGTAAATAGTTTCTGAAACGATTGCAAGGGCGCAATCTCAACAGGTGTATATATTTTCTGATACCGTCACATGGGATTTTTCAGAGGGGGAGGGGATGCTGAGGTTCTGCGGTCCGGGCTGTGCTCAACTTTTTTCAGGTGCTGGTACGTGTGTTGTGGTACAGCAGATGATCTTATTAACCTAGTGTGTAAATATGGAGCCATCGCGGACTTTACCTTTGATTTCGAAACTGATTAAAGACCGAAATTGGTTAAAGACCGCTCGGAGTGTCTGTTAGATGTTTCTGCTAGTCACGAGGTCATGTATTTATAGAATGGAGTATGTCATGTGGATATGTCCATGCAGATCAACATAGAGAATGAAAGTTGAACAATTGAAGTTGACAAATTCCTCTAGACATAATTTATTTTTTTTACCGTTTCGCAAGACATCCTGTGCAAAACTAAGATCAACCTTTAACAATGAATGCTCGAATTCAAATGATATATACATGTACACAATTTCTTATTGAAAAATAAACAGTGCATGTTGATATACCCATAACGAATACTGGAAAGAATACACTCCGGTCCGAGATGTACAACAATAAATGAATAGCCTAATCGTAACTATGGAAACAAGCAACATCCTGAAACATACAAAGCTTACATTGCAATATTTCCCTGAAGTGAAGAGCAAAAATGCATTACGTAAACAGTTATGGCCAATACTTTTGGGCATACTAAAGAAATACAGACTGAGTCAAAAAGAGCGAAACCCAAATGTCGGGACTATTGTTTTAGTGAAGTTCTGCATGTAGCACTTTCTAAATCTAGGATATGTAAGCCTAATTCATAAACTTTGTTTAGTACAACCATCATTTAAATCACTTAAATACTTTTCAACATACGGAATTTCAAACACAACCACCTTCCTAAAGTTCTGTCCACGGATTACAAAAAAAGGTGTGCGTTCTTTCAGCAAAACGAAAACAATTCACGCACATCCCCTACGTGATTTGTTTTTGATAAATTGCTGAAAGAACGTTCTTGTGATACGTGGACAGAACTTTAAAATGGTGGTTGTGTTTAAAATTCCGTAACTTGAAAAGTACATGAGTGATTTGAATTCTTGAACTAAAAGAAAGCTTATCAACTAAGCTTTCATATCCGAGATTTTAAAAGTGCTAAATGCAGAACTTCACTAAAGCAATAGTCCCAACATTTGGGTTTCGTTTTGTTTTACTCACCCTGTAGACTAAAAGGTCCCATTTTCTATATTTGAAGAGCTTATTTTCAAAACGAGGCACATCCATTAGAAAAAGGCGAACACATTTGGACGGTTATGAAACTTTAAAGACTGAAAAAAAGTATAACAGCTGTTTCATAACCTCATTTTCTGCTTTATTGAATTCTTAAGTTGTGTTTAAGCACGTAACAGCCGTCGGATTATGGGCAGCCAGGAGAGAGCAGGATTCTTAAAGGGAACAAAATAATGAAGTATCTCTTGTTTTGGAAATAAACAGTATAAACTCTTGTGGCTTAACTTGGTAAATATCAAATTGGTGAAAATCAAAGCCTTGTTTAGCCTTGAGTAAAATATAATATAATATAATATTATTAAAGAAGGTCTATACCAACTCACGACCGCCTCTAGAACGGCCATATTAAAGGGCTCATGAAGTGAATATTTCTTAGGAACATATTTGGTGCTACTTTCTAATCCTCTTAAGTGTATGTGAAAACTAATTGATACTCCCTTTTGGTTAATTTTGTTGAAAGGTGCACTTCTTTAAACATTTAAAATTGTCCATGCTTTCCGGACGACTGAGTGCGCTGCTGTCGTGATGTCATTTCAGGAGACACTGTTCATATTAGGTGTTTTTCTATTGAAATAGTGAACCCCAAAAAATGCTCAATGAAAACATTTGTGAGAAAAGTGTACTCATAATTGGCTTACTGCCATTGTCAAGTCATGAAGAAAAGAAAGTTTACGACAGCGATCGAAATATCAAACAAATTTGCAACTTTTTGTGCATAAACTAATTGCAGCAATGAGGTTTCTGCCTGGTATGACATCACATTTTTGCTCATGAATATGGAAATTCGCATTAGCATAAAAACCAAAAAGGCACCAAAATACCCTTGAAAATGGCAAAATGAAAAGTAAAAATAAGGTTAAATGGACACAAAGGTGCATTTTCAAGGACATTTCATGGCCCTTTAAACCCAAATTGTTACCTTGATAACGGTTATTACAGCGAATACACAACCTATTGGTTTTTGTATCACCGCGGCTATCAAGCGCAAATCAGGCTGTTTTTGTGTGATTTCGTTATCCTTCTCGTCTGAGGACTTGGAACAAAGGGTTACCTGCGATAACAATATCAACGAGGACCTGAGCCAAGTCCTCGTGAGGTTTTCGTGTACAAAGCTTATGGGATATGTTTAGAAAAAGTCAAAACAATAGGAGTAAAAGAAGTAAAACACGACTGTGTGTGTTTTCGGGGAGTGTTCACAAGTTGGTCGCGTGGCCCGCGAAGCGAGGCTGGGCCTTGTTTGGCTATATACGGCCGAATTTTCTTAATAACCCTGCGCAGAGTGACCTCCGTACATTTTGTACGGAGGTGACCGAATTTTTCGAGAAAAAAAAAACTTTAGTGCCAGTGACGTTCACCTTCCATCTAATCCCCATTCAACCCTTGCCAAATCAGCTGGTCAATGAACTTTGCAGCCCGGGCTTCACCCTAGCCGTAAAAAAATTCTCTCACCAGGCCTCCTGCCAAGTCAACCTTGAAGCATATGGTAAACATCCGTCACTCGTCACCTGTGACCAGACTCATCTCCCCTCATAGCCAGAAACCGCAGACACTACTCAATTATCTTTTAAGTGCCCTGTCTGGCAATTGCCTGCAGAGGGTCTGGCACATGTTTTTGTGTTGTTTGGACATGGATAGGGTCTCGGGAAGTACCTGCGTACAAAGTGTACGCAGGTGGCTCCTTCGAATACACATTTCTTGTAAACGCTGCGCAGGGTTAACACAACCAATGCCGTCTATCAGCACGCCTTCGATAATATTGTGGATTAATTTATCAATTAAGGTTGTAACATCAAACTACAGTGTTTACGATTAAATGTTAGCTAATATACGATACATTTCTTTTTATTGGAATTAAGATTATGTCCATAAAAATGATGCTATGCTCTGTTTGTCAATGGGACAATACATGAGTAGACGAAAAACAAGATAAACGATTTTTCGGATACTTTTTTTCCGTCTACAGATGCGAACTTTCTTGAAGCTTTTTGGTAAATTGCTGAGAGAAGTCGCGATATTCAACCTTCTCGTTGTTGTTCTCGTGATCGAAGGCGGCGTTGGATATCGCAAAGACGCCCTCTGTGGCCGTGTCCCCGTCATCAAGTTCTACGTCAGACTCGTCATAGATGTTTCTGTCACCCATGCATCGACATCTGAGATGAAATTGAATGGAATTTAGAAATTTACGTCAAGCAACTGAATCATTATGAAACCATTGTTATTGTGGTAGAGCTAAACTTAGTAGTGAAAACGTGGATGGTTCACTCATGGAGGAATAAGAACACACTCTTGGTCTGGAGCATTGAATTTAAGACCCGAGGTCAATTCTGCAGTGTGTTGGTTGGAGTTTAGCCAATTGGTTGCGTTGTCCTTGATCAAAATACTTTGTCACAGTAGAAAACAGTTAATCCTAAACCTGTGAAGGTAGATTTGGTTAATGAGTGGAATGGCAGCATCGCGCTATACACTTCTATTTGGTCTTCAAGGATGTTATATGAAACAAACTGAGCAGGGGCAATATTTGTCGTGATCATCTTACTTTCCAATTTCTTCCCCTTCCTTTAACGTCTGAGGTAACTTCTGGCCGCGTGTTTCCGGCAGGAAGAATGCCAGAACGCCGGCCAAAAGCGCACTGGCGCCGAATAGAATCAAGGGGATTGCCTCGATGGTGGTGTCTCCAAGTCGCAGGATAATGGGAGAGAGAATCCCACCTACTCGAGCCGCTACAGAACAAAGTCCCAATCCAACGGCTCTGTTAAAGGAAGGCATATTTAGATAAGCATTATGTAGAAATCATTGTGAATTGAACCACCACCACCACCGCCGCCACAGCAGCACTATCAGTAGCAGGGTTCGACCTTAACTTTTTTGTTCACTAGCCAGCCGGGCTACTGAAACAGCCTCTTAACTAGCTCGCGGGCATTTTCACTAACCCGCATTTGTTTAAAGCTTAAATACAAAATGACGCATTTTCAGGCTCAATTCTGAGGGAATTTTGTCAGTGTTTTTAATAAACAGATCTAATAATTTAACCTTTTAAAACTGAGTTGAAAAGACTGGACACAAATTGAGGAGGTTTATTTCCTGAATTTCATGATTTCTGTCCTTTCATCTGTGCCGTATCCCAATAATTTTTGACTCGCCAGCCGGGCTATTTAAGGAATAGTTTGACTAGCCCACCGTTGTTTTGACTAGCATTTGGCTAGCGCTACCGCTAATTTCGAACCCTGCAGTAGCAGCAACACCAGCACCAGCAGTAATAGCAATAGCAGCAGCAACAGCAGCAGCAATAGCAGCAGCACATCAGCAAAGGCAACTGGATAAAAAAGTTCAGGGCCAGTGGGATGAGCAGGGAACCTGACATGATAATTATTCAGCCACGTTTTATATTCTCACATTTGGAATCCTCACTGGAGCAAACATACTCGAACAAACATCGCACAGCTTAGAAACAAAATGGCTGGTATCGTTCATTAATGTACATTGTTATGATGCACATCCTATTTTCTGACCACCAAAGAACGGGCTATTGTCCAAAACTGGAATTGAATGCACATAAGAGTGTATTACTGGTGGTGTAAAACACTTTGACTATGTATTGTCTTCTAACAATGTTCTTACTCGTCGGGGATTAAGTACGCATTGACGCGCTCAGGTGACCATCACTCCACCTAGCCCCATAAATGTGGCCTATTTACTGGACTGCCTCCGTAAACATAGGCCACACATCCACATGTACAAAAATCGTGTCGACGGAGCCAAATTTTGATTTTCACATTTAGGCTTAGTTTGTAGGTTTTTTTTGCTTTAGAAGCATACTCACCCTCTTTACAGGCTAATCAGAAAGTGCTGCCTTTTTCAGATGTCTAATTTTTGTGAAATTTCATGTTGAAATTTTGATACGCAAACGTGTAAAAATGAATCTGGAAATTTCACGAAAAATATACATCTGAAAAAGGCAGCACTTTCTGATTAGCCTATAAAGAGGGTGAGTATGCTTCTAAAGCAAAAAAAACCTACAAACTAAGCCTAAATGTGAAAATCAAAATTTGGCTCCGTCGACACGATTTTTGTACATGTGGATGTGTGGCCTATGTTTACGGAGGCAGTCCAGTAAATAGGCCACATTTATGGGGCTACACTCCACCCTACAATAAAGGGCCGGATTATTACCTGATTGGTGTTGGGAACAGCTCGGTAGAGTAGAGATATATGATACTGAATGTGGCAGAGATGCAGAACTTGCCGACCATGGCGACGACTGTCCGCCAGATACCAGCCGCTGAAGAGACAAAGGGAGAAAAAAACCCGCATTTGTAGATATTCAAGAACCGAGGAGCAGATGTAAGGTGAGTGTTAAGGCTCAACGTGGTTTTCTAAATATTATGTTCAGCCTAGAATGCACAAGTGGCACACAATGTCCCTCACTGTGACTATATTACTTTTGTTCTTTGGATAAGAAGATATACCGGTAACTTTAAAAAAAGGAATGATGTTATTAATACGAAATTGGAAAACAACCTGATGAACTGTACACTTTTTATAGTGCAAGTATGCATGTACAATGTAGTATCTCGGGAATAAAATACAAAGTGTAGGTGCATTTCTGCTCACTATAGCAATCGATAGGCACGGTGAGATATTTTTAAAATAGTATTCCAATATACTATTTTATATATATTCATCAAATATTAATTATTGGTTTTGCACACTAACAAATAAAAGGGTGTATATTCAAGATACAGATTTTATAAATAATGATTGCGAGGTACTGGTAACACTCACGGATGAAGATAGTGGCTAAGCACGCTGCGCCGCCAATCAACTCCAATATGCCGGTGTTCAGTTTCCGGCCGAACCACTCCACTCCAAAAGTGGCGTACAGCAGGGCCGGGATTTCTACGGCTCCCGACACGAAGAAAGCCCAGTAGTCGTCGACTCCTAGATCGTTCGTGCTCTGAGACAAGCCGAAGTAAACCAGACTATTGACAAACCTACGAGAGAGTGTACAACATGGGAGAGCAAAATGATTGACCATTCATTCAAAATGGTTATTGAAACTTCTGCATTACATGATAACATGTGTAAACATAATGGTGACATAATATCAATTTTGAATCTCAAATCTTGTGGTGCTGATAGAGTTTTAACTAGACAGTGAGCTTTCTGCCAGATATTACATCACATTTTGCTCATGAATATGGAAATTGCATTAGCATAATAATATAAAAAGACACAAAAATGCCCTAAATATGAAAATGTTAATTGAAAAAGAGCTGAAATTGGACACAAAGGTGCACTTTCAAGAAAAAAATTAAAAAAGTGCACTACATTGGCCTTTTAAGTAATAAATACCAGTTCCACTGCATGTTGAGAGTCTTGACCGCCATGTTAGGTGTTTTATACAGGTTAATGACAGATGGGGGGATCGCTGACTTCTTCGCTTCCTAAGAAAAATACCAGAAGAAAACAAAATCTGATTCGGTCTTTTAAAATTGTCCACTCTCCCCCCCCCCTTTTTCTCTCAGTCTCCTCTCACCATGATTGTGTTGTCAATCTTTATTTGTAGCATGATCTCGTTTACTGAATGAAGAACGAATGTATGTACTGTCTGAGTACACTACAGAAAAAAAATCCTCAGGATTCACAATTGTATTCATCACGTTCATTCTTATATTTTTTTTCCACAGCCACTTTAAAGGGAATATACATCATTTGCTTTTGCTGTAATTTTCAGAAATGGATGGAATTAGGGGTTTGGAAATATAAAGCAAATATAGCTACACTGAATTTTTGGAGGTTTTGGGTCGAAAATGCTATAAAAACCAAGAAAAACGATCATTTTCCTGTAGTCTGGTTCCCTGACTCCATATAAGAAGAAACAGAGCAGTTTACATACATTGGGGAATTGTAAGGTCAGGGAACCAGTCTAGCTGGCTTGTACCCATTCATAGGTGTGTAATTAATTGCAAACAAGTGCGATGGTCAATTGGGGCCAGTATTGATACAAAAATAACACTTTTCTTGAAAATGACAGTATACCAGGTGCCATAATTTTACAGGATGCTTTAGACTGTCATTTACCAACATCCTATTAAGGTATTTCGCAAAAACTTGGTAGCTTTATTTTTCGATGTTTGCAAATGTTGTATATTCCCTTTAAACGTCTGTCTTCTGGCAGACGTTTTAAGATTGTACGTAAACATTTAACTATTGTGGTCCAAATTACCATTTCCATCAAGATATCCTCTTTATCGAATAAGACATCGGGCAAAGTCTTCTTGTTGAACTTTGCAATTCTCCTGGTGACTTTCTCAGCTTCATCGATCTTGCCCTTAGATACCAACCATCTGATGGACTCTTGTAGGAAACTGCACGGGAAAACCAATCAGATGCAATATTGGCCAGAGTCTTACAGAAGAGAGCAACTTACTATAATTCAGCAGACTCCATTTTGTTACTTCTTGAATATGTTTTGGTATGATCTTTTTTGGCTGGACCTGAAGCGCAGGCCAAGCTGTCCTCTGACAGACCGAGTCACTGACTGACCGTGTCACGGACTGACTTTGAATAATGTCATCAACTGAGTCTTTCTGGAGGAGCTCGCCAAGGCAAGTCTAGTACTAGTCTTGTTTTTCCTGATTTTTTTTTCAGGAATTTGTGTACAAGTTTCATATCCCCTGAAAAAAAAACAGTCTCCATGTTTTCTGACTTGCAAAAAAAAATGAAATATTTTGTCCTTAAAAACTAAAAAGAAATACTAACATCAGCGGTATGAACATGGTAACTGACGTCACGTTGAGATACAGTGACAAAGGGCGCCACTGCCGGACGTACATGGCTGCAGTCGCAATGAAGAAGTACCCCACTGCGTACAGCATGCCAACGAACATTGTCACGGCTGTACGCCATGACTTGCCTATGACTTCAAGAACTGATAGAAAGTGAATACACACATTGAAAATATTTGGTGATATTATGTGTAAATCAAGAGTCTATCATTACATAATCATAAATTAAACCACACGTCAATCACAAGGCAATAGAACATCAACTTGCAACTTAATTAGAAGTCAGTCTTACGTCAGTTACAATCAAAATCAGAAACAGTCATAAAGCAGTCTGACGTCGCTCACGAGTCAATCACAAGTCAGCCACGAGTCATTCACAATATAAACCACAAGTCAATCACAAGTCAATCACAAGTGGATCACAAGTCAGTCAGAATATAAATCACACGCCGATCACAAATCAAATTACATATTATTGCAGTTCATTTCGAGTGACTTGAAAAGTTAAGAGCACCGGACTCATGCTCTGGTGTTTCAGAGGCAACAGTGGCGTGGGTTCGAGCCCACCGGGCGGACACTTGTGCCCTTGAGCAAGGCACTTAACCATTATTGCTTCGTCCTTCGGATGGGACGCAAAGCCGTAGGCCCCGTGTGTTGTGTAATCCAATGCACGTAAAAGAACCCAGTGACACTTATCGCTAAGAGAAGGGATTTGCCCCGGTGTTTCTGGTCTCCTGTATAAACTCCCACGCGGAGTATTTAGGAGATGAACCAACCAAGAACCAAGAACCAAGAACTTGAGATTGACTAGCTTGAAGACTTACGACGAGCCCTGATTAAAATTATGACATAAATGAAACCATGCTTGCTTACCCAAAACGAAGAGGCTGACATAGGCGGCAAGGTTACCGAAACCAGAAATGAATCGGAAGGCCATGTACATGTAGATGTTGATTGAAAAGGTGGTAGCGAGCAAGCCGGCCACCCATAAACACTGTCCAATGATTACGACCTTCTTACGACCAATCCTATACAAAATGAAGACAAGTTTAGAAGTCAAGTCTTTAAAAAGCTATATCACAAGTCAATATTAAGTGAATCACAAGTGAATAACAAGTGAATTACAAATCAATCACAAGTCAATCACAAGTCACACAGTCATCCAAATGTTTTGGTGCTTATGTTTTTGCTTCCTTGATAAAAATGCTCACTATGCGGATGCATAAACAGCATTATGTTGACTGCAACTGTATTTGATTTGGACTTACCAGTCAGAAAATGCGCCACCAACGAACGAGCCCACTAAAAAGCCGGCAAAGTAGATGGACTGCGCCAGACTAGGCAGATCACCTTGATCACACACCAGACCAAACTTGAAATAAAAAGAGGAATATACGTCAATGAACAAAAAACGGAAGGACTAGTCTACATTATTTTTCACTGTCGTCTTCTTATTGGTTATCTTGTTTCTTGTACATTCTTCTCTTACATTCTAAGCCGTGCTAGTCGTTATCAAATATCGCTTTAATTGCTGTACAGAATGCATTCAATACTACATCAGAAAACTCAAGGCTAAGAAATGTTTTGGTTTTAAAAATACAATGCGTCACACAAAGATATACCAAATTGTCAGGCTCTGGTTACCTCTGTAATGGTGGTGTTCTTGTATTGTGACCTGTCGAACTCCCATCCATCGTTGCATGGCACCTTCACGTAGGTGAAACCGTTGTATTCACTGAGCGATACGTACGGATCAAATACGTACCCATCTGGTAGCTCCCACTGCTTACAGTTGGAGTAAGGATAGTTGCTGTTGGAGCCATTTTCAGGAGGAGGCAGGAGGATGGACTTCTTCACGTCAGTGCAGTTGTCCTGAAATTCCGCCCAGTTGGAACAATTCTCGCTGGGCAAAACGTTGGACCAGTGGTCGGTCTCCGCCGCGTAGAACACATTGCCCAGAGACGTGAAGCAACCAATGATATTGAAGAGACCCAGGTAGCATATCAGGACGAACTGGTAGAAGCCAAAATTGCCAAGAAGCGGAATGATTTCATCCACCTTCATCTTGTTTTATTGGACAACAAAATGCACGGATTCCGACTGAGTTTAACAATTGTAAATAGTTTCTGAAACGATTGCAAGGGCGCACAGTGTTGAACTGTACACAGTCTGTAGATCTGCCGATATCGTGACTTTTATAATCTACCAATATTTACTGGTTAAGGTCCGTCAAGCACGATTGCCTTTTTTTAATTTACTCAATCAACAAAATACGGTTGTCTTATCTATAAGTGGACCATTGGTAGTGCCTTCTTTCGTTTGTCAGACACCAAACGTTGACCATGCATTGTATTCAAGGTCAATACTGAAGTAACGGCACTAAAACGGTTATTTTTTAAAAGTTAACTGCCATTTTCGGAAGTTTTGTTCGTTCCGGGGAGAGATTGAAGGTAGTGGCTTTCATTAGTGTTGCCATTGGTTTCATCCTTATTCCAACGCCTGGTGGCGCTGTACCATGTTGACAATTCTTTCAGAATGTTTTGCTCGAACAAATATTTGAAAATAATATATACATAAAAAAAAAATCCTCGGCAATCCGCGGCTTCATTATCTTCACTTACTATGCATTAACTTTTCATTTTTGTTTTAATTATGCCATCTCAAGTCCAACAAACCAACCTTGATGTCAACAGATATAAATAATGCACACATTTTGTAGCCTAAAATGGCCCAGATAACAAATGATGATTCCATTTTTATTCTTTCATTTTATTAACGACTCTTTGAGGGTCTGTTCAAAAACATTATATAACAATGATATTATATTGTCAAAATTACGATTTGATAATCACCTTTTCCTTTGGAAGGTGTGTATCAATATTATGTGAATATTTTTACAAATCTATTTTTTTCCCTTTGCAGCTATATAATTTTGTTTACGTGTTTTCTTTTTCCCTTTTTTTTTTTTATAGAAAGCATGTCTATCGTAATAGTATCATCGAATGTTGAAATCAAGACCTACTGCAACAGTGTTGGAATGGTTATTAAACTACATTTTGTCTACTAAATTTAGTTGCTTGTGTACAGTTTAAGAATACATGGATATTATCGTAACAGACTGTATTACATTTTGAAAACATGCTTTTCTCAATTTTCTAATTGTTCAATGCACCGCTTTGGTTGGTGTTATACAATGAATCAATCTACACAATGGTTAAACTACATTTTGTTTACAGAACTTAGCTGCTTGTGCACAGTTTAAGAATACATGGGCTATTATCATCACCGTATTACATTTTAAAAACAGGCTTTCTCAATTTTTCCATTTGTTCACTACATATCGTTTTGGTTGCAAGATTCAATCTACAGTTGAAGTTTTAAAAACCAACTTCTTTTGCATTGACTATCTTGCTTTTCGATGCTGAAATCTAATCAAGTTACTCATAGTTTTGTTTCTATCATAAATTCAACCTGTGGATATGTAGCTTCTTCTATAAATCACATTTTTTTTCTGGGGGGAGGGTTAATGTTTTACACACAAGTAAACTAAGATTAAAATTACAACTTTATTTCAGTGATTTTCAAAGCTCGTAGAATTAAGGACAGGTAACGAACCGTCTCTCTCAAAATTCTGAAGGTAATTTTTCATTCTGATTCATCTCAAGGCAACGGAAACACGACATACTTATACACTAATCAAATATCAGAGGTGAAAAACCCGATATCAACTTTTATTCTTCATCAGGCTGTCAAACACGTAATTATAGAATCAATTACAGTGACCAACAGGTCGTGTGTGCTTTCTTATCGACAATTACCAGAGAACTAAATTACATGTGTTTGGCGTTAAATTGCTGGGAGAAATCACGATAATCCTTCTCCGAAGAATCGAAGGCTGGGTTGCTCACCGCATCGGTGCTGTTTTGGGGTTCGTCGATCTCGTCAAATTCGATGACCGACTCCGTGTCGACACCGCCTCCCATGCACCGACATCTGATGAAATGAAATGGCAGACACGTTATCATTATAAAAAGACCAATAGGAAGAGCTTATACAATGTTAACAAATGAAGATTCATCGCTAACGTATTTTGATGTATTATTTGAAAGAATGACTATATTCACACCCCAAATTTACATAAGTAAAGTAAATCACTCAATTTTTCAACCGTTCTTGAAGCATTGCATAAGGATAATTTAGTTCCCACGTTGATACAAAGGGCAACGCTTTTTGAGCATTGGTGTAACGCTTGCGTACTGGTATTTTCCAAATATATACTTTACATTGATTCACTTTTCAGCGCTGATGAAAGTTTCACAAACATTTTGACTGTGACCCTCCGAAACTTGATTCAGCATTCATCATCAACTTTCTGTTGTTTGTACCAATTTGATCACCCCTTCCAGAAAACCATATATTCTTGCAAATTGGGCCCGTTTCTGCCGCAGACTGGTGAAGCGTCCTTTGTTTGCTTGATGTCTATATACCCATTGTCAATCTATATAGATCTGTCCAAATGACCTTATTGACATAAAGTCATACCCTTAACCTATTGTGATTTATCTAAAAAAATATATATAGGGTAAGGTCCACAAAACATCAAACTAAATATCTTTTTTTTTATTTACCAAGTGAACAGAATTACCGAGTAAACAAGACGCATTTTTCTTATGCATTTTTCTTATGTATTAACATTGTCTATCTCAAAACCTTTGAACCTCTAACGATTCAAAACAATTGAAAACAAGTTAACAGCACGGTTTTCAGAAAGTCCGTTAGTATGGTTCCCTCATACAGCCATGACGTCTCTTATAAAATTATGTAAGGTATAGCCGTCAATATCAAAGATAGAACATGGTGAAGCGGGGGAAAAACATCTACCATCTTCCTGGTGAATTCTTTGGGTAAAGCGCCTAAAGATACTGTACATTAAGCCTTTCATCTGGTATCACATATGCGAGTTTCGATTCAAATGACCGCGACTCTGGGGCTGATACGTACCAATGAATACGAACAACTGAGAAAAGGCATCCAAGATGTCTCCAACATACGCCCGAGTGTAAACATCAGCAACGTGTTCGAAAAACCTCGGACGTGACTATTAGGAAACGGGCAGAATCCTGTTCGGTTTGGTCACGTGATATTAGCGTATACCTGACAGTGGTGAAACTAAGCGGGCATGGGGGGGGAACGCCCTCCCACCCCGTTCGAGGCATGTGCCCCCTCCCCCGAGTTCCCCTCTACAGAAATTGGGTCACCCACGTGTGCCTCTGCAATTTGAACTGCAATTACGCAACTAAACTACCTTACCTAGGATTTCTCAGAATAGTCAGACATTTTAGGTCTGGGAATTGAACGAGACTCGTGTTCTGTCTAGTCTTTGGAATATAGTATGAACTAGGTACAGATTATTTAAACTGCGTCTTGACCTCCTGATTCTGACAATTCAGCGGACGCCTTCTATCGAGTCTTCGGTGACCCGTTCAGGCGCGGTTCTAGAGCCAATATTTATGGGGGGCTAGCACGGTGAATCCAGAATTTTTTTCAGGGAAGCGTGCTGAAATGTTGACCGGTTATTTTTCCAGACACTTAGGCCTCCGAAAATCAATAGGTGGTGGTGGGGGGGGGGGGGGGGCTCATGCCATATTTTCAATGGGGAGCGCCAATAAAATCCTAAAATCATTCACACTATAGCAAGGGCGGATCCAGAACAAAATTTTTTTGTGGGGGCCAAAACAAATTTTGGTCCCCCCAAAAAGTGGGTCCAAAAATTACGGCGTGGGGTTCGGGGCCCGCTGAAGGGCCCCGAACAATTTTTGGATTCTAGATGCTCTGTGGTGCGATCTGAGGCAATTTCTGACCACTTTAACCAATTGTTTTTGAGGAAAAGATGGTGGTGTACTCATTGCCTGCCTTAATTGCGATTTCACATAAAAAAAAAGATAATTGGTTTCGTTTTTTTTGGGGGGGGGGCATGGCCCCCTTTGCCACCCCCCCCCTCCTGGATCCGCCCTTGCACTATATTAACTAATGCACCCTTGTCAACGCTATTTCTTCTTTAGGGGGAGACCGTTCACATGTACATCACATGCAATCCTTCTTTTTGCTAATGCAATTTTTTTTTACGGAATTTATTTTGGGGGGCTAGACAAAAAAAATTTTGGGGGGGGGGGGCTACAGCCCCCCTAGCCCCCCCGTAGAACCGCGCCTGGACCCGTTGTTGTATTACGAAAACAGGGCATCAAATTGACCAATCAACATGCTTAGGCCGAATTTCAGCTCAAATGGCGTCACAATTTCTGAAGTCCACTCCAATTGGCTGGCGCGCGGGACGCATAAATTTGCATGCACATTATATCAGATGTTGTTGCGGAGGACGCGTGGGCTCCGTTGAACAACGAATGATACTCAGACTACGTTCAGGAACAGAAAAGTTTAGTAAAAGGAAGAATGCGAAAAATACACAGGAAATTACACAATACTCAAACTTCGCTGAAGGGTAAAAACTACGAATTCGAACTGCGACCACCTCGGAAACCGTCTTAAAGAAGCTACATTGTTTTCGTGATTTGTGTTCGTTCCCTTTTAAATGTCATGCATATAATACACCTGTTACTGCAGTACCTTTAATTGAAAGACATTTTATCGTCATTTGTTATACCTTAGGAAGATACTGGACATTAGGGAGACATTCATGTCTCCCTAATGTCACGTACAGCTCCTTTATAGTAGCAAAATGTTTCCGTTGTAAATAGGCTAGATCGATCGATTGCTCGTGGTCCAAAACATAAATATACCAAAATTCGTGGGTGTATTAGGTGTCATTAACGTTTGACAAATTTTGTGCACAAGTCTAAGGGAAAGTCTCCCAAATGTCACCCATTATATTGATAATCATTTCTTACTTATAATATGTAAGATTCTAATGCATGCATGGCAGCCTTCCCCACTGACAACTGATTATGATTGAACCAAGAAAAAAAAAAACCAGCTGATTGCAATGTCAACATAGACTCTGCCCTCGGCCCACGTATTACCTCGACAAAACACACATGGCCGGACAATTATAAAGGTGTGTTCTGTCATATTTAATTCAGACGCAGTTTGCGAGGGCGACATACTACAAAGGGACACAAAAGATCCCAACCTTCCCTACATTGTGGGTTTACGTAATGTTGACACGCTTGAGTGCATGTAAAAGGGCATGCTGACTTATCGCAATGAAACCGTGCACATCTCTACATGCACACGTATTCGCAAGGACTACTTGTCCCCGATTTTGAACAGTGGTGGCTGTTTTTCTGAGTGAAAACCATCGTAGTCAATCAGCTTTCGTAATGGCGACAAGTCTTGACTGCATTTGGTCGGGATACTATGGATGCAAGACATTCACCGAAAAGGCAAACATGGAGTCGTGACCAGAATTTAATTAACGACAACTAGGTAAGCATCCACACCGATGTACACACCCAGTATGTATAAGGCTGAGGAAGTGTTTTGTATTCCATGATATGCATGTTCTTTCGTTCTCATTTTGTATTTAAGCTAGTAACATAGAAGTATTTCCACTTTTCCTTAAAACTTTAAATGACAAAGCTCGATGCTAATAGTTATTATTATTCGGCGAAATAAAGTAACCAGATCGCGTATCATGGAGGAATATGAAAACACATCGCATACAGACCGCTATATAAGCCTTAGTATAGCAGTCGCAGCACAAGGGGGGGGGGGAGCATTTCCTCGCCTCCTCCCCCCCCCCTCAGTTTGGCCCCAAGAAAATCAAACAAAAGAGAAAAAGGAAAATATAAGGTAAAAGAAAAGGGGAATAAAGTATAGAGGCGGGAAACCCTCGGGAATGGCCCTCAAACGCTTTTTCTTATCATGAATGGTGTTCAGCAGCGCCCCAAGCCTCCAATGATGTCCAGCCCCCCCCCCATCCCGATTATTTCTTTGCCCCGCTCAATTGCCCCCCCCCCCAACAAAAAGTCTGGCGGCCGCCTCTGCTGATTAATTGCATAAGTGACTGTACTAAATGCATTATAGGATCCTTAATTATTGACGCTAAGGGGGAAATTATATAAGCATGCTTTATTTACATTTACCAGTTTCTTCTTCCCAGGCCCATCATTTAAATAAGTTTCAGAATTTCCGATAAGTTTCATCTGTTTGTTATCATAGCATCACTTTTATTTTGTTTTTTTCTCTCTCATAATAGACGTTTAGGCCGGATAAGGCCAACTCATTTAATTGGATGGAGTGATGACATTATTCAAGGATACCTATGAATGCAGTTTTACAGTGTGCAAATTCCTCCAATTTTAATACAATGTTTACATTACCTATGGGTTAATTCGCCATATTAATGATATTTGGGTGTTTTTTCCTTGTCTAATTAAAGTCGCATTTAATTTCACACAGGTTGAATGCCTGTTTCTCAAGGACGCTGGACTCAATTCTTGCTTTGTGCTTCTAGGGAGCAAAATGGCGTCCTGTGTTCGCCAAAGGTTCTTCGGCTGGTTCGTATTCCTCTGTGGTTTCTTCGTCATTGTCCAGGTGATGTTACTCCTCAACCAACAGAAATGCAACAGTCCCGACGAACAAACAAACCTGGACGCCCGTGCTCTCAATTCGGCAGCGGGAGACAAGAAGAACAATATCAAGAGGAACGACAAAAAGACATCTCACCGTGACAAACGCCGAGAGACCGCCACCAAGTTTCCGGTCAAGTCCACCCCCTCGGACAATAATTATTTGTCTCCGTTTCACCGGCGATGGGAAGCCAACTGCTCGGCCATATTCGCAGGAGACACGGATGTAGTTCAGGCGACTTATCGCATGCTTAAAAAGGAGCGACACAGTCACAATGGCTCGATTGTCGTGCCTGAGGATCGTGAGGTACGGACCTGGACACACGACTGTGACTCGTTCAGGAGCCTGAGGCGCTATCCAACTCACCCGGTTTCGGAGGAAGAGGACAGTTACCCAGTTGCATACATCATCGCTGTTCACAAAGAGGCTGCCCAGGTTGAGCGCCTGCTGAGGGCAATATACCAACCTCAGAACCTCTACTGCATCCACCCTGACGCCAAGTCTCCGGAGGACTTTCAGCGGGCAATCAAAGGTCTTGCGGACTGCTTCGAGAATGTTTTCATCTCATCCAAGATTGAAGATGTGCAATATGCGGGCTTTACCAGACTTCTGGCCGACATTAATTGTATGAAGGACCTAGTTGGCCCGAGGGGTGACGTGTATCGGTGGAAATACGTCATGAACTTGTGTGGGCAGGATTTCCCACTGAAAACCAATTTAGAAATTGTGCGACAGCTCAGGGCCTACAAAGGTCACAACGATATAACAGGTGTTCTACCACCATCTCACATAATTGGTAGAACCCGTTACAAACACGTCATCAGAGACAAGCAAGTCAAAAGGACTCACAGGCCCAAAACACCCCCACCTCATAACTTGCGAATCCACTTTGGGAACGCCTACTACGCAGCCACCAGGCGCTTTGTTGAGTACATACTGACCAGTCCGAAGGCTACTGACCTCCTTAGGTGGTCGAACGACACCTTTAGCCCGGATGAACACTACTGGGCGACGCTGCAGCGCGCGCCAGGCACACCGGGCGGGTACCCAGACCCGACATGGGACGAGAACGTAAGGTTCATGAAATGGGGTGACATTACCAAGCACCCATCGTGTAAAGGCATCTACGTGCGAGGCCTGTGTGTGTTTGGCGTGGCCTACCTGGAGTATCTCGCCACGCAGCCGCACCTGTTTGCCAATAAGTTCTACTACAGCTTCGATCCGATTGCCATACAGTGCATCGAGGAGGCGCTCCTCAACAGAACTCGGAACCCTGCCTTGTCGGATAGGCTTCCTAATTTCCCAGTCACGAATCTCCTTTGGCAAAGCCATACAGCTTTACCGTAACACTGTAAATTGTTTCCCCCCCCCCCCCCTTCGGCAAAATTAAACAAACCAATATTTTGAAATTAACTTTATAGGTACATTTGTACCGGCGTTTCTGTAACTGAGCTATCAAACATTTGGTACGAAAAACCGCATTTGGGGCTTGCAACATAAGCTGTGTTGCGAGCTCGGTACATTGGATCACTGATAGAGTGCAGCCTATAAGGTAGATCTATAGATACCGCAACTGTTTATGCACCAGCACCGTATTCCGGAGGTCGTGGGTTCCAATCCCACCCACGAATGTCTCACAACGTATATTAAAACGACCTTCAACTCGAGTGTAAGATCGAAGAGGCCAAAGTGAATGCAATAAAGAGGATGAAGAGAATAATTAACCACTTCTGAACGACTACACAAGTTCAAGTTTGGAGCGAAGCCTTATTTTGTCAAAATATAGTTGAAATGGGAAACTTTCAATTTTTATTTGTTTATCGATTTTTAGCCATGCAGTCTCGTACAAGATGTGCTTTTCACAGTTTTATTTAACTATTTTTTTTTTAAACAAATTTAAACTATACATGTTTCCTAGTAGTATTTTATTTCAGCTGGCATGGTTGGACTTAGAATAATTTTTGTACACGTACCAAGGTATTTATAAAAGTAGTTGTTTTATTTTGTAATATTTTTAGTTCATTAACCATTGAGGTCCATTAATCTTCCCGAAACCATTATATTTATCAGAAAGCCTTTAGTTGTACACTGCAGTAATCGTTGGGATGAATAAAACTGTATTGTCTTCATAACTCGGTTCCTTTCTACCCGTATTTAGTGAACAAAGAAATGATACATTATCAAAGTCAGCAGATAATTAGAATGCTGTCTTGTAATAAAAAAAAGGTGATAACGTTTTTCTCATTACAGTGTTTTGCAGCCCTGGTTTTACAAGTGACGATGCTCCGAGTTTCTAAGATAACCGCTGACCTGCTTTTTTGATTTGGTATTTTTTTCCTGTTTGAAACATGTACATGTACAATGTTCTACACATGTACATAATTTGGATTTGATGACTTACGTTTTCTCTACAAGATTCCTGTCAAGGACATCCCCAAATGACATTAAAACGGATTATCAATCCGTTTACAAAAATTTGTAAAGGCCGTAGACAAGTTAGATACGATGGAAGACGGATCCAAATGGTAAATATGTGTGTTTCGATTCGTTCACAAATAGTTTATTTCTTTCTGGTAGTGAAACCAAGGATTCTTCAAAAGTGCCCTTGGCACTGTAGCTCGAAAGCCTGAAGAAACATATGGAGAGAAGACAATGAAATTACAGTTTTAGAGGTGGGAGGAAAACCCCAGAAGAATATCCTGGTAGCTAGGGTAGGAAACCCAATCCACATGTAACTGACTCCTTATATATTTTGTCTGCCAAGTCATTACTCAATATTGATTAAAAATGACTCCTACAAATTCTCTTGTTAAAAACAATTTAATGCTAAAAGAAAGTTGCATATCAGTCTGCAAAGCCACAATGCCATGAGATGGCGACAACAGTGCCAGACTGTTTTTGAAACAAAAGATTAAGGAATAGCTCGATACGTTTGAGTGCGTGATAAATACAGACAGGTTGGAACAGGGAGGTTGCGCATCCAATATACTACTGAAAGCATCAAGATCCCCCACAGGTTTTTTTTTTTGTAAAAAAATGTAGACAGAATTATTATCTGTGTCATGAAAAGGACAAGATTGAGTTGTCTGTAATTAATGTGAAACACATCTTTTGAGTTACAGGTTTGACTGATGTGCCCTAAGCAAGAGTTGTAGTCAAGTACATCACAAGTCTGGCTAAAAGTCACAAGTCTTTTCATAATTACGGATTTACGGTCACAAGCAACTAGACTGCAGATAATCAATTACAAAGGACTGTCTTTGTCACCGTTTATTTGAATAGCTTGTGATTTTACTAGTAATGGACTTGTGAGGATTTGTGAGAATTTGTCTTTTCATTGTTTTTCAACGTACATCAGTCTTCATTGTGGTTAATTGGAAGCCATAGACATGTTGCGTGATGGAGTTTGTCCCATGTTTTTAAATAAAGGTGAGGTTAGTGGAATGATCGCAGGTATAGAGGATGGTGGAGCATTGGCACCTTCTTCTACTGTTTCACTCTGAACACCCCTGTGCTCCTTGTTTGCAAGAAACTCTGATAGGAGTTCCTGTCTTGTCTGGGTCTCACAGGTTTTCTTGCAGAGATGCATGTACAGGTCCATGACATTGGACATGACGTAGGAGTCGCCCTTCTGGAGGGCGTACTCCCGGCACCGGTCCAAGCACTGCATCACCTGCTGTAAACTGACATCTTTGGCCATCGCTGTCGAGGCTGAATCGCCATCTTCACATTCCTCATCATAAGATTCGGAGGCCGAGCCAAGAGTTTCCTCGACAAAGAGATCGTTCACAAGCCGTTGCTCCCAGTTCCCTTGTGCCGTGTTGTGGGTGGCCAGCTCATCATCGAAGGTGACATATATCCGCCATTCCTGGCCCTCGGCGAAATTACTCATCATCCTCTCCGCTTCCTGATCAGAAAGTTCGTCAGTTGTAGACTGGGTGGGGTCTTTGGCTGTAACTGCACTTCTGTAAGAGATAAGAGATAATGTCAGAGGACAATATCTAAACTGCAAACCAATCTAATATAAGACAAGCTGCAGAATTGAGGTCTAAAGGTCTAACCTGATGTTTTGAAAGCCGCAAGCCAGGAAGCACTTCTTCACTCTTTCTGGAGTCAGCTCTTGCCATGCCTTCCCGATCCAATAGGCTGCTTCTAGGACACTGATTTGGTAGCTCGCAGTTGTCAAATGTTGTAGAACTATCTTGCGATATCCTGCCTTCACTGCCTTGAAGATTCCCCGCTGAAGTGGCTCCACATTGGCAGGTGCATCAGGAGGGAAGAAGTGGAGTTTGATGTTACTGAGAGGCACCTGAGGATGGCACTCAGTGTTGCGAAGACAAAGTACAATCTTCCTCTGCTGTTGCCTCATCTTCTTATCTAGTTCCTGCACCCAGTTCTCGAAGATCTGCGATGTCATCCAGGCGTGGTTATTGGAGCACCAGGCCACTGGCAGGCTGTTCAGGTCCAGGTTCTTGAAGCATCTTGGCCAGTAGGATTTGCCAATGAGAACTGGCTTCTCCTGTAATGACAAGACGTAAAAAAAATAGAGTTTTAACCAGCCATTTTATTCAAGTTATTCAAGAAGTTTTAAATAGCCATTTTATTCAAGTTAGTCAAGAATATAACACAAAAGCTTCATTTACATTCAACAATTGCCAAACTAGTGCCTAAAGCTGAAAAATCTCGGTCTTCCCAAAGATTACAAAACACACCTTCTCTCCCATCATGCTGCAGCAGAGGAGTAACGTCAGTCTCTCCTCTGCAAGACTCCCTCCCTGACACATCTCCGATTTAAGATCAGCGGTGCAACCAACAGGAAGAGCTTGGAAATATAGACCAGCCTCTCCCATAGTCCAGACATCTTCTGGCTTGTAGTCTCCGTAGATTCCTGAGAACTGATTTAAGTTAACCTCTGATTGCACACTGCCTACGTCTGGCATGATGTCTGGTATATTTGTTTTGGAAGTTGGAATACATGTAATGGGATTGGTACTAGTAATAGTATTATTTGAAGTTGGATTAATCAAGGTATTGCTGACACTGCGGGTACATGTACTTTGAAGTGATTCGCGTGTTTGGGCTGTGTTTAGTACAGGAATGACAGGATTTGGCAAGGTTGGACAAAAAGCTCTGGTAACGTTTGCATTGGTTGCACTAGCAGTAGAACCGGTCGTCCCAGTATATCCAGCAGTTGAGATCAGCGACACAATCTGGTGTCTCTTTCGAAAAGAGGCCAGCCATCCATTCGATGCTGTGAATGTCGTGTTGCCAAGCTGCTCCGCAAACGACAGGGCTTTGGCCTGAATAATCGGTCCTGTTAACGGCAGGTTCTTGCTCTTTGCGATTCTGAACCACTCGTACACGACTCTGTTGACCGCCTCGTTTCCCGTTTTGCGAAATTTCCGACGCATGACACCTAAGCTAGCATTGCCGCTGTTATACATGCTCAAGTACTCGGCCTTGCGCCTGATGATGTTACCGATTTGGGTTTTTCCAACTCCCAGTTCTTTGGCAAGCTTTCTTGCGCTCATTCCAGATTCCGATTGACGTATAACATAAATCTTCTTTTCCAGCGGCAAATCGGTGCGGTGCTTACCCATTTTGCTGAATAAAATTCACAAATAACAATGGACAACTCCGGACAAATTTAATCAAAACAATAGTCGATATTAAAAGTCGGGAGCCGGGTACGAAAAGCTATTTAAAACATATGAAAAGTTAAGGTTACCAGATCAGAGTGAAACCTTTTTTCGTCAATGGAGGGCGCTCTTTCCAATCTGCTCCCAGTGGGTGGAGTTGGTGGAGCATATTAGGGGAGGGTGTGTTTGGTTCGAAAGGGTCTTTCAGCCACCCAAATATGATCAGTATAATCCATAACGATAAGGGAAGAAGGACCCATATAAAGTCTTTCAATGGTAATTGTTTTTACTCATTGAAATATTGATAACACTAAAAATTAAAATGTATTTAAAAAATTGAAACATGAAAAAGCCGCCGATGTTGATTACCAGACAAAATCACTAAAACGTCCATATTGGCTGGTATTTCCCAACAGAGGGCGCAAGTATCGGGGATAGGCTTGTGAAGGTCGGCGTAAATTTGGTCACGGAAATCTTCAGTTCTGGTTTTCTTGCCTATTTAGGTACAGTGGAAAAAAGAAGCTTTTATGATATGTTTCCTGGTGCACCTCGTAAGTTATGCTCAATAATATTAATTACACCTTTGGGGGAAAGAATACAACACCACTTTTGGTTGTGTACAGTCGAGAGTCGAGTTGATTTTCAACAAACATGTTCTTATTTTCGAACAAAATTGAAAATGTTCCCCGGTTCCAGATTCACGCCTTTCATTTCAAACAAACATTTGTTTCAATGACTGACCTTTATTGAGATAATGTACTTTGAAGGGTTGTAACATTCTTTCCCTTTTTGGATCAATAAACTGTATGAATTTGACGCCCCCACCCCAGGCTGAGCAGTAAAATATATATTGGCATGTGGGCCCAAAGTCCACTGCCACATGCTTACACAGTGTATGGGCCTGTGACAATGACTCATCAATCTGAGTTTTTGTTCGCAAATGTAAATGCGTGTGTTGCTGATTTTTTTTTTTAATATTGATAATATTGATGTACATGTAAGAGTTTCATGCAGGTTTTGTTTAATCTTATTTTATTCATAATATTTTAATAGGCCTAGTCTGTTATTTTTGTGTTAATCATGTGATGTGGCCCTAGCTTGAGTTAATACTCAAACTAATGTGGCCCCAGATTTGGCATGTATTTTTGTTTGCAAATTTGTCTTCTTTTTTGTCATATTTTTTGTTGTTGTCATGTTTGTTTTGCAGGAGCAGCTTGTGAACAAGAGTTTTCAAAAGTAATTTTAAAATCGGCTTCATGAGAGCGACCCGAGGCAGAAAGCCTCAACACAGTTTTGCTGAGTAAAGCTCACAACATTTAACACACACACACGGTAGCCGTAGGAACTTGCTGTGATGTCGGGCTGCTTGGATGGCATTGAGTGCCAGCGGCCAGAATGGTGTGAGTTGGGAGAGAGGAGGAACGCAATGGCCTCGGTGGCTGCTGGCATCTTGGTGAGTAGGGTGCGGTGTCACGTGGGGGGGGGGGGATTTGTTTTCATTTGTGGCTAAAATTGTCCTGATAGCAGCAGCGTCGCTAAAACATTTGCTGGTTTTGGGATGATGGGGCTGTGCTTAGCACCCCTTTGGTTTGTGTTGGTTCTTCTTTGATGCTGAGTGATCAAGATCAATCCAGTCACTGTTATAAAATAGTTACAATTATTGGGTGATTGGGTTCCATCCAGTCACCATTTTAACATTGTTTTGCAGGCATGCAACTTTTCCTCGGATCAGCTGATCTGCTCTTTTTTCACTCCCCATGTGTGCCATTGAAAATAGAAAAACACTGTACAAAGTCTTGGAAAAGATTTGAATTTCCTCTTTTTTTGTGGCTTCAGGTTTGCATGCCTGTGTTAGAAATGGGTCACTGGGATTTACAACGTCTGCCATTAACCCTAACCACCCCAACTCCATCAAAATCCATCCCCCATTCTGGTGGGTTTTGGGGGACTTGGTCCAGAAGGCCTGGCGTGACTAAATATTGATGGAGTATGATGGACTTGGGCCTAATGGCCTGAAGCAGTGCTAGGGGTATCCGATTGATTTTGCCTAGCGTCCTGTACTGCTATGGTGATAAAAGCCACGTGTAGCAAGTCCGTGAATGTCAACCAGTGCGTCAGTAGTGGATGCCATTATGTCATGTACAGTTTTGTATTGGAAGCACAGTGATTGATGGATTTTGATGGACTTGGTCCAGTTCCTAGTAAAAGATGCTAGGGAGTTAGGGTTAATATTCATAACTGAACTGAGACGACATACAAGCAACTCGTGTCGGCCCCATCACCCAGCGTTTGTCACAGAAACAACCACAAAATCTGTAGTTTTGCTCTTTTTTAATCTCATGTCATGTCTGTTTTTTTGGGGTCACAGTTCTTTGGTGGTTGGTGGGTTGCCATTGATGCCGCAGCAAAATACCCAAGTGAGAACGACCTTATCCATGCCTATCACGTCTGTGGAGTAGTCTCAACAATAGCCTTCTTCATGTGGGTATCTCTTACTATTAGGAGTCATCTAAATATAGATGTTATGCATGAAGGCAATGCCGTTGTTTTGCTATGATATACTTGAGAGAACCTTTGTGCATTCATTGTAACTGAATTAACATAACAAAAGATTCCCTCTACGAATTTTAGGGGCCATTTTTGCGACCCCATAAATTCAAGCTGTTTGGATGCTAGTTGTTAGACTTCATTCGTACGCCTAAAGTGTTCGCCTCTTGCGGACGTTGAAGAAACCACATTTTTTGCATTGGTGATTGGTCACCCTTGTTCCCATGACACACCACGTGTATATCGTACACTGAGAACGACACGAAAAACGTATTCGTACTCTGTTGTGTCCGATGTAAACAAGCGGTTTTTTTTTTCGTCTTTTCTTGGGAACGGTAAGACATTAGGTTGGTTTCCTTTCAACCACATGTTTGCAATAGGATAAGTAAACAATCCAAAACATGAAATTTTCAGGGATTTCAGGACCTGGTACCCCTTTAAGGGTGCACTTTTAACCACTTAAATGAAGCACGATGAGCCGGGGAACACTGTGGCCGCAGTCCTACTGCATGGCCGCATTCATTCATGGACAGTGCTTACAGTTGAATAGAGATAAATGTTCAATTGAAACGCATTAAAATGATATGTTATTTTTTTCTGTTCAGGATAAATGCGGTGTCTGCTGGTCAAGTTCGAGGTGATTCATACAACACCGGATGCATTGGACAAACAGGTGAAATGAGAAAGATTTGAGGCTTTGCATGGTGGAGATACCAAATAATGAAAAGTTGAATAATTGAAGACGGTCAGAGCATACTGACCGAAACGTGGAGTTAATACCTCTGGTTCTTTTCAGAACCATTCTCTTAGTTGAGAAATTATTCGCACATGGTGTTTCCGCAAACCTTTCATTATTGAGACTAGAAATGAAAATTAATACTCGTGTATGCAAAGAAACCTGTGGTACGGTATTTCTTTGTTGGAGAACAATTAACTTTCGTTTGAAATTGTAAACAAGATTTCAGTTAGGAGATTGGGTTCTCTGTTGATTTTTTGCAAACTGTTTTGTTTAAACAGCTTTTGAGCTCGTAAATTAACAATTTTTGTAAAAGGTAGAAAACTACTCTGTCACTACCCCTGCTCATTGGATCCTTAAACATCTCTTAAATGATCTGAACTCTGTGGAAAAAACGTGAGGGAGTTGAGACCGGTTTACGCCATGAAGAATGTTTATTAAATGATGTAAACTAGTTGGATGAAAGTGAACCAGTTATACTGCCAGCTAATCCACCCTGTTCTGTTTATCCCGAGTTCAAGGTTGGAAGTAGATTTCACTTGGTTTATTTGAAATCACGCACAGGAATGATCTTGGATGATTTAAGGATAACTTGGGATGGAATTTCAGTCAAGCTGGGTTTGTTATAACAGAAAATGGGTCAACTTTGGATTGGAAAGAACTGGACCGAAAGTGTGGACAATATGTGATTGGAAAAACTAAGGATCTGATTGAGGGCGCCCTACATACTGACCAGTAGTAAGGCCTTGATTAGCATCAATCACAAGAGGGCGCTAGTCAGCATAGCCATTAGTTACTGCTTTCTGACACTCCTTGAGGAGTATGCAATTCATCAGTTTTCTAATGCTTTTCATTGTGTTTGTGCTGGTACCAGAGGGCCAGCCTAATGTCCTCTTTGCACCTCATTGACTGACTGACTGTCACTTGTGAGCCGGGCAGTGCCATCATATAGGATTACCCTGTAAAGCCTACGAATGGGCTAAATGTTGCCCATTGTGTACCCAGATGCATGAAAAGTCTTTCAGTGAGCAGTCATTCAAATTTTATTGAATAGAATATTGTAGGTTGTGGGACCGGCTTTGGAAAGAATGTTGCATCCCGACGCCATATTTTCATCAAAATATTATCTCACTGAACATGCTGAAGGTCAATCTTTGCAAAAATGTTGAAAAGACAAGAACCTGGGACTGAGAAACATTTCCAATTTGTTAGAAAATACTTTTAAAATGTTCTTGACTCTCCATATACTTTGTACACAACCAAAGAGGTGGTGTCTGGATGCTACATTCTAATTTCCCCAGCTTTACTAGGCATGCCTTGTCTTGTTTGTTTGTTTCTAGGAGCGCGTATCTGGTTGTTTGTGGGTTTTCTCTTAGCCTTTGCTGGCCTGATTGCTGCCAGCTGGATTCTGTTTGGACCCTACGTTGTGAACAGTAAGTTTTCAGATCAAGAAAGTTATTTTTTTCAGTAGTGGATTGAGCATTTTGTTAAAGGGGGTGACTGGTATGTTGAAGTTAAAAATAATTTCGGGGGGGGGGGGGGGGGTGGGGGGGTGGATGAGGTTTTGCAATCAATGCATTAACCCTAACCCTGCCAGACGCAACACAGTGCATCAGGTGGAAAAGTCTGCTGCACTTTGATGCATTCAGCTATCAACACCAGTGCCTAAACAACCGCTTCTGAGACAATGAGAGTCAATCCCATTGAACAATGCCACGGTTGTATCCTGCTGCATTCGGTGACCACGAACTCTGAGGCAGTTTGGCCTTGAGACTTTTGACCTGATGGATCTTGCTGCACTGGGCAGGCTTGTCACTTAGACAAATGTTGCATGTTGCTGTGTTTGGCAGGGTTTCTAGCCAAAATACCCTGGAGGGTTGGGGTTTAGTCCAAAGAGTTGTAGAACTGAATCAAGATTTGCAATACATATTGAGTGATGATGTTATTCAGGAAACTTTGGGATTTAGAAATGAAATCTTTTCTTTAACTTCTTTTCTTCATTTAACAGAAGTCTTTAAAGATCCTTACCCTGGTGTGGCAATCTTCTTACAGAATTTCCTGATCTTTTTGTCGTAAGTATCATTTTAAAGGGTCCATGACGTGAATTTTACACTGAATAACTGTGTGCAAAATGTCTATTCCTCTGAAATGTATGAATTTAACGATTTTGAAAGATTAAAAATGTTCCATACTTTTCCCGACAACTGAGGATGCTGTTACTGTGATATACATGTGTATTTTAAGGCATACATACATATACTCCTCACTCCTCAGTTTAGAGGTTTTATGTTCAAATTGTGAACCCACAAATTCGCTCATTAAAAACATTTGTGCATTTCATTGACTTACTCTCATGTACTGAAACAACAACGATTCACTAAAAACAGAAAGTTTTACCACGGCAAAAAAAAACCAATTCTGACCAATTTTGATGCTGGAGTAACTGTCACAACGAAGTTTATACTTTGAATGACATCACAGGAGTGCTGGTGAATATGGAACTTTTCATTAGCATAAAAACACCAAAAAACCACAAAAAATACCATTGAAAATGGCAAAATGAAAATTGAAAAAAAAAATTAAGTGACACAAAAGTGCATTTTCAAACAACTATTTTAGTAAATTTAGTAAAATTCAATCTCATGGCCCTTTCAACTTCCTTATTAACAAATTCACAAGAATTACTGTACATGTATAGGATAGTTGGGGAGAATTGCACAGAAAATGGGCTATTATTCATACCAAGTAAATGTCTTGCTCTTTAGTTGTAATATAAGGTTTTGTCCTTCACCCTGTGAAAAAAAAAAAATTCCCAAGCTTACCTGGGTAGGACTAGAACTTGTGACCTGTAGATATTTTCAGCGCTGGACCACCAAGCTTACTAGAGCGACAGCTAAAGTTAAATTTACATTTTCCATTTGCAGAAAATTCCATCATTTGTCTTTAATTGCATTTAAACAGGGGCCTTGTTTTCAAGTTTGGTCGAACTGAAGAGTTATGGGAGTAAGCCACAGCTGGTAACGATGAGTCTATCACCTCTTTATTGATTTACATATGTTTATTTTTTTTTGGTACGATATTAGACAATTTCTTTGCCTTGTGTTGCAACTATTGCTTTGCATGTACAAATTTGTGTGTATAATTTTTTTTTGTCGAAAAAGAAATATTTCTGTCTTTGTATAAAGGTGATTATAATATATGTAGCATAAATGTAGCATCTAGATTGTGGATAGGTGAATTTTTTTTAGTTTTCTTGAGATCATAAATTAAATTTTAGATGATGTCAGATGCTTCAGGAAAAACAAAAATATGTAGTCAACTCAGTGACAGCCGTGTAAAAATGCAACTTTTTTTTTTATAAGATTTAATTGCAATACAAAAATGTGCAAGATGAAAAAAATAAAGGGAGGGGGCCATATTTTGTATCATGCCTTACAATGGATTGACATTTGAAGTGTACATACTTAGGTTACTTGCTCAGCTGGACAGATTTTAGTCGATAGAATATCCTCTTGCACAGCAAGGGTCTATATGTGAGCAGATTCGGCCATTAATAATGCAAAACAAGACTGCGTCTTGACCTCGCGATTCTGACCATTCAGCGGGCGCATATTGGGTCTTCCGTAACCTGTTGTTGTATTACAAAAACATGGCATCCAAATTGACCAATCTACAGCTTAGTCTATATTTCTGATTGAAATGACCACTCGGATTGGCTGGCGCGCGGGGTCGCAGTAAATTTAAATGCTATGATATATCAGACGTTCGACCATGGCTCTGCACACGTGCATGTCTGATCCTCAAGACTAGACATATTTACGGTAGGGTCAGAAAAATAGCCAAATAGTCAGCGATTCAAGTTTTGAGAAGAGCCGCCTAACTCCACCATATTTGCAGTCTAGGTACAATACTGGATTTGGAAAATGTTTCGCTGTTAAACGCAAGTCAGTCCCTGACAAGTGTAGCCAAGCTAGTAGAATACAATCTTGGGAATATTGGCACCCCCACCCGAGAAATTCTGCACATACCACAAGCATGCGCATCCCATTTGGGGCAGAACCATAACCAAACCAAAGTCACATTTTTCCTCTCAGTTATAGCATATTTGCATGATTTGTACAAATTAATTAAACAAAAGAATGCATCAAAAAACCAAACATGGAACATGAGGTTTTATACTGCACATTTTATTATCTGTACATATAATTATTAGATTAAGGCCATATCAAAATATACATCAATATTTATTAGTCTTAATATGAGAGCATGCTTGCTTTCTTCATGAAAACACGCATGTCATCAGAATAAAATGAATATGGTACATTGTATGAACATTTTGCAAGCACATACAGTGGCCATACATTTACTGCACTTCGTTTTTTCAAATATACATGTCCTTGAAACGATAATAAAACTGATTTTTGAAATTTGCTTTGCTTTTGTGAAAGTATGTCCTCACCCAAATTACAGTACACATCCCGATACACAGAAATTTTCGCAAAAAAACTCAAAGCAAGTTTGAATTTCACTGGCTTTCTTAAATTCTAGAAAAAAATTTCCAACAAACTCTTAGACTTTTTCATGTGTAGATGTAAACCTCTTCGATTTTGCATCTTATATCTGCAGATGTTTTTTTTTAAAGCATTTTCCTGTTATTGAATTTGACCCAACAAAATATGAAAAAGATTGACTGCATTTATATATGCCACTTGTTACTCCTTGCGGTAATTTCGGTATCACAAAAATATGGAATTATGTGATGTCACTCAGTTCATAATGGTTAGCAAATGGACCTTTTTACACAGTATTTCAGCCAACAAAAGCCTCAAGATTTGCCTTGTACATATTGTGTTTGCAAGAAACAATCCCAAATTTTATTTTTTTCCTGAGTTTTAGCCTACCCAAATCAAATGACACATTTAGTTCCCCAGCCAAAGATGTATTCACCATTTTATATTTTCTGATTCTCCTGAACAATGAAGAGTTCATTTCGAAAATGCGATAAACACCATTGTGTTTGTACCTCATAGAATCCCACTTTCTCCTGAGGGTGACCCCAAAAAAGTTGACTCACAAACAAAAGGATAAGACAACCATTAAAACGGTTTTATCCCAAACTTTGGTTGTGAATGTAAAGTTGCAGAACTTGCCAATTGTATTAATACTGATTGATTGCTACAGTACATGCAAAAGTAAATACTGCGATGCATATATTAAACTCTTTTCCTTTAAACCCAATTCTTCCCAGATCCTACAAAACCCTTCAAAAATTAAGGCTTGAATGATTTTGCAGAATTGAGCCCAGCGATTAAATACTGGGTTTCCTGCACATGGGATGATTTCGAGTACATTTTGTAAATAAAGGCCAGTCATTATCATCATGTGCTTGGATACTGTACGGTATTTCATGCGCGTCCAGTCTGTAAAAATGCATAGATACTGTGTATAGACACTGCGTATAAATACTGCGTAGCGCGCATGTGCAGAACCCGCCCGCACGCTCGAGACTGAGAAGTGCAACTGCTCAGTCTCGTGTCCGGCAGGGAAGCCTGCAGTTACGAAAGGTAATACATAGCAGTGATTACTTTATTAAATGCGTAGTAAGCTACAACTATTTATCTTTTTGAATTACATTGGCACGATATAACAAAACAATTGTTGACTGCTGTGATGTGGGATATGTCGTTTTTGACCCCCTTGGGGCGCATAGCACCAGAGGTGAAATATGCGATACATGTACATGATATTCCTCAGGTGTTAAAAACAGCATATCCCATGTGACAGCAGTCAACAAATTGTTAAATGTGTATACTCATGCATGTAAAATCATAGCCTTTATAGTCAAGGCCCACGCGTCTTGATCTGGACACGTGACGCGCCCCGGATGCTGGCACGTAAAAAGACTATCCAGCGAGCGGCATAGTTTACGTGCCAGCATCCTGGGTCCCTCACGTGTCCGGATCACGATGCGTGGGCCTTGACTAAAGACTAGTAAAATCACAGTGGCATGCTATATATATCCTAATTAATATGAACGTGCCTATTTGTACCAGTAAGGTCACAGTCAATGTAGCATTTCTGTAGAACCCTAGATCGGGTTTTTCCAACATTACGCAGCGTAGTAATTGATTGCATCACAAGTCCAGTCGCAAGTTACAGGTAATGGACAGTAACATAGGACTGCTTTCGTCATGCAATATTTCCATTGCCTTTTACAGAAAGTGTAGTATTCAGCAGTAATTGTCTATGTACACTGTATATAAAAATAAAGTTGATTTTTAAATGTCATTACCTGGGTCTGTTGTATTTCTCTAAAAAAAATCTGTGGTTTGTCCAGGCGTTTGTCACAGTTGAGTAAAAATACTCGGATCAGTTCACTCTTTTCTGCGATAAAGCCCGTCCACAAAATACAATATTTCCCATTTTATCACATGTGCAGTGCAGTTTTAGAAATATCTCAGCACACAAAAGATTACACGCATACACAATTACTATACATTACAATTCTCAAATCTTTACATTAAAAAAGAGTATTAACAATCGAGAAAACATCATGTCTGGATGACACATTATGTTAATTAATATAACATGAATTTTTAATTCAGAACACATAGGTTGGAATTCGTGCCTTGATTTGTAAAAAAAAAAAAAAAGCAAAACATTCGCAAAATAATGAAGGCACAGCGGTATTAAAAACTGCGTTTCTTTGTATTTACGATCGAGTAAAGTGAACAGACAAAGCCGGATCTGATACTAAAAGTATCAGTACCAATTCTTATTAAAACAATTTGGCCAAACAAAAACAATATAAAAATTTACAACTCCCTGACATAAATTCCATTTCATAAAAAAATGAGCTATTAGGATGTTTGTAATTAATACAAGGTTGGACAAAAGTGGACTTGGATACCCATATTGCCAGTCTTCCGAATTGTCGACGTCTCTGTTCAGCGGTGTTTTTTTTTTGTCGAGCTGCGTTCTAGTGGTTCCCTTGAGCTGCTGCCTCTTTCCGTGCCCTGATTTGTCGATAGCGAGGTTCGTTGATGCAGCTGTTCGCCGATATCGTCTTCGGGTGCTGCTCGCCGAAAACCTGACGCAAACGAAACAATTACGACATTGATTCAGTGCTAGAATCCGGGTCCCGATATTTTAAAATTTATTTTCTCCTCAGATGATACTGGTTCACGAAATGCAGTACATTTTGTACTTTGAAAAACACGGTTCATCAGTTGAGCAAATTGCAAGACAAAATAAAATGGCAAAATGCATCCTTGGTAACTCACGAAACACTGTTAAAGTTGGTAAATACGTACTTTTTCTTAATTTCGATTTTCTTTCTCGTACGAAATTCAAAGGAATGTAATGTCCTGTAACAAATAAATTTGCTTGTTTGCTTTTGCAAGCCTTTATCCACTTTTAAAAAAAGTTGTTTTAAATGCCACGCTCCAGTTCAGAAAGTTTCGAGCGCAATGCCATAAATATTCATATCTAGTGACATATCAGCTCATACCTTATGTTAGTTTTGGAACCACACGTTTTGTATTCGCCTGGTCCGCTGATCATAGCTATGCGATGATCGCCAGGCCGGTTCGCGGCATGCTCCATGATCATAGTATCCGCAAAAAGCTGGAGCAAAAACTCAAGTGTATCCCTGGTATTGAGAAGTTTATGTGACGTCACAGGTCAGGGGTCACCCACATGCCCACCCTACTGGACGTCTACAGTTGCAAACTAGTAATAAATATGCCCACTTCCGAAATTAAGAAAAAATACTCGCAACTCTCCAAGGTGTTCGAGACACTTATCAAATGAAAGCTTATTTGTCATCTTTCATTTTCTGTTCAATGTTTTGGGGGTTAACCAACGAATTTTGGAGAAAAAACCCCGGATATTGACCACATGTACGTTACGCATAATGCAATGTACATGTACTGTACGATCGATCGAGCATGCTAGACGTCCACAATGGCGGATCCTGCACCGTTCACGTGATAATGTCACGTGGATGCAAATCCTCAACGCGCTGACAGCTTTGTCCTTACCTCTCTAGATATCTCGTACCACTGCGCAAAGTAATCATAAGCCGTGTCAAATTCCCGCCTGTCCTCGTAGTAGATGCCTATGTTGCTCATGATGCGTGTCATGAGCTTGCAGTTCTCTCCATAGGCTTGCTGGCACTGCTCCCTGGATAACTCGTACCACTTTGCGGAGGAAAAACAAAGTTGTGGTTAAAAGATCTGATACACAGATGACGTGTTAACACGATCTGACTGTTTCTATGCACAGGCACGGCTGACGGGTTAAAACATCAAGCATGCCTCGCCTCGCCTCCGGGTAACGTCTAAACACGATAAACCCCTTTTATTTTGTACACACACACAGTCTCCGAAAAGTCTGTGGAGGCGGACCGTGTGTACTTGAACTTGGCTGCTGTGCACGCGGCCTGTTCTGTTACAATTTACGCTCTGTGGGCACACCCCGGAGTGTTGACAAAAATAAGGTTGCGGTAAGATATATCGTACAAATACTGTTAAATTGACTTGCAAATCAGTATTTGTGGCGTTTGGCTGTATATCAAAAGTTGGCTGCTTTATTTTTGCCTTTTTCGAAAATCAAAAATGTCGGCAAAAATTATCCCGGCGCGAACTGGTTAATATGATTTGATGGTTACCTCTATTTGCTCTGGTTCACCGCGAGGGAACACGATAGCTTTTGTCATGCTAGCTTCAGCCTCTTTACCAAGATCTCCGATCTGAATGAAAAAAAAGGAAAATCACAAAATTAAGTGTGATATTTCCACTGGGGAATTGATCGATGCAAAATATGTAAAATCTGTGAAACACTAGATTTGAAAAATCTGACAAATTTGTTTGAATCAATTTTTATATTTGATCAATTCGTATGGTCATAAGGCCTGATGAACTGAAACAAATTGATTATGTTGGTAATATATTTTTGGCAATAAATTATGTCAATATTTTCAATCGGTTGGAACTACATTGAAGGTTATTATACACAAACCAAATGGGGCCAGCGGGGAGGCAGGTTCACGCAGTGGCTACTTTCCTCGCCTTCCACCGCTATGGCCTGGGTTCGATTCCCGCCCTGGTCCTCATGTGGATTGGGTTTTCAGTCCCTACCTGATTCCATGGGTTTTCCCCAGAATATTCTTCTGGGATTTTCCTCCCACCTCTAAAACCGTTTCTTCTCATTGTCTCCTCTCTACAGGTTTCTTCAGGTTTGCGAGCTACATTGCCCTAGGCACTGTTTGAGGAATCCTTGGTGTCAGTATCAGGAAGAAATAAAATAAATATGTTCATGTGCGTATGTCATGCGCGGATGGATGATGCGGTGTTGCATTGCAGAGGCACACATGTTGTTTCCCTTGTGCAAAGTGAGCAGGGCCTAATCAATTGGTCCATTATTTGATGGAGATTTACCTCCTTGAAGAGTCGAATGGCCTCGTCCGCTTGGACGACCGATTCGTCCTGGGCTTCTTCAGCAGACAGCGTAGAGTCTCCATTGCATTCACTCCAGTTGTTGAGATTGAACGAAAGACGCATCACCGAGTCAGCCATCTTGTACTGTGAGGAAAGACGCAGATTGATCAATATTCACAAAGGTTTCATGAGAGCAGCCCCAAAATTTCCAAAAATGGAAATAGTTTCTGGGCTACACACATAAAAAAAACCCTCAATTGCACTTAATTTGTAATTCCTCAAAGACACTGGTCAATTTTATAATTTTTGTTTTGTTTTAATAGGGAGTGTGGCCCAGCGATTAGCGTCTGTGACTCAAGATCAGAGGGTCAGGGGTTCAAATGCAGCCACTGGCAAAGTGTTGTGTCCTTGGGCAAGCCACTTTACCTCCATTTGTCTCACCACTTGGGAAGTACATGAAAATAAGTACCAGCATTAACTTTGATGGACTGGTAGCAACTCAGGGGTTTCAAAAATATTCTGTTATTTCATGTCATGGAAAGCAGGGATAAACCCGGACCGGACAAGCTATAGTGGCTAGAGTTAAACTTTAATCCTTGTTTAACTAGTCAGATTTGGAAGCATATTTTTGAAACTATTAACAGCCCCTGGTAATCTACCTTATGTCTCTCTCCTTCCAATGTTTCTCTGATCTTGATGGATCTCCTGCCAAAGTCAATGGCCGGTCTCAGCTCCTTTAACTGCTCCCTTGTGATGAAATCGTGGAGCTTACACAGCTGACAAAAAAATGTTCAGTAAAATATTGGAATCAGTAAAGATTTCCATTATGTTCTCGGTGCTTTTTGTGAACCAGTTTTAACAGCCACGTTTAACTCGCCTCATACAGCTCAGCCTTGAGTGCATTCTCGTATAACCAGGTATAACTAACCAGTTTCATTAATCAGGTTTAACTCGCCTCATACAGCTCAGCCTTGCGTGCATTGAGCTGATCCATCAACCAGGAGTAGTAACGATTAGCCAGTTTTAACTAAGCAGTTTCATTAACCAGGTTTAACTCACCTCATCATACAGCTCAGCCGTGAGTGCATAAAGCTGGTATGTTAACCTGGATTAGTAACCATTTCAATAGCCAGGTTTAACTATCCAGTTTCATTAACCTGGTTTAACTTACTGCATCATACAGTTCAGCCATGAGAGCATAAACCTGGAGTAGTAACCATTTCAATAACCAGGTTTAACTTACCAGAATTCATTAACCAGGTTCAACTCGCCTCATACAGCTCAACCTGGAGCACATACAGATCTGGTCTGTAAATCTAGATTAGTAACCATTTTAATAACCAGGTTTAACTAACCAGTTTTCATGAACTAGGTTTGCTCACCTCGTCATACAGCAGAGCCATGATTGCATAGAGCTCTACCATCCTCTCCGGTCTGGAGCCTAGATGTTCTTGCTCCAGAGAAACTGCCTTGTCTATCAAATCCTTGGCATGATTGTACAATCCTGCCTGGATGCTGTCGTCGACGAATAAGAAGCAGAAATTTTGTCACAGTGCCCTATATTTAATCTCAAACAAACTAACAGGTAACATAAAAAGCCCATTATAGCACCTGTACTACATTGTATTACACTGTGTTTATTCACTGAAGAATCAATCAAACCATAGAGTAGTGCTGGGGCGGTTTCAGGCACTACAGGGAGTACTAGACAGGGCTGTTTAGGGTGCTACAGTGGCCAAACGGTGAAATGAAAAATTTGCGGACAAAACAGGAGGAAAGGTGTATTTCTCAGTTCAATTTTTTTAATGCAAATATCTGCTGACCCAGTGATCCATACAAATCTATGAAAATTGTCTCAAAATTAAGATTGTAATATTTTCTACTTTGTTAATTTTTTTTTTTTCCTACTCACAAAACTTTTGCAATTGTCTCGTTCCTCAGGGAGATCTCTTCTTGTGAGATGCCTTCCCGTGCCTCCAGCTCCTTCAGACTGGCTCTGTAGCTCTCCTCCATCTTGGTATATTTCCCGTCCTTGTCAATCTAAATAACCAATCACATTTCAAATGAACAAAAGTCTGTCACCAGTCTCTGCATTGCTTGGCACATGACATTTATTGCAAGTCAAAGAGGCAAGTTATAATTTTTTCCCCCAAGACTGATCATTTTGAGCTACAGCGAAGTCCTGACAAGCAAATCACAAGTCATGAAGTCGCTAGTCGAGTAACGAGCTATTAACATTTTGGTCACAAAGGCATTCTTTTGTCATTATTAAACTAATATTGTGTCGAGTCCACCACAGATCCATCAGAAGTCTCGTCACGGGGAGTCAGGTTGGCTTTATTAGCGGTTCTTTCCTTGCCTTCTACCGCTGTGAACGGGTTCGTTTCCTGCCCTGTTCCACATGTGGTTGGGTTTTCAGTCCCTTCCTGATTCCATGGGTTTTCCCCAGAATATTCTTGGGGCTTTCCTCCCGCCTCTAAAACGGTAAAATTTCTTGTCATTTCTCCTCTCTAGTCTAGAGGTTTCTTCAGGCTTGCGAGCTACAGTGACTAGGGCGCTTTTGAGGAATCCTTAGTTTCAAAATTCCTCGCCTGACTTGTGAATCACTTTACATTTTTTTGTGAGGGACTAAACTATCTGATCTGTTTCGATGGATTTACCTCTCTCCAGTAGGCCAGCAGCTGTGAGCTGTACTCCTCATCAAAGAGTCTATCCAACATTGGCCATTCTGTCAAGCATCGAGCTAGTCTCTCTTGGTCATGCGTCTTCACCAGTTGATATGGGTATTCCTGCAACCCAAAGATGACAAAAGTTGGTCAAGAAAGATCATTATTAATCATCCTAATCTACTTCAGAACCCTTCAAGTTTCTCCACCTGCCCCCCCCCCCCAAAGCTTTCGCCCACAGAGTTTAACACTTCCAATTCCTTTGAGGCAATCTTCTGTGGAGTCTGGATAACACTTGAAATCCCTGCACAATTCTTTTGTGTGGTTAAGCTCAGGGCAAGCAGGTAGATTCGGTCATGCTTCACTGCTCTCCGCAGCAATATTTGTTGTTCACTGACACAGTTTCTTTAACACTTCATATCCCTGCACATTTCAATATTCCAATTTCAGAAAGACTTCACTCCAGCCGAGACACGCCTCACAACATTTGGTGTTTGAGGTTAGGAACTCTTTGTGAACTGAGCACGAAGAAAGTTTTCACCTCCACTTTCCGGTCCATGTTCTGTTCGTGCTCGAAGAATTCGGCCAGCTTTTGGTGCCACCACTTGCTGAGCTTATCCGAACCTGCTTCCTCTCCCGGTTTCAGCCCAAAATATCTGCAAGACAAAGTAAACATATCATGGTAATATTAAGTTTAACCATAAGTAACCTCCATAATAACAGCTTCTTTTACAATGTTTCATTAATTGACAACTTCATCACAAAAGATCCAACTGTTTTCATGGAAAATTGAAAAAACAAGGAAATCTACTATAAATTTGAGAAAGTTACATGCCTGAAAAAAATCACCAAAACAAAAAAAAGTTAAAAGGATTCTCACTTTTGCCTGACAGCTTTGCTGAGTGACCGATGATAGAAGTCCAACCGTCCTTCCCCGCTGTCGCCAAACGGCCGGAGGAACGGCCTGAGAGCCCGGTAGACCGCTGACCACTTGACGGCCGGTAAGGGCTCGCCTCTGGTCTTCTCCTTCCCACGGTCCTTTGTTTTGAAGAACTTCTTGGTGAGGATGGACATGTTCTCTTCGTCACCCAGGATGGAGAGCAGCTCTGTCTCCAGGAGACCGTTGGAAGAGCATTCGAGGAGGGACAGGGTGGCCACGACAAGATGGCCGCCGTTCTCTTGCTCAAAGCGTGTCAGGACTTGGCCCAGCAAACTGCACAAAAAGTAGAAAACAAATCTCAAATTTAATTTGCTGACTTTTTTTATCAACAGTGTACAATCATTGCTGTCTTCTGAGAGCTCGCAAGGAAAGTTTACTCGGGTGGAACTCCAACCCATGACCTGCTGCCTACTAGTGTCAGCCACTGAGCTTCTAATAAAAAACTTTTGAATTATTAAAACGAGGCTGTAAAGGCTTTGCCACTGAGCTTCTAATAAAAACACTTTTGAATTATTAAAACAAGGCTTTAAAGGCTTTGCTCTACACAAATATAACCCAAAGCCAAAATAAAAAAAGATTGGAATAGATATCTTAAAGCAATCTTAAAAACCAATAAGCCGAAGCCCAAAAATTCTTGGAACTTGCATACATACCTAAACAAAAGTGTTGCAAGAATGTAAAACAGACATTATAAGAAGGGAGTCAGGTTGGCGCTTTGGCCCGGGTTCGATTCCTGCCCTGGTCCTCATGTGGATCGAGTTTCCAGTCCCTACCTGATTCCGTGGGTTTTACCCAGAATATTCTTTGGGGGTTTTCCTCCCACCTCTAAAACTGTAATTTCTTCTCATTGTCTCCTCTCTACAGGTTTTGTCAAGCTTTCAAGCTACAGTGCCTAGGGCACTTTTGAGGAATCCTTGGTTTCATCATTACCAGACAGAAAGAAAGAAAACTAAATAAAACTCCCCCCCCTTACAAACCAAAGCCCAAGCCACAAAACAGACATCTTTGCACTCACTTCAGCAAGCCATCCGACAGGGAGTTGATCTTCTTCGTGATGGTCCTGAAGTCTCCGTAGACACGCAGCTCCTCGCAGGCGATGGCCAACCACAAGGGATTCTGGGAGGAGTCCTTACCCAGAAGACTCGCCATCTGCTCGGCGTCCAGACGCTTGTTGTAACGGCCGAGAATCTCTCGTACTATCTCCTGTTGTAATGAAAGCACATGGATTTTTTTTGTAAATGGAATGGGGCCAATTTCATGTGTCTATTTAGTACTTATTGGTGCAGAAAAATACTGCTACGTTTTAACAGGTTCCTAGCCCAAATGACATGTTGTGTGATACGATCCGCATTGACAGGGTACCAGCCAAAATGTCATGTGACACAATTTAAATGTCACATGACACCTCTGAAACTGTAATTACTTCTTATTGTCTTCTCTGTACAGGTTTCTTCAGGCTTGCGAGCTACAGTGCCTAGGGCGCTTTTGAGGAATCCTTGGTTTGATTTACCAGGAATAAATAATAATAATTATTATTATTACCGGCAATGGGGTAATAGGGAGACTTTCCTCTAGACTTGTGCACAAAAATTTTCCGAATTAAATGTGCCCTAACCCAATATTACCTTGTCCTTTTTCCACGAATTTCGGTATTTTTACTAATTAGACCACGAGCAACAAATATAACCTAATTTCGACAGCAAAATTATTCCTCTAAAGGGGGGCTGCGCCAATAGGGAGACACCTAGGTATCTCCCTATTAAGCCCGTGTCTCCCTACTATCGAAGTTTCTACGCTAACGTGTCTCCCTAATAGTACATTTGTAGGAATAATAATAATACTGTAATAACAGTAATGGCTAATTGTTTTAAATCAAAGTTGTTACCCCATTATAGTCCCTCTACTGCCCCAAACCGCACTACCTATTTCTCCCTGCATTATGGCTTATGGATTCACCAGGGAATGAATATAAATGAAATACCAATTAGTACAGGTGCTTATTGAAATTCACACTAACCTTTCTAGAGTCTATGTCCAGTGGAGTGACGGCCACCTCGTCAGGCTTCACGTTGCGATCCTTGAGCAGACGATGGGGCGGCGTGTCGTCAATCATGGAGAAGATGCAGCGCACCTGGGGGGCCAGTTTCCGTGGCAACCAGCTCAAGATGGAGGCTGTTTTGTCTTCATTCAGCTATGCGGATGAGATAATGTGACAATTTTGTTCAAATCACAACACGAGAGTTTTGGATAAAAACCTGAAAGTACTTTCGACAAAACTATATCAACAGAACTTGAAAGAAATGCTCACCTGGTTCAATGCATCTATAATAATAATGACCGGTTTGGAGTTCGGGTTGGATAGGACGCTACCAACCAGCTGGGCTGCTGTCTCATAATCTTTGGGCATGTTGGAATCCTGGAATGAAAAAGAAGAACAATTCATTACTTCGAAGAACCAAAACAAATTTATTGCTTGAAACTTGTATTAACCAGACAAGTTGTGATTTCTTACAATTGTTCCATATCTTACTCAGCATGCATAAACTATCGTCACACAAACACTGAAATTTGTATCCTTGTGGAGACATTCCTTTGTTCTCGTGTAGTAAAGTTTTTGAGTTTAAAGTGTATTTTCAAAATGCTTTTATTTTAACCAGAATTAATTTCCTTGGCTGAAATTCGGACTTACTATCCCTTTTTTAAAACTCTTCCATTTGCGACGGATCAACCCACCTTGGAAATTCCTAGTTATTGAGTAAAATCCATTTATCTATTTCGTAAAAACCTTGTGGAGACGTATTCATCTATAGAAATTGCCCTGTGGAGACGTATACAATCTTTTGTTCCCTATTGTGTGCATGTCTCCAGAGGGCACGATGTATCAGATCATGTAGACACATGCAAACATTATGTATTTAATAAAACTTTCAGAAACTCCACCTGGCATTATTCAGCAGTTATATCATTACAGTGGGGGAGTTTTGCCTTTTATACTCACATTGCACATTTTCAATTCCCTGAGTAGTCGCTTCAGCATTTTCTCGATATCTGTGGAGCCCGGAATAGCCCCGACAAAATGATAGAAGATGTGCCAGCCCTTGTCACCACCACTAAGAATAAATAAAAAGTTTGGTGTTCATGTTAAGTTCCTTTTGAGTTTATTCATAAAGTTGTGAGAGGTTCTTTCTCCACTTTGTAAAATAAATGTTACACTAGAGAAATGATAGTTTGTACTCCAAAGGGAATTGCTGCAAATGTATGTGTCTACAAAACAACTTTCCAATTCCAAGAAAAAAACAGTATATTTATGTTATAAATGAAGCTATGATGATGAATCGTTTTTAGAAAATCAGTGCTGGCTGCCAACATGACGATTCAACATAACTTCTGAAAACCTTAAGAAACTTTGTTTAGGTTGCAAACCAAGTTTTGTTGTTGACTTTTTGAAGCTAGATTGTGTTGAAGCGTCCCAGCTTTTGCCGGTGGAAGGCAAAATTTCATTGGTGAACAAAATCATACTTACGTAAAATAAGTATCAGACAATGTAAAGACTTTAAATTGGAATGCTCTGCCTTACCCTGGTATCTCTCCACTGCCTGCCTTGTTGACTGCTACATCAGCCACTCTGGCCATGATGGAGGACTTCCCTGAGCCCGGGCCTCCTAGGAGGAGGAGTGGTACACCTGTGCTGATATCTGTCACAAAATCCTCCATCTAGCCAAAGCAAAAACAGACAATTTCAACTTACCACCAAGCATAGATACATATATTTTTGGCTGTTTTCGGAAACTTGCCAAAACAGCAAGTTTTGGTTAAGATTTTTTTCCAGTCACATTGCCCATAGCATTTGTACATGTTTTGTTTTGTCCCTGGCACTATTTGGGCACTTAAAGCAATCCGATTGCCTTTATACTTGGCACACTAGCACCTGCAGATGTGTGCCGAACATTGACGTCATCACGTGTCACGTGACGTCACATTAAAGGTGCATTTTTATATGCCTATATCTACGAAACTATTGGCACTGATCAGTATACAACTTTCTACTGATCTATGCCCCATCAGTCTATAACATGACATAAAAATACAATAAATTGCCGAAACAGCCATGTGATTGTCCACGAACATAACTCTAGTTTAAATTATCTCTTGTAGGAATAGCACTGTTAGTTTTTTAACAACAACAATGTATTTCATCAGAAGCAATTTACCCTATGAAGCGGTTATTTCTATTTGAAAGCTTATGGAAGTTGTTACCTTAAGTCAATTATCAAAATACAAGAGACTTTAACCTTCACCAAGGAGGTTATGTTGGTTGGTTTGTATGTTAAGAAGATAACTCAAAACGTTATAGACGGATTTGCATGAACATTTGTGTAGGGGCGGTCCTTGGTACAAGCAGAAATCCATTAGATTTTGGGAGTGATCCGGATCTGGGTCTGGATCCAGGATTTTTTTAAAGGATTCTGCACCATTTATGCGAGTATTTCTTTTGGGTGTACTGACAAGCATGTCAATAGATGGCACCCTCCAACACTCGCGGTCATCGCGCCTCGGTCGTTTCCCATCCGGGTATTTCTCACGACCCACCGAAGGGTCCCACATTGGCACAATATGGCGGGGAATTGTTCAGCCTTGACTGAGGTTTGCACTTTCTGAGTGCTTTCTAGTGATTTTTTGTATGCTGTTTTGCAGTTTACTTTATCTAAATATGACATGGATGACATGTGCACTGTAAGTATTCAAATGAGACTTTTTACCTTCTGTAAGATATCATTTCTGCCGATGACGATAGCACTACGACTCTTCATGAAAGCATCATGTGCCTCACGCTGCTGCTCATAAGGATCTAACTTGGCGTTCTCATCCAACGGGTACTGCTCCTCTACCCTCATCTTGAAGAACTCGAAGATCTATCAATAATAAGAGATTTCAATTCACTGTTTTGTTATTATAACATTACAAACTCTAGATTATTCACTCCAGGTACATGATATGATGACTGGATGCAACAGGGAACAAGTAATGACAAAAACAAAATTGTGAGCTGTTCAAAAGATTTTTGGCCTATAAAAAGATAATGATTGTGATTTTTCAAAATCAATATGTTTTCACAAAATAAACATCTTAAACTTACTCTTACACATGTGCATTTAAAGTTAATCCGTTTGTCTGTGCTGTTTCAAAAAGAAATGATACTGTGTATTGTTTGATTTCCCTATTCACTCTGAAAGAACCTACCTTTTTCTTGAAGTCATCCAGGCCTTCCATTTGCACTTTGCCCGTGTCGACGTCGATTCCGCCAAACTTGCAATGGTACTTAAATACGCGATTATCCTAGTGGAACAACAAGGCATCGTTTTATACGGGAAAGAAATTGAGGTTGATTATATTGGTTCACATTGCCCATCACTGTTTTATAAAATCAATATAACTTTGGACTTTTTTTTTTTACCATTCTTTATTTTTGTCTCATCTAAAGAAAAAAATTGATGTGAAAAATGATTAGGAATGGAATTATTCAACCAGAAATACACCATGTTTGTTGAATCACACTGTTAGTTTTGCAGTTGATGGGGGAAAGTTTTCACACGGAGTGAAATTGAAGAACAAAATGGCAAAGATACTTGCTTATGTAACTGAACCTTTCTTTTTTTTCAGAAAATTTTCAATCAATACTTGAAGGATATGTACATGTGAACAGGTGCCTGGTTTACACACATGAAACCTTAATGTGGATAGAAAATCAAAACATCTCTGCCTCTCTTGGTCAAAGTCAGACTGGACGGCTATCATTTTGTAATAAAACCAATGTGAATCAATCTGAATAAATGAAAGAAAATGGCCAGGTGAATCTACTCTGAACAAAATCTGTCCCCTTCCCCAGAAAATAAACCCAAATATGCCAAAAAACGAGAATCAATTAAGCTGTAAAGACTGTTTTGGATATTAGCACAGATGTACCGAGTTATGATGACCACAACAGGAATAAATACTCATGTCGGCTAGAATTGAGTACGTGTAGTTGACGCTACATTCACAACTCACATGTGCCAACTATATGGAAATAAAAGTACATGAAGCTACACTAACAATGACCACTTTGACTAAGAGAGACGGAGATGGACTGATAGATACCATTGAAGTCAAAGAGGAGGAATCTGAAGAGAAGAGGGAGGAGGGGTGTGGTGATGAAGAACAACCGTTCATCTGTGAAAAATGGGAGTCAGAAAAAGGGTGAGTGCAACAAGGTAAGAGTGGCGTCAAGTCTGTCACAAGTCCTCACAAGTCTTCTCAAGTCAGTCTCAAGTGTCATCAGTCCTCATAAATCCATCACAAGTCCTCAAAAGTCTGTCACAAATCCTCACAGGTCAATTAGACATTAGTCACGGGTCCTCATACATGGAAGTCCTTGTAAGTCCTCTCAAGTCCGTCACTCACAAGTCCTCATAAGGCCGTCACAAGTCCATTTAAGTTCATCACAAGTCCTTATAAGGCCGTCACAAGTCCTCTTAAGTTCATCACAAGTCCTTATAAGGCTGTCACAGGCCTCATAAGTTCATCACAAGTCCTCATTATTTCATCACAAGTCCTCATACGTCCATCACAAGTCCTCACAAGTCGTTCAGTCACAAGACAAGCCGGACAAATAGACAAGTAGTCACAAATGTTAGTCTAGTGAACTTTACTTGTTAATTGGTTAATCACTCCACACAGCATAACCCCCCATAACAAAACGAACAAAGAGCCTGATTTTCTAACAAAAAATTGACAAAATCTGCTTGTTTCTCTATATTTGTTTAATTCAAGCATTTGATCCCCACATCTGACAAACTTTATTTGGGGATGCAAAAAGATTTTACTGTTCCACACAGATACAACCATCAAAATGCTATCTACCAAAGACAGCGAGAGATGAGATAAATCTTCCGGTTACCAACTTACAGGGAACCTGTCTGTCAGCATGTCTTTCAGCATTTTGAGTTTCTGGGAAGCGACTGGATTGGAGTCTACAAAGTCATTGTGGTATTTCTCCGGCAAAGTTCCCAGAAAAGTTGCATCTCGCATTGCAAATATTGCTGAGGACGAAAGCAAAAACAAAGAAAACTGTGAGTAATAGACATAGCTTTTCATTATAATTTCCCTAAAATACAACACGATGGACAAATTTGATTAGACTTCTGTTTTGATTACCGCATCTTGAACATGAACAAAGACGTCAAATTAGAAGATTACCAAGACAGGGCTCAATAGACCATCATCATGTTGCAGCCATTGATTTTTTCCCTATTCAAATCAATGTAACCAAAGCGAGGCTGGAAGGAAAAATAGTCTGGTTCCTTTTTGCGCAAAAAACATTATCATTCAGTACTGTTATTGGATACAGGGAACATGATTAAAATGGTGGCAGCATGATAAAGGTCTATAGCTTAGTATGTAGAGTGCAGTGTTGTAGGGGGAGTCAGGTTGGCGTAGCGGTACTTTCCTCGCCTTCCACCGCTGTGACCCGGGTTCGAATCCCGCCTGGGCCAATATGTGGATTGGGTTTTCAGTCCCTACCTGATTCCGTGGGTTTTCCCCAGAATATTCTCCTGGGCTTTTCCTCCCACGTCTAAAACTGTACCTTCTTCTCATTGTCTTCTCTCCACAGGTTTCTTCAGGCTTGCGAGCTACAGTGCCTAGGGCGCTTTTGAGGAATCCTTGGTTTCATTACCAAAAATGATTAATAATAATGACTCTCTAGTCAAATTTTCAGTGACTCGGACTCGACTCTAGTCATATTGGCATGACTCGGACTCAAGACTCGACCATCAGCCGCTTAATGACTCGTGACTCGCAAGTCATATATTGTAAATTTACACAAAAAAGGTACCTTTTAAGAACATTATTCCGATGTATATTTTCCGAAATGAACGTTAAGCACATACAGTCGACTCCTGATAAGAAGAGCACTGTTAATACAAGGTACTGCTTATAACAAGCACAATTTTAGGTCCCAAGTCTTTGTTTTCCGTTACTGTTAATACAAGGTACCTGTTATAACAAGGTAATTCGTAAAGTCCCAAGGACCTTGTTATAAAGGTAATCGACTGTATAGCAAGAACTGTCCCACGACAAAAAATGCACACCTCCTTATTTCTTCTCACAATATTAGGTCGGTGATTGGCAAAAATGGAAAAACACACTCACAATTGTAATTGTCTTTCCGGTAGGCGCCATGCATGATCTCCATCTCGGTGACTGACAGACCGCTAATCCATCGATACTCCTGTTGAAGATTCTCTGGGACTTCACCCAAGCCTGGAATCCAGCCGCACCGCTCACTTCAAAAAGGATACCAGGTACGTGAAGAATGTTAGAGATAGGGCAGATAATGAGTGGTTTGGATAACCTTGCTACATCATGAATAATAAATTGTTGACGTTTGATAACCGGCAAATATTCTTTGCTTGTTGTAAGGTATTCACAAGATGGAATTTTGCATTGATGTGATATAAATCAAATTAGTAAGTCGGTGAAGGGCAAAACCTAATTTGTTTGTTGTAAGGTGTATGACTTAAAGCTTGGCATGGTTAAATAATGTACGTGAAATCCGCTGAACTTCAACTACTACAATGAATGGTTGGTTCTGAAAGAACTAGTTGCGAGAGTGTTTTCTCCACATTTTGGACAGGATGTGTGACAGGATCCACAAAAAAGGGTATTAAGTCGCGGTGTGCATTATTGTGTAATGGGTCCGCTCAATATTGAGAGGGTGAAAATTTCGTCAAAATGTGATTTTCATTTTTTGTGTAATGAATATAACATCTTTAATACCTACAGTTTCAGGTTTATGTGACAGAAATGTTGATTCTCAATGGACAAAATGGGGGAAAAAACAACCACTTTGTGTGCATCGTTCTGTAGTTCTACGACTAAGCCAGCTATTTCAAAGCCTGTTTTCTCAGTTGTGTAAGTTGAACTCCAAGGAAGTAATTAATATCAAATACATCATATTTCCAGAACGGAGGGGCTATGGAGCTCTATTGTAATACCAAATGAAAGCATACATTGTGCACTTTCCAACCATGTGTATAACTCAATTTCACTTTTTTTGCGACATAATATCCTTTTTTGTGGAGTCCAAAGAATGCAACTTCCATTCTGCAAGAGAAGTGCATAAGGGTCATTCTATAAATTTGGGGTCCACTTTTTTTCCTGTCCCTGTTACATCTGACCTCTACGATTTTATAATTTTGATGCACTCCTCAATGCCTTCATCCTCCAAGGAAGAACACAACCAATATAATGCTCACGCTACTAATTTGCTTTCTTGTTTAATTTCTTGATGGATAATGTCTGTCAATACCTCGTCATATTGAGAAAGAACGGCATGATATTGTCAGCGTAGCATCTGTCAATCTCGCCTAGACACATCCGTAGTGTGTCCTCTGATGTTGTATCCTTTGGTACACCCTGAAGGAGAAAAAAAAATGTACATCAAATATCTATTTTTTTTCAAGAAACAAAGTAGCCTTCTATTTCTGAACGCTTATTTAAATTCCTACCAATGAGTGCTTCATTTCACCATTTGAAGTGGAGAATAATAGGATTAGGAATTGGTGTTACACAATATTCCAATTTCTCTCCACCAAATAATTGAATACCTTAAATTGACTCTATGATCTGGTTGATCAATCCAATCCTCGGACCTCACTCCTGTGTCTGTTATGGGACACCGTAACACCTTTGTGATATATTTTCATTATGCAGACTTTTCGTACGTGTTCCCATGCTACATGTAGATTTAAGATCAGGGCAAACACAAAAATACACCTCCATGCACATGTATGTATCTGTTGTGAAAAAGAAAAAGAAAAAAAAACATTTAAATATTTGATCATCTCACCCATCTCAAGTCTACATCCACTAGGTACAGTCGCCTCTTCTCACACCATGCTCTCAGATCAGGGAATACCTATAGAAAACATTAAAATTATAAGAAATAAATAAAACATAAAAATAGATATTAAAAAAATGATGAAGTGGTATGGCTAGCTCCATAAATAAAAATTAATTATGAGTACATGTAAATCAATCGATATTAATTAACGAGGAGCTTCATGCATAGACCATGTCCCCTCAGCTGTAACTTACTATCAGCCAAATGAATACAACAGTGCCTAACTGATAAGCTCTGCATTAAATAACAGGATACAATCAAAATTGCTGTCGTAAGATCTTCGTGTTAAATTGGGGTATATCATTGTTAGGATTAAGATTTATCAGAATTTCTTCGGATAATAATTGACTTTCAAATTTAATAGATTGAAAATAAATATATAATTTTCTGTAACAAGTCAGGTCTTTTTTTAAGGAGGTCAACATTTGGTGGATATGAATGAAAATTCACAAATGACATAATGTTCATGAATTGTTATATTTGATTTCAAGGACAAGTAAAATAATAGAATACGCTATTTTACTGCATGGTAAACTGTGTTCAAACTTAAAGATTAAAATTGAAAATCAGTTAAATTTTGATGTACAGAACGCAGAACATTTTTAATTCATCATTTTCACCAAACGGTGGAATTCTCTGCATTTGTAGGAACATGTCAACTTTCTATTTTTCATGGACCGAATTTATGATTGCCAGTATTCAGGATTAAATTCACTGAAAAATTAAGTACAAATTTCGGGGTTTGTAAAATGAGGAAAAATACACCACCCTTTTTATAATTAAAAAAAAAAAATTAGAAGAAAAACTGTCAATACTGCACATATGAACAACCTTTTACTATTTTAAGAGCGGAGTATTGATTGTTGAGATTCTCTTAGCAACAGTCGCCATTGGCAACTGCACACATGTACACCTTGAGGGAAGTCAGCATGCTTGAGTAAAGGCATTGTGCACCTGTAGGGATAATTGACCCAACTCTCCTATGTACACTGGACATGTACATATACAGGTGTACCTATTGTATGCACACTATTGATTGGGCATTGTCCACCGTATAATACAGGTGATGGCAATAGCTTACACACACAGTTTACTTTGCTTTTGTATGCATTCCCTGAGTGCATGGCATTTTTTATATTGGGGATCGGCATTTGAAGTACATTTGTAAGCTTCATTTTTGACAAGATGACCTGCAACAGAAATACATGTACAATGTACTAGTATGCTAATTGGGAATGTAGGGAAACTGAAACTGGAAAAGATTAAGACAGCAATTTACAGCATTTACAATGATTTCTATACATAGGGCTAGCCGGATGTAAATGAAAACACACTGAGGTCTATTTGTACTTGATTAATCTCCCCATCCTTTTCAACAACGTTGATTTTGTTTTACTTAATACATTTTTACTCTGTATGATTTATTTGAACAAATAAACCCAACCAAGCAAAAAACAAAACAAACAAAAAACACCAAACAAACAAACAAACAACCCAACAAACATAATTTAATCTACATGTATTTGGGGAGTCTGCAACCTTTGGAATAGAATAGAATTTAGATAATTTTATTGGTCATGCATGAAAAGAATACATGAAAATTGTCCTCCTGATGTAAGGAATTATTAAACATACATACATGTAAAATAACCTAAAAACTTGGGTGCAATTACATCACAAATTTATACAGAGTGAGGAAAAATTAGTTTTTAAAAGAAAGCTTATATTTTTGGTGGCTTTACATGCTTTAGTGTGTCTAACACACAAAAAGATCTGCCTGATTTTTTGTTGGACATCTAGTTCAAAATTTGTATTTTTTAACAATTTAAATATACCAGTCAAGGAGTTTCAACAAGGAATAAACAAATATCTAAATATCAAAACTGATGACCTTCAGAAACCTGAGCACACGTTCCAAGTTTTGGTTGTTGTTCTATTAGTGTATGCAGTGGATTTGCATATGATTTTGCAAATCAATGCAAAAAAGTGTCCAATTTGTAGGGGAGCAATCTTGGGGTTCATCATTTGTCTGAAAGCATTTTCTTTTACACAAAAAATAAAATAAAAATACAATTGGGGAAGGGGGAGGGGCACCAGTCTTACATGTAGCTTTTAAGACGGAGAAGTGTAGCATTATCTAGAGTTGACATTAACAAGTCAATCACAAGTCACTCACAAGTCACATCACAAGTCAATCACAAGTCAATCACAAGTCATTCACAAGTCAATCATAAGTCATTCACAAGTCAATCACAAGTCATTCACAAGTCAATCACAAGTCATTCACAAGTCACATCACAAGTCAATCACAAGCCAATCACAAGTCAATCACAAGTCAATCACAAGTCATTCACAAATCAATCACAAGTCATTCACAAGTCAATCACAAGTCATTCACAAGTCAATCACAAGTCAATCACAAGTCAATCACAAGTCAATCACAGGTCAATCACAAGTCAATCACAAGTCATTCACAAGTCATTCACAAGTCAATCCCAAGTCAATCACAAGTCAATCAAAAGTCATTCACAAGTTAATCACAAGTCCATCACAAGTCATTCACAAGTCAATCACAACTCATTCACAAGCCAATCACAAGTCATTCACAAGTCCATCACAAGTCAGTCACAAGTCAATCACAAGTCAATCGCAAGTCATTCACAAATCAATCACAAGTCCATCACAAGTCAATCACAAATCATTCACAAGTCATTCATACATGTAGTTCACCACAAGTTGAACATCAGTCAGGTCACACGTTAAATTGTGGACTGAGGATTTAATGGTCATTTAATTTTAGTTCATTTAATGTGCTGTAAGCGGACTTGAGACTGAACGACATTGTGATTGACTTGTGATTACATATGACAACTTGATTACAACTTTGGAAAGCCAGAAACAAAGGTGAAGAAATTAGGACTTTTATGGCAACTATCAACTTACAATAAACTCATTCATTCAAACATTTAATGAATGAATGAAACAAAGGTGAAGAAATTAGGACTTTTTTTGGCAAATATCAACTTAAAAATAAACTGATATTACCTCTTTAATCAACACCTCCCGTTCTGCATGGAAGTCACGGAACGTGGACGATACGAAGATCCTGACTGTCTTCCAGCCGACACGCTTGATAACTAGTTTCTTACTCTGTTGTTTGACCTCGATGGTCTTGTTCACGCTGTCCCATTGCTGGCTGATTTCTGAGGAGTAATCCAAGCTTCGCGAGGCTCCGCAACCCATGATCCTGCCGATGCTGACCTAAATGTAGGTCACTAGAGATCCTGAAAAGCTAGTCAGAAAACAGAGAACTTGTAAATACCTATATTATACGTACTCAAATTAAATAAATAAAATTAAGGCCAAATTAGGCAAAAATTAACCAACTTAGTAGGCCTAGACCCTAGGCCTATGTTTATAATTGAAGTTTAAAAGTATGATTTTATTGTTTGAATGAATAGTCTGGCTTTATTATTATTCAATTCAATCCAAATAGACATTCATTTCCATATACAGCTGATACACAATAGATAATGATTGATTATTATCAAACAAAAGCACACTCCAAGATGGAACAATACATAGGTGACCTAAACAAAAAAATTAGAGTTGATGCTGATATGGAGGTATAGAAATGCCTTTACCGAAAAACAAAACAAGACAAAGACAAACAAATATAACAAGACTTTACAAAATCACGAGAACAGATTCTATGTATAATGATACAAAATACAAATAAACAAATAATTGAAATAGCAATATATAATGAGAAGGAGCATAGAGCAAGGAAGGAGCTATGCCTATGATCTATAGATAGATAACAGGAAACAAGATGTTTTTTTTATTATTATTATTTATTCGGCCAAATTACAAAAAGCAATCCACAAAACTAAACAAAACTAAACAAACGAAGCTGGCCAGGATTGACAAAACGTATAATAAAACACTGTGACTCGGAAGGGCGCTAGGGCTAGGCATAAACATCCTGCCAACATTGCACCATTTTGCGCAATCATCGACATGATCAAGTGATATGTATGATTGAATTTGATTTAGTCTGTACGTGCCGTGCGCGTGTCTGTGTTGGTTTACCTCTGTGTTTACCGATCCACCGATCGATCGCGTCCATCATTCGCGATCGCGCGCAAGGGCACGTGGTTTACACAGCAATACAAATACATTATCTTTCATCTGGTCATTCAGAATGTCTTAGGCAACATGTTTAATATACACATATCATTTCATGGAATTACTGTTAATTAAAAGACAAAAAAATCTACGGACTTTACCACCTCTTACCTGTGCCTGGCAACGATCACCGATATCGCGATCGGAATAAGTAAACATCAAGTAGTGCGCCCTCTCGCGAACTCGCCGGCGCGTTTCACTTTCTCCTCAATTCAAACTCATTCATGCGTGAGAGAATATGTGAACACGTACTTTCACTTTTGTATATCAATTATTAGGCTTAAAGTGGCAGTCTTGTCATTCCCTCCCCAACAAACAGTCTTACATTCGAAAAGAGAAGGGATGAAATATCAGCTGCTACTTTGGTTAGAAAAAGGCCACTTTTAGTGTGCAAAAAGGCCAACATTTTATTGGTGATACTCTGGTGTATCCAGGAGGAACAAGGGCGAATTAAGGGGCTTATACTACATCGGTTGGGTACGGGCAAGCACGCTCCCCTCCAGAAGTAAGGCCCGTAACATCGGCCTTGAGACAGTTCAGAAATTTGTGCACAATTAATTTAAGTGCAAGTTTGCTTTCTGATGCGTGGGAGGGGATGATGACATTTCTTCCAGATTCATTTTATTTGTCTTATAAAATAAAACCACGAGAATAAACATAACTACCGATTATCCGGTTTCACAACCTTTATTTCTCTCGCACTCATGGTTATGTTCTACAAGGTATATATGCTTACATGTACAGAATTACATCGTCATATATTGCACTTTAGTGGGTTAAGAATGACACTAACTTAGTGCTGAATAGAAAGCCAAACAAAATGTATGATCATATAAACCAGACAGATTTTAACACTTCCTACACATGTATCTGCACAAAATTAAAATCCATGGGAGATTTGAGACAAGTGTTGTAATCTGAAAGAGAATCTACAAAAACAAAAAGAATTCTAATACACGTATCCTTTCAACATACACTGATACAAAAATATGGGAAACCATCCTTTGAACAAGACCTTAAAAAGATCAACCCAAGTTGAAATTTGCTGCCAAATTTAAATTGTAGAAATCTTTGCACTGTTAATGGCTTAGATTAAATTAAACTCTGAATATTTTTGTCAGTGAATTATAGTACCGGTACCTATAAATATGTTTAAGTGGCTTCATCTAATAGTCATTTACAATGTATCTACATTTAATAATCAGGTGTAAACAATTTACCAATATGTACATGTTTCACTTTGGTCTTTTCAATCTTCATGATTGACAGAAGTGCACTACTAACATGTGCTGTAACTTTTCTTTTTATAAATAATATATATCAGATTGTGTACAATATTTTTTTACATAACAGTTCAAGGTAGGCCCACATGCTTAATAAAAATGACAATATTGTTGGGATGGTGAAACTTGCAAACCCTTCTACAAATGGATCAGTCTTCTTTTAATGAATGCTCATTCAAGCACGAAAACATATACAGTCTATAATCACTTTTGGGATAGCTCATAATAATGCTATACAATTGATAAATTTTTTCTTGAAAATCATTCTAAGCCTTTACTTTAGACAGGACAGTTGAGGCGTATTGTTGAACATGATTGAGAGTTTGTATATAAAATTGTGACCCTGCTGTATTTCATAAGCAACGAATACATAACCATTTTGTTCGAATCTTCAAAAAGACTATCAAATTCACAATGCTGAGAAAGCACATTTGTAAAGGAGTCATTCACATTAGTTCGGTCTCAAGTCACTAAAGGATGAACAATGACGAAGAAACGCCTTTGTTGGAGTTACTTCAATAGTTTTTCCACTGACTTGAGACTGGGCACCTTTTGATTGACTTGTGTCAACTTGATAACAAGTTGATGAGACTGCCGTTGTTATGCTCCAGCTATGGCAATGGTCCTAACTATTGTTCGGACAGTCAGTCCCAAACAAAAAGTTGGGAATTCCTGACTATAGTTTGGATGATCAAAACTGTTGTTGGGACCGTCCCAACTTTATTTGGGACGATGCCACAGTTGGGGGTAACACCGTCGATAGCCAGCTCGAAGAGCGCCCTCTATCATCCCATCTCTCTCACCACAACGGATGCTTCTTGAACATCCCCTTCCACTTGTGGCCTTCTGCGTCCTGCATCCTCTTGTTCAGGAACCTCATCTTCTCATTCAGCTCTTCCATTTCCTGGGGGAAATAACAATATTTATGTTTTCATGCTGTGGTCTATTTTCTAAATTTTACCCTCTGAATTAAAATGCACCAAAGGTCTATCCCTTTCTTCAAATGTGGTCCATGTTTTACTGAATTTTCAATGCATGCTTTAACCAATTTGCACCTGTTCTACATTGTATTACATTGTGTTTACTCACTAAAGAATTAATAAAACCATAGAGTGCTCGGGCGGTTTCAGGCGCTACAGTGAGCAATAGTCAGGGCAATTTCGGTACAGTACAGTGACTAAAGGGTTAAATAAATTATCAGTTTTGCTTTATAATAGTAAACTCCCTTTCTAAGCAGAACTCAGCGGGGAACCAGTCACAACCAGTATACACATTTCACAACATTTTAACTGGTAACCTGCTGTAGCTTGGAGAACTGTTAATGTGCTAAGCATACAATGTATTTCTGTGCTTAAGCTTAAGCTGCATTACATTAGCCCCGAGTCCTACCTGCGTGATTTTATCCTCTCGTCGATTTCTAAGCTCGGGAACTGTTTGCTCCAGCTGCTGTATCTGTAACAGGAATGGGAGGCAAAATTGTAAATCTACAAGCTTCTAAATAAATATGAATACTTTTAATTGATCAACATTAGGTTTTGCCCTTCACCGACATATAAACACTGTATACTCAGTTGTATTACCTCCCGAGGGAAAGTTGGAAAAAACAACTCGGGTGGGATTCGAACCCATGACCTCCTGCTTTCCAGTGCAGACGTCTTACCACTCGACCAACGAGCTTGCGTGATTGGTTGGCTGGTTCAATCAAATCTGATGTACAATATTTTAATTGATATTTGTAAATTGTGTTTTGGTGTGATACTCCTTATTTTTGTATATTGACCGATACAAAATCAGTGAATGTCCAAAACAAGTGAGAAGTGCAAATTCCTTTCGTCTAAGACGTTTAAGAACATGGAACATACTTACCCTTCGCATGATTTTCTGTAACCTGACTTTTGTTACTTCACTGAAGCCGTTTAATTTGACTGTTCTTGGCAGTGGTTTGACTGTGAACAGGGGGAAAAATGTAAAGATGATCACACAAAACCCCACAAAACAGTGTGTCTTTGTTCAAATTTAATGATAATGAGTAAAAGAACTGTTTTCCCTAAAACTTGTTCATCTTGAGGATTCCAAGTTTGGTAATTTTGAGAAGTCAAGAATACTCACCATGTTGGTATCGTTGTACAACCTCCAATGTATATGGCCTGCCAAAAAGCGACAAAAATCATTATTAAAATTCAGATGTATAAAATAATTTCTTTTCCAAAATACAAAATGAAAAGAGTAAGGTTTTTCTTCTTTGTGGACTACAAGTCCACAAAGAAAAAAAAGGTAACCTTACATAAGGCCAAAAAAAAAAAAATATTCGGTCTCTGGTCAGACCAAATTTCCGGAATTGACGCGGCCACGCGGCTTTTTTTTTTTTTTTTTTGCTTTTTTTCTTTTTTTCTTCAAGCTTGGATTGTACAGACAAGGTGGGTACTATTTTGCTTTTTTGGTGTCCTCATGTACATTGGTGTCCTCCATAATTTGCCTTGGTGCTTTCGATCATTTGCCTTGGTGCAATTTCCCATTCCTTGGTGCTCTTTGGTAAAAAAAATTGAGGAGGTGCGGAAATAGAGGGCGCTGTTGGAGCTACCGCGGAACATTTTGGAAAAAAAAAAGATCGACGCGCATGATTAAAATCGACGCGCGCGCTGACCAGAGACCGACTTATTTTTTTTTTGGCCTTACATAAAAGCAGCATACTTAAAAGAAACAAAATAATTTAGTCATTTTTATTTTGAGATATACTTACATAAATTTAGAATTGGAAGTCACATGACTGTTGATGGGTATGAGAGAACCTCTGCTGTTCCGTAACTGAAAATAAAAAGCCATCAACTTTTTATCAGAGCTTTCAATATCAACAAAACTACGTTAAAACTATTCGAAATTGTACATAGGTAATTGTCCAGACAGGGCTCTGGAGTGCTCTGAAACGTGCAAAACTAAATCAGGCCCACTTTACTCTCACTTTAGCCAGCAAATTTCTCCAAAAATTCCACTTGGCAAAGAAAAAGGTCTTCAGTATTTCACCAACTAAGTTTGCAGACTCAATTCAATTTGTATAGGAGACTTTTCTTCAATATTTTGCACATGAGAGGGAAGTCAAGTGATTTCAAAATGAGGCTATAAAGACTAGACTGGTACATGTCCAACCACTGTCCAACTATTTGGAAAGACTGACCTCTTCATTCAGTATCATTTATAGTCTGGTGGCTGACTATGGAGAAATGTGTGTTAATAGAGACTAGTTCCCGGTTCATGCCATATGTTTCTTAAATTCTTTGAGCATGGTTGATTGATGCAGTACTGAAGCGGTGTTGGACCGGTTGTTTCAGGTGTCAGTCTATTTTCTTGTATTGCATGTTTTCAATACCTTAAGTTTTGGGACTCTCATACACAGTATTGAGAGTCCCAAATTGTTTGACTAGGTGATGGCCATCAATGTATTGAAAACAGAAAAGTGAGATTTATACATGAATATGCTTTACTTGAATGACATCTACAGACGTTCTGATCCTAAAGAGCCCTACCCACCTTCAGAACAAGGGTGTCTTCTTTGATCTGCAGTTTGTTTCTGATAGCGCGCTGGACCTCTGTACAGCAGACATTCTGGGGTAGTAGGATGGGTGTTGCTGCTTGTCTCTCAAAAGATGGTGTACCTGAATTAAGAAAACATACAGGAACATGGATCATTCAATTAAAACATGTAAGGGGGAGGGGTTGCGAAGGAAAACAATGTTAAAGAAAGGAGCTAGGTTTCAATTCTACACTTTAGTTAAAGGGAAAATACAACATTTGCAAACATCAAAAGATAAAACTACCAAATCATTTTGAAATACCTTGCTGGACTGTTAGTGAATGACAGTGTAAAGCATCCTGTAAAATCATGGCACCTGGTATACTGTCATTTTCAAGAAAAGTGGTATTTTTGTATCAATTTCCAACGCTGATCGGCCGACCAGCGTTGGAAACGACTGGCTTTTTTTCACATACTGGCCCCAGTTGACCATCGCACTTGTTTGTAATCGATTACACTTCTATGAACGGGTACAAGCCAGCTAGACTGGTTCCCTGACCTTACAATTCCCCAATGTATGTAAACTGCTCTGTTTCTTCCTAAATGGAGTCAGGGAGCCAGACTTCAGGAAAATGATTGTTTTTCTTGGTTTTTATAGCATTTTCGAACCCAAAACCTCAAAAAAGTCAGTGTAACTATATTTGCTATATTTTTCCAACCCCCCAATTCCATCCATTTCTGAAAATTACAGCAAAAGCAAATGATGTATATTCCCTTTAAGGGAAGGATGAAGTATCCTGACACCACTTTTTAAACCCCAAAAAATTCCATGATTTGGGACTGCAATGGAAGTAAGTTTTTAAAACTTTTTGCGTCATCCCTGCTTATTCCACTATATGGGGACTCTCTATGTTTAATTTTTAATTTACAGTTCAAGATAATATTTTGTTATTAAATCTTAAGTACCGTACTAATCTGTATCATTATTATGTGGAAATTGGGAATAAATTTAATCAAATAAAACAAAAATGATGGTCAGTCATTGCAAATAATTGCTGTAATTTAATGAAAACAACACATGAATTTCATTTGGGAAAATAAATGTAGCAACTAATTTTAAGACAACCATGAGTGACAAACAATGTTCAATGTCATGTTGTGTGTGAATATTATAATACTACATTCTTCCCAAGTTCAATCACATTCCAACTTCATGATGATGTAGGCTCCCTATGCATGTACATGTACATGTTAATCAGTGTTTATTACAATCACAGATCAGTCAACCCTTTTTCAGGAATAAAATATGGTCTTTATTCCGTATCAAATAAAGAACAAATATGGATTTTCGAAATACCTAAAACCCTAAAACACCCCTAAAGATATCACAGATATTACAGAAATTGTTTATAAAACGGAATAAGTCACTGCTTACCACCTAAATCGATTCGATTTACGACGACCCAAATCTTCACTCCGTGGTTGACATCCATCTTGCAGTGTACAAATGGCATGTTTATGTTGTGCATGCTGTCATGCAACAGCCGTTGAAAATTCCAGAGCGAAAACAAATCCCGTCAACAATAACATTACAGTACGTACGATTTAGTAGTACAAATAACATGTAAACTGCGTGTGCGCGCGGGGTTGTTTACGGTTACTAACTTATTTATTTTCACTAAATTTCAGTAACAGAAGTGTCATTTTTCGGTCAATTATTTCAGGTTGCATTGAAGGATGACGGATGCATTTGGTGCAATAACCTGGTGGGGATTCAGTCCCGCACTAGATCTCCAAGACAAAGGTAAAGTTGGAAATGTTCTGCCTGTAGGCTCTATGGAATTTTGTGTGCAAAATTTAGTCAGTGCGAGGCACAACATTTATATTCACGCGGTGCCTAGCTGGAGTTACCCAGCCCTGAGTTTTATCATTGGGTTGTCTATTATTAGGGCTGGAGCGAATTTTTCTCGTAACTTGTAGTATAGGCAAATTTTTTTGGAAAATGTTCAATTTTGTCCCCGTTACACACTAATTGCAACTGCAACTCACCCCAAACTTGCCTGGAATAACCATTACACAGGTCCTTGAAGTAAAAAACGATCCACGATGAAGATTTAGCCTACAATTGCAGTGAAAACAGGAGGAATAACCGCTAACTTGACAACCTTGCTGGATTGGCCAGGACCGCAATTGGTTTGTGCACAAAAAAAATTGTGTACAATGAATGGCGGTCGATTAACAGGCAACTACTCGTTTTTGCCGGCTGCGCTGGCTGTTGGCGCATGACGTCACGCGGAAGCGTAACACCCGATGACTGTTTCATGCACTATTGGTTGCGGTTCCAGTACCAAAGCTGTGATGCGAGTGGTAAACCTTATATTAGTGCATGAAACAGTCATCGGGTGTTACGCTTCCGCGTGACGTCATGCGCCAACAGCCAGCGCAGCCGGCAAAAACGAGTAGTTGACAGCGATCGCTCTCTGTGCCTGTTAATCGACCGCCATTCATTGTACACAATTTTTTTTGTGCACAAACCAATTGCGGTCCTGGCCAATCCAGCAAGGTTGTCAAGTTAGCGGTTATTCCTCCTGTTTTCACTGCAATTGTAGGCTGAATCTTCATCGTGGATCGTTTTTTAATTCAAGGACCTGTGTAATGGTTATTCCAGGCAAGTTTGGGGTGAGTTGCAGTTGCAATTAGTGTGTAATGGGGACAAAATTGAACATTTTCCAAAAAATTTTGCCTATACTACAAGTTACGAGAAAAAATCGCTCCAGCCCTAATAGACAACCCAATGATAAAACTCAGGGCTGGGTAACTCCAGCTACGCGGTGCCGTGGTTTGTCTAGTATGGTTACGGTAGCCGTAACGCAATTTTCAACTGCTATCATTAGGCCAAAAAAAAAAGTCTCCGGTTTCTGGTATGGAGCTTGCCCAAAAAGTGGTGCGGCGACGCGGCTTTTTTTTTTTTTTTTACCTGACTTTTTTGCTTCAAATGTCAGCTGATGACTGCAAATGGTGCCCGACTAAACTTAGTGAAAATATATGGGAGTCCAGAGAGGCCACATAAAGCTTATTCTCGATCATAACCCCATCTAAAAACACGTTAAAATTGTGCAGCAGCAGGATTCCAGTCAAACCAGTGAGTTTGGCGGTTTTGAGACATCATCTTTCATTGAAAAAAAAACTTTGTCATTTTGCCGACGCGCATGGCTATGGCGACGCGCGTGCATACCAGAAACCGGAGACTTTTTTTTTTTGGCCTTACGGAACCGTCTCGTCTCCCTGACGTAACTCTATGGTATTCAACGTCAGGATCTTTGGCATTTGTTGGAACCAGACAATGGAATCATTCATTCACCGAATGGTTCTCGGACATTATTTCCCTTTAAAAAAAAAAAAAAAAAATCATGCAAAGCCATGGATTTACGAAGAAGAAAATTATTGAAAATTGGTATTGGCAGTAGCTATTCTCTAGCCCTAAAATATTGCCACGCACTGAAGTAGTCGGCACAGAGTCTACTCCAGTGGCAGTGTGTGGCCAGAGAATAGGGCTAGCTATTCTCATTACTTTAAATTTGCTGTATTCTACATGTACATGTATAGCATTGACGTATATTTATTTATCGTGGAATTTACATTGATTTTATTGATCCACTTTCCAGTCATTAAAATTAAAATTAAAGTCGTCCCCATTTTTGTTACACTCACATGTCCCTGCTTGAAATGCTCTTGAAATTTACTGTTATTACAATTTATACAAATTTCTGTTTTGGATCACCAGTCAGAGATGTTGAGACTTCCTCAGATCTGAACATCCTGATGATAGGAGCTGGAGACTGCAGACATATGCTCAAGACTATTGCATTATCACATCGGCACAAGAAGAAACAAATCAATGTAAGCATGTTGGATAGTTTGCCTTAACAGGAATTGTCAGTCTGTACATGTACTTGTACATGTATGTATTCAGGGGTGTCACTGTGAAATCTCAGCTTTAAAGCTGATTTCAGCCTTTTGTGTTTTGAATTTCAGCTTTTTTTGAGCTTTTCCCTCACTTGCTGTGTACAAAAGTATAGGATATTTCCAAAGTTGAGCTTTTTGTACACCATTTTTGGCATTTTTCATCACTCAAATTTTTTTTTTTCCCATCTCCTCCGTAGTTTTATGTCATTGAGAGCAACTTGGAACTCCTTGGCCGGCACTTACTCCTGACAAACCTAGCCCTGGAATCACCCAAGCTGATGGGTCTGCAGGAGAAGACAGAGTTGTTCCTAGAGGTCTTTGGCAACTCCTTAGTGAGACAACAAACCAGGGACTACATCGTCAGCAAGGCAAAAGACTTCATCAGGTTTGTATGATTTGTCACTAGTTTCATGAAGAGATGAGCATTCTAATTATTATAAAATTTTGCAATACAGTATTTTTTCTCAAGTCAACATGCCTGTCTTTGTACAAATCATATTTTTTTTACATGCATTATGTCACCAAATTATTGTCCTTTCAGAACACTTATTATTACCCCTGGTCATCAGGCTAATCAACTTTTCCTTCAAAGCTGCATCTTTTTTGAGTGGACTTTTCCAATGTCCATTAATTAAAATAATTACAGTAAATTCAACGTTAGTTTAACAATTATAGTTTGTGGTAATTTATTATCTCGTGACGCTTGTACTACTATAGCAGAAGTTATGGAGCTTAATTGTGATTTATTACATTTTTTTTACAAAGCTTTACCCAATATCTTCATCATAATCCTTAAATTGATGAGTTCTTTGTCTCCCTCTGTCGTCCATGCTTAAAATTTAAATGAAACCCTTCATCAAAAGCATTTATGTCGGAAGTATTTATGCTGATCTTTGTGGTGTCTCCAGAATGGTGACTGACTCTGACTACTTGGCTCAGAGGCTCCCAGCATTTGATTTCTCCTTGTTGAAGTTTAAAGAACGAGATCAGCTAGAGGCAATCTTCAAGTTTTGGAGAGGCAGCGACGACAGAGTTTTTGATATCTCCAAGTGCTGGTGAGTTGCTGTGTATAGTTTTTACAAGCATAAAGATGTTAAAACATGAATGTTTGAAGCACTCATTTCTCCAAAATCAATGTTGGGAATACGTCCATGATTAGAACGTTTGGAGTTTTTTAATGGCATTTCCAATTTTGTATTTCAATCAAGAGTTTAGTGTACCATGACAGATTCAATTTTGTACAATTGTTCAAATGCCACAAAACGTTTTCTATGTGTTTGTTTTCAATTATGTAAAGTCAATACCTATAAAGAAGAAGTTCAATTTAGTGGAACTGTTGGTACCACAAATCGTTTTCTCTGCTTTTGATCATTTCAGGGACAACAGGTTAAGACGTTACCTATCGACCCGTTATGACTCCCGCGTGGGGGCCTATGACTGGGACTACAACATGAAGTTATTGGACCGCGGTGCTGGCATCATCCATAAGAAAGAATACAGTTACTGGAGAGAGACTGGGTCCGCGTTCAGCGTGAGAGAAGGAACCTACGACGTGCCCAACAAGACACTCGCATCGGGACTTATTGTCAAGACTGTTAGTTTGAAAATAAGCTGACTATTCCCATGGACTAACTTAAAACGTTTAAATTCTTGAGAAATTTATTTAAAACAAGCCGTAAAGTTGTCAGAAAGTTTTACAGTGTAAAGCCTCAAATCTCATTAAATGTTTTTGTAGTTAATTTTGTTTATGTGTTTTTGTCCCAGTGAAGGTTGTCAAATTATATAGTCCTAAAATTATCGCAATTGATCCATTTGAAGAATTGATAAAATTTGATATACCTACTGGCCAGCTAAATCTCTTTGAATGTGTATAAGGTTTTAATATCGTAAACTGTGTGTATATTGGAGGGTCAAGGAAAAGCTTTATAAATTATAATGATGGAGGGCACTTTCATTTAAAAACAATCACTTAATATTATCGTCGGAAATTTACATAGGAAGACGGCAAAGACTGTGAATTTAAGAGGTACATGTTGTTGTTGTCCCTTCCCAAACATGTGTTTGCTTTGTAAATACATGTAAAGGTGCTGAACAATTATGCTAATAGCAACTCTAGTTCAATTGACTGAACTCAAAATATCGAGTGTATGTTCCTCACAGTGTTATGTTCGTTGTTATTTCATAATGAAGACATACTTGAATTCTTTTTTTATTTTTAGACCAGTGGTAACGTCCCACAGCGAGGCTACTGGGGTGACATTGTCAGCAGTCCCTACCTAGCCTTTGGTATTGAGTCTGAGGAAGCCAGTCTGACAAAGAAGACTAATGACAAGTACACAAAGGTCAGACTGCTGTTTCATGTCTGCCTCTATTTTTTATATCAATAAGATATGAATGCTGAAAATTGTTGGTTTCATAGGAAAGTTGCATTTGCTAAAAATTATTTTGTTATTCTTTAACATGGTGAAATTTATGGTCAGATCTTGGACATTGCCATTTACCATTTGAAATGTCCGAAACAAATGGGCAGCTTTTTCCCCAAGCAGGTTTTGTGCCTAATTTCGTTCTCTAGCTAGTTACCAGTTTTGTCTTATCTTTCTAGTCGGCACAAGACATCTCGGAACACAACATCTTGGCCATGCTCCACGAGCTGACGACGGGTGAAAAATATGTTCTTCCCAAACCAAGCAAAGACACAGAGACAAAAGAAAAGAAAAATTCCGAAGGGGCAACACTTGAAGAAATAACGGAAGAAGAGGAGGAAGAAGTAGAAGATAAGAAGGAAGATAAAAGTAATGAGCAAAAGAAGAAACAAGTTGAAGAAAATGGAAACAAGGATCAACAGAATAAAGAATATGGTAAGCCGCTGAATGAAGGAGTTACCAAATTAACATTGCATAATACATGTAATAATAAACATTGTAGAAGTGTATGAAATGTTATGCTAGGTGTACATGTTTCTGAGGTAAAATGTCAATATTGTCTTTGATTCTTATTATCAGCATTTCATAATTTCAAGTTATCTTGAACAGTCCTTTTATATTCTAGGTATTTATTTAACGTTTCTTTTCTTTGAGTAACTTGCTTGTTTTTACTAAATCAAACAAATTGACTGGGCAAAATATTTTGCAGCACATTTCATAAAAATATATGTCGGTGAAAAGCAAAAACCACTTATTGAATTTTCAATACATTTGTTCTCGAATTGATAGTTTTTGCTTGAATCCATTCCCTTGCTTTCCTTTGACAGAAAATATCCCGATAGAAAATGTCAAGATTTACTTTCTTCCGATCGGATCAGCACATGAAATACACAAAAAGGGCAAATACAAGGGGTTGTTCAACATGGTCTACCTTTCCAATGGGTGAGAAATATTTATAGGAATTTATCACTACATGTACATGCAATCTTGGATTTTTTTTAAATATCGACTTCTCTTATCCTTTAAACATGGCAATATGTTGCAGTCAATTTCCTTATTGCATTTTTGCATTCGCCGATGACATAATTTATAAGCACTGTTTCAAAGTCTTTAATTCGAAGCTCATTGTGAGCAGATTTAATTGGTGGCTAGCTGACCCTTGTAAGCTTGGTGGTTGATTGGTAAGACGTCAGCACTTGTAAGCAAGTGGTCATGGGTTCAAATCCCATCAACCTTGTGAAATTTTGTCGCAACCATTTGGGCAACAGTACGTATACCGTGTATCTAGATTAATTTCAGGGAAAGGAAAATCCATTTTTTGAAAGTTTTCGACTGATGAATTACCTGACCAATATTTGCAAATTTGTGTATATTTTCAGCATGGTGCACTACCTGACCGAGGACTTGAAGACAGTCTTTGCAGACCAATCCACAATCATTACAGAGACGGCGCGGTTCATGTTGGAACTCAAAACAGAACAGTGCCAAGAATTCCTGAGTAAAGTAACAGGAATGGCACGAGCTGTCGGCTGCCAGGTGGGTACATTTTTGTTTCTAATACAACTCCCAGTCATCTGATTGGTTGGTTGTTGGTCACATGTCATTGAATTATCCATCCCAACCCATGTGGAAAGGAACATTCCATCTGTCACCTCATGAAATTATTCTTACCATTGCATTCGTAAACATTCATTATTTGTATACAGCTGTCTAGAGAACGGGTGCAATTCATACCCACTACATATGAAAAATTGACTATTCCTTTCATGAACTTGTCACTAGTGAAGCTTGCTACTACAGTTGTACTTTCATATCTCAATTTCTTTCAAGTTAAGAGTTACGTTTTCCTTTTTTTCTACCACAGATCACATCCACGAGTGATGCCCTCAAAGACTCCTTCCTGCGCTTCAGATTCGAGAGAAAAACGTGACAAGATAACCTGATATAATTATTTCCAATTTGTTTAAATGTTTGAGAGGTTTTCAATATTCCTTATTTGTGCACTACGTTATTTTACATGTACTTTCAAGTGTGTTTACACGCCAGGATTCTATGAAGAACCACCGAGAACATATTCCTGAAAAGCTCATGTAGCTTTTCTGAGTACGTGTATAATTGAGAAAAAAAAAACAAGATTGACTGAAAAGAATGCAAACTATACTTCGAGAAACACTTCTGGTTTAGACTGTGTTTAAAAATGTGATTTGTAACCAATTAAAGGGCAGGTGACGCTCACTTTCAGTAAAATAAAAAAAATGAAACCCTTGCCTGAAATGTTACGGGATGTTTTTGTGTGTTCCTATAATCCTAGGACAAACGTCAGTGGAGTTCAATATATCCCCCTTATTATACGAATGGGTTTGATAAAAACAAAATATGTTTATAATGTGCCTTATTTGCATAAATTGCATCCGTCCTGTATAACAGCTTTGTCTGTTTCGTTTTTTTATCTGTACTTATAGATTTATGTGGCATTTGGGAATAAATACAAGCTGAAGCAAAGTTAAATCTTTCCTTGTCATTTATTGTGCTAGTACTGCGTGTACTAATTCCCACATTGGAACGATAACACGTGACAGTTATGTCATCAACACAAAACTTAGTACATGTAGTTTTTTTAAAGACATTTTGGCACTTGTATAGCAGAATCGTGTATCAACTAATTGTATCGTCGTATTCACTGCCGCAAGGTTTTCTGGAATGATCGATCGGAAACTTATAGCACTGAAATTTTTCAATTACAAAGTCTAATCTAATATTAACTAAACCAACGTGTTTAAATATCAACCAACAGATTTTCGGTGAACCCGAAAAGGATATTACAACCGGATACAGTTACATGTATTTAAATTTTCTGCGCAACCTCAATGGCAGAAATGCCAACTTGTGACGTCATAATATTCTTTTTCTGACGAATGAGTGGCTGTCTTTAATCGTTAACTTTTTTTATCTACGAAAAACTAACCTTTATACAACGAGCATTGTTTATGTTTCTGCCAAATACATCGGTTTCTTCTCGCCGCAAGAAAAAAAAACTGACTATAGTTATAGGCCCTACATGTACTTCTAATTAAATTTGAACGAAGATAATTGAAACGGGATTGAATCTCCTGCACAATGTATTCCTAATAAGTTACGTATCTGGCAATTTTCGTCATTAAGAAATTGATTTTGTTTTGGCAATTTTAATGTACATGTATATGTATTTACACGATGTAAGCAGATAAAGTTAACTTTATATTGCATTATTTAACAAATCATTGATATTGTACAAGTTGCGCTTTTCAAAGTGAAAAGCGTGTTTTCTGATTTATAATTGATTATAATTGCAAAATAACGCCTCTCTCATTCTCCATCTAAATGTACAGTATAAGTTTCTGCAAGACTTAGAGACAGATATACACAAGAAAGGTCAAAGTCAAATGACTAAATTGATAATGCATAAAAAATTGATCTGCAGTTAAATTAACTTTAACAAACGAACAAGTACTGAATTGTCAAGTTTAGAATCGTACATGCATGAAATTTCTGACATCTGCAAAAGTAGTACTAAATAAAATTTTTAATTACACGTATAACTACAAGTCATGCATATTAAAACAATCATTTTATTAATTACACTTTACATTTACAGAGCACCTGCTGTAAAGAAACATCCAAATACCTTAACAAAATTATTCATTCTTCAACAAATTATTTCATCATGTTGTTCGTTAGTTATGCTCGCGAGGCACTCCAAATTACGTTTCCATATAGGCCGCGGGAACTTTCATTAACATTACACTAGCATATAAACATTACTCTTTTCCCCTGAAATGTTTCATAATATCGTTTCCACTTTCCAAGTCAAAATCTACTTACTAATTTGTTGGTATACATGTATATAAAACACTGTTTTTCTTATTTACACCAAATACTGCATAATAGCTGAATTGCACTTAAATTGCAGTAATTAGTGTCCATCGACAATAAAACACATTTTCTTCTTCTTAAACCCACCCTTTTTGTAGCAAAATACATGCAAATATAGTGCATTTTGCAGCTTCTGCCGCGTCCCGTTTTGTACTAACTTTAAACATTGCACTCAAGATATTGCACTTGCGCCTTAATACGTGAGACATTTGTGTTTAGACACTGTTTACGGGAACTTATATTTTTAGTTTCAGCTGCTTGTATGTAGTTGGCATTGTACGTTATTGTAAAAGGCTATTTGTGCAAGGAATACTTCTCTCTGATATATTTTTAAGCTTCCAATGTCCATCTTTTATATGCACAGTTGGTTTTTTGAAAGCGTTCTGATTAACTGCATTAAAAAGATTCAGATACGAACCGAGACATTTGCACTTTCAATCAGACCTCATCATGTCCCCTTACTCTCAGCTCGGAGACCATCCACTTTATCAACCTTTGACAACCATCACGACCTCTCTCACCTCAAAACATGAAAACGAATCACTGCAAACATTGAAAACATCTCGTGCATCGCCCGCCTTTCCACATTGCTTCTCTGTATCACAGTCATCTGATTTCACAACTCACTCTACTTTATCCATTACGTACCAGGCTGCCCGTCTCTCTTTCACTATTTTCTTTTTTTTACATCACCTCCTTTTTATAAATACTTGCTCTCATTCATTATCTCTGCCTCTTCCAACTCGCCTTTTCTTAAAACTTTCCTCAATACATCACATCACATCACATCACATCACATCACCTCTCCCCTGAATACCAACCAAGCATCAAAACTCTCGACCCATCCACACTCAATTCCAAACCTATACTCCCATCTCTTACAATTTTTGAACCATTTGTTTTGCAAAACGCAAAACTATACTACAAAATGCCTTTACAATATAATGGAAAATAGGCATAAGTGTATAACGCACACCGAGTTTGGAATCATTGTCGTATATTGCAATAGGCCTATGTTTAATATTCATGAAATTGAATTTTAACAATAAAAAGACACGACCTTCAAATCTGCAATTGGCATTCTCTGCCAGAAAAATAAGTAGTCACTTGATGACTTCTCGGAAAAGTTGCCTCGTGCAAATTCGGGTATGAAAAGTTCCCATTTCAAATCATCAGTGAAAAAAATAAAGACTGTGCAACGTCAATTCTGCTTTTAAAGTCAGGACCATTTACGCAGGACCATTTACAAAATAGTAAAATGCATTCGCTTTCTGTATTGAAGCTGCAAACATGGCACGTGGAAACAAGTACAGCCTACTGGTGTGTAAATTCACCGTTGAGAAAGTAAAGGAATTACTTGTCAAAAATTGTGCATGGCGTTAAAGAGTTCCAACATTTTGTTTAACGCTCTGCCTTTCATGGCAGAGTCGGCAGATCCAGTGGGATATCTCATGATCATCGTGATATCCTTTTTTGTTGGACCCGAAGGGCAAGCCTGTTATCCTCCGACCGAGTCACTGACTGACTGAGTCAATGTGACTGAGTTACAGAGAATTTAGGCCTAAAATGTCCTTCACAGAATTTCTGGTCCATCTTGACTAGACAAGCCTTGTCTTGTGTACTTTGAATCAGTGTGACCCCCGGAGTCTTGCCAGTAGCTCGTCCAGCTGACGGTTGTCTCGGCGGAGTAGAGGCACCTCCTCCTCGACGGGGGATGAGTTGCCGCTCCCGCTGCTCTCATCAGCGTCTAGCGGCTCCCCTCGCATGACGAGAAAGGCCACCCGCCCGTCTTTCTTCTCCTATAAAGAGTGGATATAAAACCGGTTAGTTTAGACATCGAGTTCCCTTCGATGTCTGCTGTTTGTTCATGTTTCCCTGGAAATTTCGGAGTTTATAAGTTACTCTGACATTGCGAATCGATTGTGTGCACCTTCTGCAGTAATATCCTTATTTGCAGGATCAGAAAAAAATAGTACATGAACCGGTAGTGCTATTACGTTCACTGTTATAATTATATAGCCTTTAGGCTTGTCAATTTGTTGTGCTCCCTAAGTTGCATTCAATGTGTTCTTAACCATGGTGATGATGAATACAACATCTTTAAGACGGTAGGAGAAGGAACAAAATGGCGATTTCAGCTTCTTAGTGAAGTGTCAAAAGACAAAAGGGCTGAGAAGTACATGAGGTGGAACTAGTAAGATTCAGGAATCAAGAATGTCAGGCTTTCAAACCTTTTCAATGGCGACAAAGTCCTCGTCTATCTTGCCGTGAGCGATGCCGTTCTTGTGCAGGAACTCCAAAGCCCTCCTCAAGTCGTTCTCGATAGCAGCCACGACCGACACGGCTAGCGGTGTCTTGGCCTGCGCGATGTACTGCCTGAGCATGAAGGAGTGGATGCGCCGACCCATGAACGGTAAAACTCGGTTCTCTAGCTGCTCCGCGTAGACTGTGGCCATAAGAGATGGGTTATCTGAAAAAGTGAAGAGAGAAGTCGGGAGTACGTCTTACTTGAGGAATATTATAAGTTCATGTACAATATTTAGCACACAGGTATAATATATACACTATACCAATCGTATAGACCTCTGTTTTACTATCAGGTTATATTTTATTCAACCTTTTGGGAAGAATTCCCATCGATTTTGTACGTGATTTCCAACTGTGGACCTTTACCAAATCGAGGACCCCCTTGTCCTCTATAGGTCAGAGTTCTCTAGTGAATGCATTCTCATCTACACAACGACACACATTGCGTAGTAATTTCAAAATCACTAATTGTGGTCCCCGCAAGTTCGCTGGTTTAGTGGTTATATGACGTACGTCTGCACTAGTAAGCCGGTAGTCGTGGGTAATTCGAGTCCCACTTGAGCAATCTTGTGATTCTTTTCTCACAAGCTGTCAGCCAGTGCACATAAAGTGTTAAATTTCGCGGGTGAGAGGTAACTGTTTAAAAGAGTATTTCAAGATTGTACTGAAGGAACACCACTTTGAAAGACGCATTGAATTCTTAAAATAAGAACTGATCTTCACCTTTATCTTTTGAACTACCGTCTCCTTTGGCATATTTCACCATTTCAAAATCTACACTGACGTCACGTGTACACTCTGTCTTCCATGTTGGCGATGACGTGGACGTTCTTGCTTTCTTTCTTTTTCTGAAAGTAAAATTCAAGTACAATTAACATATAAACAATCTTAACAATAAAATGATGATAATTTTGATATCTGTTTATATAAAGTCTTGTATACAGATATATAATAAAGTCGTTCCATGTACGAAAAAGATATTCACCAGTAGGGAGCCTAGGGTATTTGGGAGTAATAATTCGAGTGAATAGTAAAAAAGACATTTCATGTATTATGCATGTTACATGTGACCCTACTTGTAATTGACTTGTGAGTGACTTGCGATTGGACTTATGATCGATGATTGATTTATGATTTTCTCAAGATGGACTTGAGACTTGATCACAGGTGTAACTAGCCCCAGATTTTAATTAACCAATCAATTATAGACGCACCTGTCGAGACTTGAGATTGTATACAAATAAGGATTAGCAGCAGAGTTGACAGGCAGCATGAAGACGGCGGCCCAGGCATACATCTCTTGTGGAATGATCGCCGTGCCTGATACAGACAGCAAACCCATGATGATGATGGGCATCCAACAAAAGAAATCGGTGCCCACGATGATGCCCATCTTGGTCGCCATCTTGATTTCTTCCATGTTCTCGCGCTTTCTCGTGCACTGTCGAGAGACAATTTTGAGAGAGTTGATTAATTGCAGGTTTAAACAATGTTGCATGAAACTTACAGAAGCATCTGCACTGTAAATACTTTTAAAAAATCTAAGCGTTGTCCATGTCGTCTTTCCATGCTTTTACTTCTTTTCTATGATTTTCAAGCAGTTTATTGATTTCATATCATATTTATATTGATTACATCATAATCTATATTGATTACATCATATAGATTTCATTATATATGTATTCTTGTGGTGTTTGCTAGTTTTTCACTCTGATTTCCCCTGAAGAACATGCAGCGGCGTGGTTAAACAATTTTATTTTTGATAAACGTCGTGGCATTATACCATTTTGTTTTCAGATAATCATGGATAAAATCACTTCCTATTATGTCAAGTTGTAGTTTGAGGTTTGAAAACAAATAAATATGTCAAGGATTTTACCTGCTTGGAAGCCCTCTTGATGGCAATATACATGGAAAAATAGCATATGAAGATGACAAGAAACCCCAGCAAGTTGACTCCCAGGAACAACACCACCGAGTACTCCCAGCCAGGCAGCTTGGTCCGAGTAAACGGCAGGGCCAGACAGACGCTGGACCGACCGTAAAACCGGTCGCCAAACGCCGGCCGGAGTACCACGGGCAGCAGGCTCAGGAAGAAGGCTAGAAACCAGAGACAGGCCACGGCGTAGCGGGAGGACTTGGTGTGGAGACGCCAGCGGCTGAAGGGGAAGACCACTCCCAGGAAGCGGTCGGTGGTGATGAGAACGAGGAGGAATACCGAGGACTCGCTGGAGAGGACGGAGATGAAGCCCGCCATCTGGCAGACGATGCTCTCCTGAAATAAACAAGAAAATCACCTCAGTCAGTGAAATTCCAGTGAAACCCACTATCATATCAGCTGATTGAGATTTACACCAACGTCGAAGAAGAGACTGTAAAAAGTTGTACTAGGGAATGATCCAGATCTTTTTTGAAGGCTTTTGAAGAGAGATCGTTCACCAGACCTTGATAGGATCATATAGCACGAATTTCATTCTCGCATTATGCATCCATCTGCTGCATAGTATATCCCGATTGCACCTTTATGAACTAGGATCAAATCCACACCAAGCCAACGTGTAGATTGGGATTCCATTTCTGCCCGACTGGTTTTCCCAACATGTCTTTTCTTTTTCCCCCCATTTCTTAACTGACCAATTCTCTATCATCTTCTCGATCTCTTTAGGTCTCTAGGTTCCAGGTCTCCAGCGCATGTGCACCATTTTAAGGAGCCATCATTTTTATATTAAAAAAAATCTAAAAACAGCAATACAGTCTCCTGACGATGACTAGAGCAGGCTAGTCGAAACTTTGAGACCAAAGACATGTTCTTTAAGAACTAAACAGGACTGTTCTTATCAGAACTAAAAACTACTTAGCGTAAGTTGATAATAAGCAGGACAAGTTGTAACTATCTACTGAGTGACAGTAGTTATTACCGCATGGTGTTACCACAAACCGATACTGATGCTCCACCATGCAAAGCCTAAAATCTTATAACAGCAATACACAATCCTCCCAATACTTGCCTGCCACTCTTGAGCATGAATCATGTAATCGCTCCTGTAATGCAGATCAGCGCTGGCAATCACAATCATATACAACCCCATCAACAGATCCGCCACCGCCAGGTTCAGGATCAAGAAGGTCTGGATCTTGCGCGACTGCTCGCGGTCCTTGCTCCGGCTGCGCCAGACGATGACGAAGGCGTTGCCCACCAAGGCGCTGAAGCCCAGGATCCAGATGAAGACACGGAGGATGGGGTTGCGCATCAGGTCTTCGCAGGAGGAAAGCTCGTCCATGGGCGCCTCGCAGGTGTCAATGTCACGCAGGAGGCAGCAGAACAGGTACTTGTCGGCGTACCTGGGTATTGTTGTTGGGGAGTTGTGATTAGCAAGCCGGATTAGTTCATCACATAGGAGTACAAAAACTTCTGTTCCGAACCAAATGCACCTCATCTGTCTAGTGCAACACCATCTTGATATTATCTCAATGTTAAGACTGCCTTTCTCAGAATATTGGTCTCAGCAAACTACAAATTTAAAAGTTGAACATAAATTGACTGGAGCGGGTGTGAACCTCCGGATTGCTGTGCCGGTGCTCCACCAACTGAACTATATCCAGCCCTCATGTTGGGGGTTCCCCGTTTTGTTCCATGTCATTGTTCAAACTACAAATTGGTGACAAATGCTTCCGGGTGTAATCTCAATAAAGACAGCCCTGTAGACATCATTTTTGAGTTACTATATACAGGATGATATCATCAAAACTGCTGTTATACTTACAAAGTTTGTAAACTGTCCAGGCCTTCAAACATCTCGGGGTCCACCTTGGCTATATCAGTCCCGCGGATATCCCTATCAAAATAAAGACGGAAACAGTTTGAATCCCCGAAGTACATTTCTTGGAGTGCCGCTACAATCTTGGTATAATAATGGCCTACTTTTGAAATGTAAGTTATCAGAATTACCACAAATTATAAAGCACATGCCACTTTTAGAGCTGTAAGAATTGTGTAATGAACTCACAGTGTATGAGTCACCTTAAGTCCGTAAAATGCTCCACTGTCCACTGCTGTCAATGGGTTGTCTCTCACATTCCTGCCAAAACATAGGGTTAATATTAAATTTTGACGTTATCAAAATATATTCACATTTGAACAATTGAATAACGATTCAATTAAATGCAAGATTGATTGCTATTCAACCACAAGCCAAAAATGGAATCAGGAAGCATGTACTTTGAGAGCAATCAAAGAAAAACAAGTTTAGAAAAAAGAAAAACAAACTGGAAAACAACAAATAATCAGACAAAATAATTTGGTTGACTTACAGTGCTTCCAAAGTATCCAGTCCCTTGAATACGCCCGGCTGCAAATGACGCAGTTTTAACTGTCCAAGATCTCTGTACACCAAAACAGCAAAATAATATTCTACACATAGTGCGATATAGACAACACTTTATTGTACCAGTACATCACATACACTTATTCATATTTTTTGTAAGGCCAAGGAGGTTATGTTTTCATTGTATTTGGTTAGTTTGTTGGTTGGTTGGTAGTTTATTGGTTGGTTGGTTGTTTTGTTGGTTGATTGGCTTGTCTGTTAACAAGATATAACTCAACAAGTTTATATGGACGGATTTGCATGAAATTTGTTTTAGGGGTGGTCCTTGGTACAAGTTCAAATCGATTAGATTTTGGAAGTGATCCGTATCTAGGTCTGGATGTAGGATAGTTTTTAAGGATTCTTCACCATTTATGCGAGTATTTCTTTTGGGTGAACTGACAATATGGCGGGGAATTGTTTAGCCTTGGCGGAGGTTTGCGCTCTCTGAGTGTTTTCTAGTTTAAAAAGTAGTTTGTGATCACTTAATGATATCATGATATTAGGCTTAATTAAGTGCTGTTCAAAATACTCACAAAACAGGAAGCATGACCACATCCAGAAATGCCCCCGAAGCTATTTCAGCCAGTGGGTTTCCCGTTAAATTTCTGTGGAAACAAATCATAAATTTGGGAATAATTCTTACAATTGTGATGACTCCTATGACCTCTTAAGTTTGATAAAAACACAGCAATTATATATATTTGCGATTGTTATTGAAACTTGTGTATTATTGATGACGTATGTAAATTTTAAACGTTCATCAGATTTCTTTGAATTAAACTTACAGAAACTGTAGCCGGCGGAGTCCCTCAAAGGTTCCATTTTCCAGCTTTCTGATGTTATTGTCGGCAAGAACTCTATTTCAAAACGTGGGGAAATACAAAATAATGTCAGTTCCTCTAGTTTAATTCAGTTTTGGTAAAACCTGTCTATAAAATTCATTAGGGGCCTATGTCTGGCATGCATGAATTGTTATTTTTTTTGTAATGCTAAAATGAAGCGTGTATACTTACAATTTGTATAAGTTATTTTGTTTCGTAAACATTCCCGGTGTCAACACATCGATGCCGTTTCCGGAGAGGTCCCTTCAATTTAAAGGAAACAATTAAAATGAAAAGTGACATCTAATACATAAAACCAACATTAACATTATCAGTGAACTTAAACCAATAATGTATGCATATAGGCTTTCACAAGTTGGCCACTTTAAATTGAAAGCGGAGGTATCAGTTTCGGAACTTGCAAATAAAAATGAAAGCAATGACAAAACTTAATACCAGTCTGCTCTGATGAATAATTAAAAATGTGTGATTAAACATACCCTAATGCTTTAAGCCAAATAAAAAAAAAACGAAAGTGAGGCTTGGAACGCATAAGCCCTAAATAGTCTGGCACCATCCCATTCATCAGTTAAATTTACAATCATAAAATACATTCAGGGAACACGATCGAAAAATGGCTTCTTCGTGAATAAGGTCCATATAGTCTCAAGTCTTACAGTTCGGCTAGCTGTTGCAGTTCCACCAACGGTAGAAACAAGGTGTACTCAACGGAAACGTTATTGTTAAGTAAGACTTCCCTGCGACGCCTGGTGACTGCCAACACTCCTCTCAACTCGCTGTGAATAAAGAGATATACGCCAAATGTCACGGTGAACAATATTTACCTCATACAGAGCATTTACATCAAAAATAATATGCGGCTGGTTTGGTAAATGACTTTAGTCTGTATACGGCCATGAGGGTTTCATATTTATCAAAATCACAATGATATTATGTGATTTGCTTCATTACTTTGATTCCCGACAGTCGAGTGAGAAGCTGATTCAATTCTGACAGGGCTCTCCTACTTTTTACATTGTGTTCGTGTGTTTTTTGATTAAAACTTTCCTGCTGTCTGAACAGTCACGGACAGTCAAAACAGCAATCCTCTTCCCTGCCATGCCTTTTACACAGGCTAGTCTCCAACAGTCAGATTATATTTCAAGCAAGCACTGTGAATAGTCAAATTCAGTCAATAGACAAAAACATGCAAGTGCATGGTAGGCACAGCTGGCTTATCAATCACCCACAGTCAAAGCATAGCTGTATTAGGCCTACATAAACGGTCACAGCCAGTCAATCCTATTTATGTATATATAGGCTGCGAGCTCTAAACTGTTAAATTTTGAATGAATTACTTTGCTCAGAATGTATGTTTGCATTTAAGAGGATTTTAATATGAAACAAATATAATCATACGCCAAGTATAACCCTCGTGTTCAAGGTATCCTTTTATGGGATAATCAAGCCATAAGATTGTATAATTATGAATTGTATCGCCACCTATATACGGACTTACAGTTTACGGACGTTCCGTGGTATCAAGTTTGCCGTGACGTCACTCCAACTGACCCCGGTACATGCATATGAGAGACCGGTACACGAACAGCCAGCTGGACACTTCGTCTCTGCATGCACAGAAATGTAACATTTCATTGGAATATAGTTTTGATATCCCTTTTTAAAAAATAGAGCCGAATATCCTTTTATACGCACCATTCAATCTGCTTTCACGTGTTTAAATTTGTACGCCCCAAATATTTATTATTACAATGGCCCCAACTATACACTGTAAAAAAAGTTGGGCAAAATGGGTTGATAATTCAACCAATGATGGTCGAACTATCAACTGCCTACCCTCTTGGGCAAATCCGTCCCAATAGTTTGACAGTTTTTACCCAATTCAACCCAATATGAGGTAATTCTATACCAATGCTGGGTAAATTAAATTGCCCAAAAGTGTTTTATCCAACCTTTTTACAGTGTAGTTGGATTCTATAGTTGGGGCATAACACTTCCAATGTGACTTATTTGTAAGATAAGCCCACTATGTCTTGGAGATAATTTGGACGAAGTAGGCATATTCCTTACCACAGAATAGTTCATCGTCACCAGACGGGCACTCTTTAATACCGTCACACACGTGCGACTTGGTGACACAGACACGCGAGTCGTGACATCGGTAGTGGCCCGCACAGGTGTGGTTAGCTATCAAACAAAATAATACAAATTAAAATAATAAAATTAGTTTTCGTTTGATCTTCTTTTTTTTCGAACTCAACATCAATCCTACTTCATTTCTTTAAAGACTGTTTGCGCAGTTGTAATTAATGTGCCACATATAAGTCAATCACTAATTAATTAACAGTCAGGTTGCGAGTGACGTCATGAATAACACAGTATAAGACAGATGAATTTTTTGACAATTTATTCATTTGACTAATTATCTTGTCACGGTACTTGGAACTGGATTTGCGATGTGATATTCTCCATGCGACAAAGCGAATTCTGGAGTTGAGGATAACTTTGCAGTGTTAAATTTATGTGGTTGGATACACCGGATTGGGCAAATATCCTACATCATATCCTTTTAAACAAGAAGAAATAACACCAACATGTCAGAAGCCGGGTTTCAAATTGTGCCATTTGATCCGGTGTGACTTTGTTTTGCCATCGATGAAATGGGTATATATAAAATGAAGAAGAGAACGCAAACAGAAATGATATCCTGATACAACGACACCACTATTCTGACAAATGCGTCAGTTTAATGAAACAAGACACGAATCCTTACAGCATCCGATCTCATCCTCGCCCCCGGGGCAATCCTTGGTGTCGTCACAGCGGCGATGGAGAGGAATGCAGTACGATCCCGGACACTTGAACGTGTTGTTGCTGCATTCGAAATCGTCTACAATGAACCAGAAAAGTAATATCCTCTCAATATCAAATTTTCTAATTTATTTTCTTCTGCCTATAGGTCGTCTGCTGTAGTATTCTCTACCTAAAATGATGGCTTGAAAAAAAAAACCCGCTTTGCTAACACTGTTAACCTCCATCAATGCCTACATCTATGACAATATAGGTGTCAATTGTAAATTCTAAAATACAATTGTAAATTCTAAAAAGAATAGTACAATTAATTTTAATGGTAAAAACTCAAAATATCCAACCGCTCACCTACCACAAAATCGTAGGTGCGTGACGTCACGACAACCTGTCTGGTAGCCAAATTGATCGAAGTCGTAAAAGCAGATGTGACGTCTGTCTACGCATGCGCCGTTGTTACACTGAATCAGATCCGGATCGGAATTGCACTGAAAAAAGACTAGGAGTACACATCTTTATAAATATTTTTTTAATTTCTTGATTGAACCTTTAAATATTGAAGATTTCATCAGAGTCAGTTTGCTTCATTCCAAGTTGAAACTGATAATTATTGCGAGCTTTATTGAACAGATCCACCATAGAAATTTATCCATGTAGGCTACTCTTACCACAATCAGTGTTTGGCTCGTCCTCTCTGTTGTTACCAGGGCAATCCTTTGTCCCATCACAGTGGGTGTGGTCCGGAAGCCACGCCCCGTCGTAGCACTGGAACCCGCCCAAAACTGCCGCTGTGGTTTAAAAAATGTAAAAGATTTTAAATATCCTGTTTCGGTTGGCTCATGACAAAATCTAATGATAACAATTTGCTATTTTGTAAAACAATGTTAACAACGTGCCGACGTTATTTTATACCTCATCGTTGATTATTTTTTGTATTTTTGTTTATTTTTTTGTTGGTTTTGTTCAGCATACCGCAGAGTAAATGCCATGAAGCTTAACAATTTCCCAAACCCTAGCTTTGTTATTACTTTTCGGCTATTGTCTGGCTTCAGAATTGTTTTGAAGCTTCAAAGTGCATTTATTCACCAGTAGGTAACGCACTCAATGAATGGCCTTGAATTTCATGTTTCTATAAAGCAGTAAATGGATATGTGGGCCTAAAATCTATTGAGGCCAAGCTGGAGACAAACCCGTGGTTTGAAAAACGCACGCAAGTCTTTTCGGATTATGCGCGTCCTGATGACGCGCGCGTTGCGCGTTCTAAGTAAACAGCGCGCCACGCGTAGAACAATGCGCAGTCTTATCATTGGCCTTTTGTTCCAAAACGCGTCACAAAGAATACAATTCAAAAGAGTGTGACGAATTTTAGTGTTTTGTTTGCCGTTACGTTAGTCCACACTCGTACTCTGTCATGCCAACATTCTGTGTGTGTTGTGAACAAATCTCTTGCACAAAAACAGTTTCCATCTTCTTGAAGAGTTCTCCACCTCTCTTTACCAAACAACTCTTCCTCGACAGCAGACATGAGACGGAGTTTGATGACCGGTAGGATGGGGCTCACTAACCCAAAACAGCCCCGTCGAGCGAACACGTTCGTCCCACTGCTACTCGTCAAGAACGGTCAAACATCGGTGAAGATGATTACGTACAGTGCGCTACGCCAAGTCATGAGTAAAATCAGGCAGTCTAAGGGCGCAGTCGCAAATCCTGCAATCACCTCTCAGAAACAAGACAGTAAACGTGACAGAAACAGTGAACAGGACAGCAACATCCAGAACGACTCCACCGGTGAGTGCGATAAAATTACTTCAACCGAGAGCTCTGAAGACTTAGGTTTAGTCATCTCTGACGTCAAATCTATTTCAGAGGAAGACTTCGACGCCATGAAAATTAAGGCTGAACCTGTTGATGAGAGCTTGAGAGATGTGGGTGCGATTGCAAGCAAGACAGAAAGTGAAGCTGCCAGAGATTTGAGTGGTGGGCATCCGCACATCAAGATAATTAGGCTCGCTCGTCAAGACTGCAACGGCCATGATGGCAAGTCTTCCTGGAAAGTCGTGGACACCGGTCTATTAACCGGCAGCATCAAGTCTGAGCCAAATAACACCGGTTCACCTTGTGACCAAGCAAAGGATGACAGGCATATGCAAAGGAAACAGGACGAACAAGCGAGACAGTGTTCGCAGAGTTGCAGGGGCAGTAACCCAAGATTGTCGGAACTGCGCTTGGAAAGGAAGCGAAGTTCACAAGATATTGAAGAATTGTGTTCGAGATGCCGGCCATACTGGATCAAAACAGAGCCCACAGAAGACAGCACCGGCGCATGTTGTTCTGATAACGCAAGCGACAGCGATGCTTTGGAGGAGAATAACCTGCCAAGGAGATCGACAAACGCAACAGCAACCTCGGTGGAACAAAGTGTTAACAATTCCTCAGCTTCCCTGGATGAGTCGTCAGATTGCGCCACCGTTCAGTCTCTGCACGATATTTGTTCAAGCGGAGACCAAAGCAGCGAAACAAATCAGCAGTGGATGTCACCATCGCCTGCAATATCACCAGTCGGTGGGGACGAAAACCAGGATTTGTCTGACGGCCAATGCGACTCCGGAACGGATGCAACCCCGTCCTCTCCACGGTCTGAGGCAGCCTACAAACGACGCCGTCTCGGCGCTTCATCGAGCGGCGACTTCCTGCAGCAGCCCCACTCGGCAAAGCATTACGAAGATGACGCGAGCGACGACGACAGCAGCAGTATCACCAGCGGTGACCTGCCGGTTTGCCCGTGGCTGTACGGCACACCGGAGACGAAATCAACCCGCTCAGCCAGCGAATCTGCAGACACCACCCCGACGTGGTCTTGGGCGAAAAGTTACAGAATCAGCAAGAGCCCACCTATCTTCCACACGCCAAGAGATGAGAGGATCTACAACTTGAAGAGGCAACTTGCCGAGAGTTTTATGGCTCTCAGTGATTTGAAGTCAGGATCAGGGGACAAAGCAAGAAAAGTTTAATTTATTCAACTTTGTTCCATTTGTGATAGGTATGTTAAACAATGTAAATTTTGACCATTTCTAAATCGGTTTAGCGAAATCATATAAATGCAAACTTTGAAAAGCTGCGAATTGAATAAAATCTTTACCGCAGTTCTCCTCATCTGATCCGTCCACGCAGTCTTCCACTAAGTTACAGTGAAGCTCTTTGTTAATGCACTGTCCGCTACTGCAGCGGAATTCCAGGTCGGTGCATGTCACTATACCTGTCAGGAAAAAAAGAAAAAACAATTTGGAAAATTCGTTGGCTATTACTATATAATATCTCCCAATGTTTTCACTATTGCGTCAGTAAAAGTCAAAGCACCTAACAGTCAAAGCACTAACAGTCAAATGCTTTGCTTTAAAGCATTAATCTTCGTTTAAAATACCCATATTCAAACATGTAGCTCCGGGTATAAAAGCCAATATCGTCTTAACGGATTGAAAGAGTATAATTGTAGTTTTTTCGAATCTTCGGAATTATCATATCGTTTCCTACATTATTTTCTTTGACTGACACTTTTTTTCAAGCATTATGTCCACACTTACTACAGTTTGTTTCGTCCGACGTGTCCTGGCAGTGCGGGTAGAAATCGCAGTAGAAGGACAGTGAGATGCATTCACCCGATCCACAGCGAAAGCTGGTATTAGTGCACACGCTGTCGGCGATCTCAACATCTAATGAATAAGAACATAAAACAACGATAATTAAAAGGGGGTTCCAAGCCTCTTGGTGGCAGCAAACACATTTGCGACATATTATTTAAGGCCGTGTCCGAATTTCTTGGCTATGGCTTGAAACTACACACGTGTCTATGGTAGTGGCTGCAGCCACTTCGCCGTGCAATTCAACCATGACGTTAACGCACCATTACTGCATGAGTCCTCGTCACTGTTGTCCAGGCAGTCGCTGCGGTGATCACAAACGAACACGCGGTGAAGACACTCCCCAGATCCACACGTAAACATATTAGTGGGACATCCAGAAGCTTCCACTGCAAATAGAAAAGCCACAATAATTTCAAACTTATTCCTAAAAAAAAAGAGCTTTCATGCATGTATATTTCTGATTCGTTAAATTTGTATTATGAAATATGACGATGATTTGACACCGAATAAAATTCAATCTGATTGTATCCACTGTCGTTTTCTAAAATGTTTCGAATAAAAAATCAACTTGTTTTATTTTCACCACCTGTTGCCTCCGTGGCGCAAATGGCCCCGTCGACTCCCCTGGCAACCCGCTCGTGGACTTTCCTCCAATGACCGTCGACGCATGTTATGACGTCATACGCCTGGTCTGCGCCTTCACCACGCGGACCAATCAGAAACCTCATATCGGCGCTGGGGTCTTGTCCCCAGACGTACTCGATTAAGTACGGCAACTTCTCAGCAATATTTGGATAGACAGCTGTCGCCAGTCTGGAGTTTGCCGGGCAACGGTTAAGGAAGGTGGTACTCCTGTTTAGTAGGAGTTTGACGCAATAGTGGCCGTGTACCAGCGTCCACTTGTCATCGCAAAGTGCTAATTGTAAAAAAACAAACTTGTAGATTACATAAACAGCTCAATACATTCACTACTCTGAACTTAAATAAAGATACAATTTTTAGCAAAATGAAATGATGTCTTTCACAAACAACCCACCTGCATTTGATAATTGTTCAAGACTTTCCCCAGATGTCAACGGCAAATGACCTGAAAAAAATATAAAAGAAGCCATTTCTGTATTCTAAATGCACAAGTCATACATCAAGATCTAACGTCTTAAGTAATAAACACTGTGCAGTGATGACCAAATAGTCAATCTCAAAATTTTCAAAAGCATATAAAAACGAAGATGGAAATATAGTTCGAAAACAAGATAAAGCATACAATTTAATATAGTTCAGTCCAAAAAATCTTGTACTTTTTGTACAACAATAAACCTCCCTCCACAACAAAAATCGTTAATACCATCCACGATTTTGCCCGCACACAACAGACGTTTCCTGATACCATAAATAAAGAACACACATAATGAAAAAGAGAAAACAGACACACTTCAGGGATACCCACCTCGATAAGAAGATTTCTCGCAGATAAACTGATTGGAATTTTTGGACGCACATGGCACGTCATGCCAGTGGCTGGTGGAATGGAGATTGCGCAGAATGATCTGAGAGCACCGCTCAAGGGCGCCACCATCCGGCTGGGGAGCGGAATTCATCATGAGAGATGGTGTCGTCCTGACATAAAATCGAAAGGAAATGTTGATAACGTTAAAGGGACACTAGGTCCTGGAACAGCCCAATTGGGCTACAAAACGCGCTTTGAACGAGACGATGTTAATCCGAAGTAGCATTTAAAAGCAGGATATAAACATCCACACATCTATCCTTTCAAAACTGGGCGTTTTTATGTTATTCCTGTATTATGCGTGCGAGAACGAATTTCGGGGTCCACTTTTGCGACCCCATAGATTCGAGCTGTTTTGATGCTAGTTGTGATTTCATTCGTAGAGCGTTTGCCTTTTGCGGACGTCGAAGAAAACCATTTTTTTTGCATTGGTGATTGGTCACCGCTGTTCCAGAGACGCACAACGTGTATGTCGTACACTGAGAACGACACGAAAAACGTATTCGTACTCCGTCATGTCCGATGTACAAGCGGTTTTTTTTGTTTTTTTTCGTCTTTTCTCGGGAACGGTTAAAGATTAGGTTGGTTTCCTTTCAACCATACAATTTTCGGGGATTTCAGGACCTAGTGCCCTTTAATGATTTAACATGGTATAACTATACGCTTATGACATTGCTTTCGATACCCGATATTTGACAGATGTCGATTTTGGACTTGATATAAAAACGCTTACTAGAAAGTTACGCTGTGTAATTGAATTCGAACTTACATTAGACCATGTTCGATTCTTCTTGGAATATACCAATCCGCATAGCTCATCGGGCTCTCGTCCTGCCACCGATGTTGTTGCCGCTGATGGTGATATCTTAAACCTAAAGATATAAAGAATATCGGGGAGTTATTGAAAGAAGGTTTTCGGATGGTCACTTCCAGGAGAGGAAACGTTGATATTTTCAACTATTTCAATAATTGCTTACTTATTAACACATGCCAAGGAGTAAGGAGAGGTTCTGCTTCCTGACTTCAAGCGTTGAAAACATGTTTCAATTGTTAAAAATAAATCCGACAGTAGATGCATATAATAATTTTTGGTCCCGATATCCAAATTATACCAATATTAATCTAAGGCAATTCAGTACAATTTGACGCTCCGCTCACCTATGTACGTATTAAAATTGTTGGTCAACCAATCAGAGGTCATCAAGCGGTGGATGAAGTTCATTTCCGCGAAGTCGTTGATGCTGACGAGATTAGCGCCCTCAGCGGCGCAGAGACGCTGGGCGTCCGTCCATCGTATGGAATGATTGGCCTCTCTGAACGCGTAACACTGGCCGTTATAGTACCTCCAATCTGATTGGCAGACTTCTTCTAAGTCAAAACAAACAACAAAACAAAGGTGAACAAAGGTAAATTTTTTCATGCAAATGTTGCAGTTTTGTGAACATTGGTAATTAAATGGACTACTTTTCGTGCCAATTTCATGACGCTTCTGAGCTGAGCAGAAAAAGATGCCAGCAATTTTTGTGCAAAGTATACAAAAGTTTCGAGCGTGTCACAAGATATATCACTTGACAAAATTAGGCTGGTAACCTAAATTTGCCAAGCACTTTGTGCTGTGTGGCTATCATTTTTTTTTTTAATTTATCAGTTCTATGAAATTCGACGTAACACACTCTAAAGTTTAAGTCATGATAAATACCTTTACTGTTATTGTTTGTACTGCTTGGATATAAATCCACTTTTGGTACGAAGACCGCAGCTCTGTACTCGGCGTAAAATCCATTTCCTGTCACAGAACCGTCGCCTCGAAAGCGCACCGTCATCTCATTGAAACTGGATCGGATTGGACCACGTGGCGGTCGCCTATTGGTCAGCTTGGCCAGAAGCATACTGCCCCTGTCGTCTGGCGCCCCGTCGTTGATCTGCACGAAGGAGGAGATGCCGAAGGGATCCGGCACGTCGAAGGTGACGAACTCCAGCTCGATGTAGGTGCCAGTCTGCGTGGTGATGTGCCACACTGAGGATGTACCGGGGAGGTAGTGTCTTGGGTAGTTGACTGACGCAATGGCTGCCTCGGGCATATCACAGCGTTGGATACCCTCGCCACTGTAGAAACCGATGCCACAACCGGGAATATCTTGAAAAAGATAGTAAAACCATGTTCTCAGTGATTATTTGATTTTCAGAGAGCTGCTTTCGACCAGTTAATTGTTAAGTGTATAAATGCAAATTGTGTATTTCAGCTGTATAAATGTGCAGTATAAATGCAACTTAAAATGTACAAGGGTCGTTTAAGGCAACTATTTGTCTGCAATCTGTATTTTTTTCATGCAATCCCCCCCCCCAAATGCAAATTCTAGTTTAATTCATGTACACAATTCGGAGCCTGAATATTACAAAATATGGCACAGTCCAAACTTACGGGAAATGTTTTATTCGTTTCTGAGCGAGAATTTGTCTTACACTTTGCAATAAACCCTTTAAGTTGCACTGAAACGGCAGACTATTTTTCCCGTAAAAAATATCGTCATCTAGCTTATTTGTTACCAATGAAATCAGAGGTACCTGTGCTTTCATACTCCGCGATGAATCCCAACGATTTGGAGTCTAATCCGGTCCTAAACACGACTTGGATGGAAGACGAGTTGGATACGATGAAAGACGGCGTGGAACCGCACATAGGCTGGCCGGCAGGGGCGTCTTCGTACGGTCCGCTGTCATCGCTTAGAAATATCTGTACAGCGATCACCATATTAGGTTATTACCATATTAGGACCGATTGAAGGTTGAGGTTTGTAGGTTAAGCTGGATGCTACCTAAACTCATCAAAAATTCACTTCGTTTCTAGTAAGGGATCATACACAGGACAATATATTACATATTGGAATTATAGGTCGCAAGCTTAACGAAGGGACGAAGGTGTGTTTACTTTAGTGGCCAGCTTTCCTGTCAATTCGCCATAGATCTAGTGAAACCAGTCAATAAAGTTTGACAATGTTATTATGCAGTTATAAGACAAAACATATTCGCAAGTAGTTTTTTTCAACAACAATTTTTCATGGGTTGGTATAAACACTGCTTGATGTACCTGAACGAAGTCAACACACTCCGAGCTGTCCTCGTCCTCGGCTATCAGAAACTCGGAGAAGTTGAGGGCGATGTAGGAGCCGGCCGGCAGGCTGATGTTCCATGCACAGATGGAGAATGGAGGCAGCTCAGACGGAAAGTCAGTCGTGGAGAAGTTCCCCTTTGATGAGGTTAGGACGTCCTTCTTGCCGCAGCCTGGGTCACATCCAGCTGTTGATCCCGTGCAATCTAAGAAAATCACCGAAATTGTAATTGACTTCGTGCACAAGGACACCTTCAACGGGGACAAAGGAAGAGCGATGACCGTTTTTTGAACGCCATTGCAGGGGTACTATAAGTCAGATTTGGAAAAAAGGTACCCTACCCGTCATACTATAGGACGCCATGAAGCCGAGTTTCTTGGGCATGTCCTGGCCGATGGCGCCTATATCCAGCCTCAGCGTGACGTTGTTTGACCGGCACGTGACCACCAAGTCTCGCAGGTCCCCGCAGAAGGAGCCACGTGACATGGAGTGGTGAGGTGTCAGATGATCGGTGACGTTCAGGACGTCGATGCAGCGAGCGGTTCGCGGCTTACGGCGGAGGACCATCTCGTGAATTTCCAGCCTGAAAACCAGAGAAACCAAAGCAACAGAATTGAACAGTGGTATCAAACGGTCTACTTTCGCTCACGAGACAATCACATTTTAATGCTGCAAGAAAAATTAGAAAGGCCTACCTTTAGCCTAGGTTTATCCCGCACATTGCAAGATTGACTTAATCTGAACCATAAGTTGTCAGTCAGTTTTAATGCTTCAGAAACCAACGACCAACTGACCTGATAAAGTTTCCAGGCGGTAGCTGGATGTTGATCTGGCACGTGGAAGCTTGGTTGTACCACGGTGGGAAGCTGAGTGAATGGATGTAGCCGTGTTTGGAGTAGACGTATTCCAAGTTGACATTCCGCGCCCACATCTCCTCGCATCGGACGTCAGCTACATCTAAAACGACAAGCAATAAATAAACGACTTATACTATAGCCTACCTCAATCGGAAACAGATAAAATTATGCCTATACCAATAATCATACAATGAAACATAATAATAATAGGCCACTAAACGGATATTTATAGAGTGCTTTTAAACACCAAAAGGTTTTACAGAAATTCAATAACAATCACTACATTAAGAATAAATTATGTGTCCTAATTTTTCAAAGGACCAGAACCACACAGGGTACTTCCGTTTTTAAACTGCAAAACCTTTGGACTTGTTTTGTGGTTAAGGTTATAAGAGGACGGAGTCTCAAAACGTATGCCTCTTCAAAACATTTTAGCCGCTATCTGCGTCATCGTAATGTTCAACACCCTCAAACATTTAGCCCCACACATGATGATAAGCGTCTGCAACACAAGTTATCAACCCCTTTCTATGAATATTTCAACATGTTTGACACTGTTCCTCAATACCGTTTCTGCTCGCTCAAAGTGTTGTGAATAATGTATCTCGTGTGTTCAGGAGAAGTGACAATAATGCGTTAACCCAAAGGCATTTAAACAGATCAAAGCCTTTGCATAATAAGCCGAATCATCTCTTTGCAAAGGCAATCCAAAGTTAGTGCCTCTGGATAATTCTTGGCACCAGTGGACGCTGTTGTCGGCAAAGTCCTCGTTAATTAATTCCGGTGATAGCGCTTGATACAATCAGTCGGGTAGTTATGTTGAGGATCGGCTTGTTTTAAAAGTCTTACCGCGGTTACACGTGCTCTCCAACAGCGGGAAAGTCGGCACAGTTGAAAGGGCGCTACCGGACACGTGGTCGTAGCTTTCCTCGGGCCACTGTTGGTCGCTGAAGTCGGGCCAGCCGATGTCGATATCTGGAATGGTTAGGTCCAGGCAGCCCAGGCCGTACGGATCGGATAAGCAATCAGTCGAGGTATTTTGAAACACTTGCCCCGGTGGTTTGTCCTTGCATAGTGCTAGGAAGAAAAAGCCGGTGAAAGTCGATTAAAACCAATGACACTCCTTTTTTGATTTTTGGTATAAGTTCAGTAAGTTTCATTGTTTTAGTATGGCTGCAATATCCTTTCTGTATCAGCTAATCGGAGATGATATGGTCGAAACAGATTTTGCATAATGTCATTACTTTACAACAAACCCTTCGAATACAGTTTGTCGGGGCTACTTTTTAGGGGAAAAAACAAGATTTTTTTTTCGTTAAAAAGATATTTTAAAATCTTTGAGTTTTCTTTTCAGCTTTGTCTCAATATTTGTCGATTCATTTTTCGCATGCATTCTGGAACAACATATTATCTTAAGGGAGTCCTGTGATAAATTTGTGTAACTGGGGATTGATATACATAATACACATAGGCCAACGTTCTGACGCTTTTCCCCACTTTAAATGTAGAAAAGCCTGTTCTGTATACATATATACCTCTTCACAAATATTCTTTACAGTCTTCCAACGAATTATGTGAAAGCAAACAGGGTATTGACCGCTTCAGAAAAAGCAACGTGATTATAGCACTAGCGAAAATGTAAGATTTTTATTCATGACTCCGAGCGATTACCCAAACAATTCTTCGTTATTTCCTGTGCCACTGTAGAAAAAAATGCAGGTGCCTTTACAGGTGTGCATTTATTCCATCCACTTTAAAATCCCACCTGTGAATAATACATTGGCCTAGCTGGAGGTGAATGGCATCCTCTCAAGTTGATGCAGTGAAATGTTTCAAGGAACACTTCAGGGCTCAGTTTCATGCAGAAACATGGCACGAAATATCGTTGGGAACCATAAGCAACATCCATATGGAATATTTACTATAGTAACCCAATGTTCGTATTACTTTTACGTGCTGTAAGCAAATTAGTGCACTCAAGATCTCCACAAAATTGCTCCTAGTGAAACAATCATTATGCAAGTAACGTGATGATGTTTCTCCAATCGTCTTTTTTATGCAAGTAAAATAACAACAACAACAACAACAACATGTGTTCATATTAAAAGCACACGTATCTGCCTGTATAATTGGTGCTCAAAACGCTATATCATTATTATTATTTCGATAATTGGGCCAATGAAACATTCAAAAGACAATCTCATTTCCCTGAGTAGTATACAGCTCGATGCTGTAATTTCTGCGCAAAGCAGCTAAAATCAACCACAATAACCATCTCTGCATGTCCTCACAGGTACCCAGGGTGGGGATAAGCAATGAGTGACAAAGTGCCTTGCCCAAGGGCCCACACGCACCATCGAACCCACAACCTGCAGATGGTGTTTCTTCAACAGTCTCTTTACCGAAGCCAATCTGCAGGAACCTAATTTCTCGTTTATCAAATCGTGGTCAAATCTTCTCAAATATTCAAGGCCGTGTAATTGTCATACTTGTACAGGCGATGTCGTCCATGCCGTTCAGTCGGTATCCCCGCGGGCAGAGACACTGGAAACCACCTGGAAAATTGGAGCAGGTGTGGGAGCAGAGGTGCCCGCTAGTCGTGCATTCATCCACATCTGTAAAATTGAAACAAAATGTTCCGGTTTATAAATTGACAATCAGAAACATCCATCGCCTTGCCAATACATTTTTTTTTATCAAGACAAAGTTGATTGTTTTAAGATCATAGTTTTCTGCGGTACTGTTTTCTAACAATATTATGAGAGTGAAAGTATATTGTTTTATTGAACATGTTTAGCTGCATTTTGTTTTTAAATTTGAGTTTAAGTCATTGTATTAATGATAATTTCTGAGGCACGTTTACTTAATGCGCGATTGATCATTGTAAAAGAGACCTTAAAGTTTCAAATTATTGTTATTATCATACGAACAAAGTTCCAATTTTGGCATATTGTATTTGAAAACAACTATGTGTACATATCAACTACCATCCAGTTTCAGCTCATGTAAAGCAACTTTCACAGAGGCCCTCAATGTGTCAGCGTTTCTTTTCATTCTGGATTTTTTTTTAGCACCCTGATGTGCACAGTAAAAACAAATCTTCCTTTTGCTATTTGATGATCGGACAATTATAACCCATTTGGCTCACGTTCATCTGAAGTAAACTTCATAACGATAAAGCTTTATTCAGCATAATCATAATCGGTTAAATTTACCTTATATTTCGGAATAAAAGCCAACATCTCTTTTGTCTCTTACAAAAATTTTCCTTCAGTTATGTATCTCGTCTTTAGGGTAAAATGAGCAAAACGGTAATGATGGCAATACCTAGCTGACAAATGGTTGCCCTGGGCACAGCGTCATTCATGCACTTGAACTCCCTCCATCGCAGGTCATCGTTCATGTCAATGTACACACACCACTCCGTACTGTTATCCGTGATGTTGGTGGGCCACCTGAAGTTATTGTAAGTCATAGGTGTGCCGTCTGCCCACGTGAACACCTCCCCTTCCAGCTCGGTCTTCAAGCCGACCTTGTACTGGTAATGCCTGTCGTTGACTTTAGAAATTGGCATTTGCAAAAATCCAATTAGATTGTCAAATATTCCAATTAAATTGTCAAAAATGCAATTAAAATGTCGAAAATCAAATGAAATTGTCAAAAATCCAATGAAATTGTCAAAAATCCAATGAAATTGTCGAAAATCCAATTAAATTGCCAAAAATCCAGTTAAATTGTCGAAAATCCAATGAAATTGTCAAAAATCCAATGAAATTGTCGAAAATCCAATTAAATGGTCGAAAATCCAATTAAATGGTCAAAAATCCAATTAAATTGTCAAAAATCCAGTTAAATTGCCAAAAATCCAATTTAATTGTCAACAATCAAATACAATTGTCAACAAATCAATTAAATTGTCAAAAATCCAATTAAATTGTCAAAAATCCAATTAAATTGTCAAATTATTATGAACTAGTTTTCTTGGTTGTCAGTTTACAATGGCATTATATCGCATCCCGTGAAATTGTAGCATCTTGTATGCTATCATTTTCAAGAAGAGTAAAAATATTTATCATTTTCCAGCGATCGCTCGATCTGGTGATCGTTTCAAAACGGCTCCCCCCCCCCCTAAAAAAATCTCCGTCATAACAGGCGAAAGTCAGTTATTGACCTCTTACGTATGCTCTGTTGCAGATGTACATGTACATGCAGGTATTTTTCCCACAACACAGCCGACACTCGGGCATGGCTTGTGACCGTTGGTTCTATATGGGTTTTATTTTGGCAAGATAAATTTAGCGAGCTGCACTTTGACGGTCGGAAACGATCAGCATTTTTTTCTTTTCTTTTCACGTATTAACACAAACATAAAACAGGTCGGTGATGAAATGACGTCTGCTATAAATTTCAAGCTTCCACATCCGTCTATAAACAAAATTACAAAAACTGAAAATGTTGTCCAATACCTTTAATATCGTCCCGTTTGAGCCCAAGCCACTGTTGTGTTGCTAGGGAGTTGATGGTCAATGGCTGGCTAGCCTCGGCGAAGATGGCGTCACACGCCCCGCTGGACTGGGTGTTGACCGAGCCGACGCAAAAGCCGTCGTGGAGAAGAGATGCCTCTCCACAAACCTGACCCTCTGATCCCATGAAGGAGACAACAAATTGAAAGATTCGTGGGACGGTGTTTGCAATTTCCTATTGGCTTTTGTAGTAGAGGTTCTTGAGACTAACTGACTTAAAGGTAATTGACATTGTGATTGACTCGTGAGGACCTGGGATCTATCATAAGTATACCTCAAATACAACACGATTTCATCACAATTAAATCATAAGTCAATTCAAAAGTCCATCCAGTCACAAGTAACAGGGGATGAACAACGACAAAGTAATGCATTTTTCGTTGTTCATTTTGAAAAGCTCGTAGGTTGCCTTGGGACTGGATGACACGATATTGACTTGTGATGGACTTGTGATCCATATCAAGTACCTCGCCCACATCACTGCCGGGGCCCATGTACATCTTACTTATTTGAATCGTGATTCTGTGAATTTAGATTGAGAGTTTCAAAGCACCCAAGAGATCGTTGTTTGCTCTTAACAGCAAAAGTTGACATGGAATCAAAACGAACAATGAATAGAAAAGTACACCAATATACTCCCGTGGGAAATTTGAAAATGCGCTTCTAGTGCGCTGTTATTACATCTGTTGTGACATCCACATTTGTTATATTTTAATGGTATGAGCCAATTGCCAGTTTTACAGAACTGTAAAATACCCTAGGGCTGACGTGAGTGGTTTGAGGGATGAGTCATTCATGAACCGTCCCTGTACGGTTTACTGAAAAGTGCCTTGTGCACCATTTGGGGTAAAATGTGCGCAATATGGAGTCCATTACTTCGACGATAGAATCCTGGAGGCGACATAACATGTGAATAATGTGCCAATATACGCTTGTGCTACTTCAAAAATAGGTGAGAATGTCTAGAGGCACATGATGCTGTGGTAATCAATTCCATACGAAAGGCACTTTGTAGACTAAGCTGGCAGGGGTGCGAGGAGAATTTACAAATATTACTTTGTGAACAACCCAATGTTCATCAAGGCTGCTTAACCTATGACGCATGTGTCTTTAATAAACAGCGCCTACGCGTAATTGAACAGGACGCCTATACACAGGTGCCAAGTTTGCACCTACCGGAGAGCCTACATCCAAGTATCTCCATTCTCAGACAGTAACCTCTCCAGGACCTTGGGATGAGCCGGATTGTTCTCGTGATGAACGGCCGGTCAAAGTCTTGTCTCATCTCGGTGTGGGGATCGGGATAAGACGGAAAATCCTGTGGGAAAAAATAACTTTCAATTAACAACTCATGACGATTAAAACGTTGTCTGATGTTAATTCTGACAAAAAAATATGGAAGTTTGAAGGCCTATTCTTTTTATCCCACTGCTATAAGCTAAATTGCATCAAGCATATAAACTGATGTAAACCTAAATTTAAACATCACATTTCGCGTAAAGTTCTTGACATTTTCATGAGAGTGTTATGGACAGAGTTACTGGCCGTAAACTGTCGGCGCTGATTCTTTTGTAACCAAACTTATTCAAAGAACACATCAATGTTCACATGATGCTATCCGTAAAGTTCATTCAGGCAAAGGTTGATTTATTCAGCCGTAACGATGTAAGCCTCCCTAAGGGATTTTGCAATGTTGCATCAAATAATATTATTATTGTCGGTCACTTTTTTATCTTAAAGCCCAAGTTTAAACCAAAATTTACCATGACATCTCCTTCCAGGTTAAAGTACGTCCTCCACTCGCTGTCGTCTTTCCAGCTGGTATACAGGACCCTGTAGCTATCAGGCCAGTAAAACACCTCCTGGTCCCCTAAGAAAGCATTATTGTAACCTCCCTGCGTAATCAGGCCGGTAATTGTATAAAGCTCCAGCAGATCCACCTGGAAAAGTAACGGCGGGTTGGCAATAGTTTGATTTAAAACGCAGGTGAAAGCTTCCCGTTTTTGATAGGACACACACCGAAGTATCTGCAAATCAAATCTATATTTTGCACACCTGCGTGTCGGGGTACATGTTTGTTTCAAAGTGCATTTGCGAGGAATAGAAATTAACATAGAACAGTGAACTAGCATTTTAAAAATATCACGGCCCTGAACGTTATGACTGAAATAATTGACAGATACCGGTTTGCAGAACGTTGTTAAATTCATAGCTTAACACTCTTTGCTTTCTGAATACTCACCTGCTCTGTCACTGTCACTTATAAAATATTCATTGGTGTCATTTTCATGTTGGCTCTATAGGCCTACTTCCGTTTTGCTTATTTTTTTTTATTTTTTTTTTGCTCGCTTGCTTGCTTGATGACTGATAAATATTTATGAACCTTTTTTATTTCATTTTCATGTTCCTGCTACTTCTTCATGGTTCTAACCTGTATCCAGTGGTTATTCCCCATGCCATTTGGTTTCCAGCAAGCTATGTGATGCAGGCGGCCCACATCGCCGTCCTGCCCGACGTATTCCGAGGACTCGGTGATCTGTGAGGAGGAGATGAGCTCGGACTCCATCCCAAGTCGACTCCCACAAGCTAAATAACAACAAACGATTTACGAGGCTATAGATAACACACACTGCACCAAGAAGTCCAAAGTGTCTATATGTTAATCAATATAGATAATGAGATTTGATTTCCTGATGACGAGCAGAGCATACTGTTCGAAACGTCGAGTTAAACCAACTGGCTCTTCTCAGAACCACACAACTCACTAAGTGATATCATTCACATGGTGTTACCGCAAACCTCCCATATATTGATTTGTATGTTCGTGTCTAATATAGGAGCACGGGCAGCTCTAGTTTCTCGCTAATGTCATTTGCCTTCGGAGAAGCAAAAGCTTTAATATGTGTTAAAATCAAATGTTTGCTAGTATGCCAAAATGTTGAGGCTATACCAAAAGATTGTGAAACGAATTGCATCTACGTACAAAAATACAACACAAGCGTCATTTAATTTAGACGGAGAAGAGGTCTTATAATTACGTTTTGGCAATACGATGTGCCTACGCACTGCAGCCGGCCCGACGATTCTCATTCTTTGATTCTTTCAGAAAGAGCACGCGCTACAAGCTGCAACATCTGGTTTTCCCAATATGTCACGCATTATAACGAAAAAGACACCACATCTATGGGTGTTGAATAAAAACAGTATCAATTATTAATATGACAAATATATTGCGGTAACCGAGCAACTCACCTCGATACTTGCACCCAAGTAACTCGAATCTCAAGCAGGAGTCCACGTGCACGTCTGGGGAGGTCTGTGGATAGATCCTGAAGACCTCGGCTCGAATGGGCGGATCCAAGTTGTTCCTCTTGAGGGTGTTGCGATCGTTGTTTCCTACAAACACCTGTTTCCAAATGCCATTTGAAATTGTGAGAAACGTCTGACGTCATCATGGCGTCATCAAAATGTGGTTTGTTTTTAAACTCATACAACGACAAAATGTGATTGTCATGAAACTTGGTGTGTACATAGAATATGTTTGTAGCATGCAAACCTTGAAGTGACGTCATGATGCTCCTTTTTAATTTTTTTTCATTCGCCGATCACGTGGCATTAGGCTACTATAATTGGCTAGAAAAAAAGTAACATGCAAATAAAGCGGCTGAAGAAATTTGTTTGCATGATACCCGAGAGCTGACAAATATTATAAGAAGCCGGATTGGAGGATTTTGGTAAGGTGTTTCACATCGAGGCAGTGCGGGGGGAACAACAGGAATACTTCACTTTACAAGCCACTGGAACACGGAAGAAGATCAACCAACTTAATTATTCCACACGGCAGTGCAGTGACTTTAAAGTACTATAGTTGTTTGTTTAGTATCGCTAGAATTTTAATCTTATTTTTGCTTAATACATCTTGCACGGAGACTGGATCTCCTTGCGTCAACAATAATATTATTTCATATACAAACTGCGTTGTGGACATAACCACGGTTATTCATCCTTATATAATGCACCGAATTAATGCACATCAAAAAGAACTGTCATATTTTCCACCAAGAATTGAAGACTGGCTCTCTGGAGAAAACGGCCAAGCGGGTTCCGAGCGAAAATCAGACTCCAATTTTACTTTCGAAAAGCAGCTGTGCCAACAGAATGAAAAGAAATTCGCTCTGCCAATGTACACCCACAAAAAACGGCGCTTCGGCGCGTGTGTGTACTGACGCTTAAGTAAACGCACCCACCTGAACGTGCCCGAGCCTCCGGTAGTCTACCAGGTCTTCCAGGCTCCTATCGGCCGAGTACCGGATGGTATATCGGGCGGTCCACCTGTCCAAGTTGCCGCAGCCCTGAGTCACCACCCCGGTGATCAGGTAAACACTGGGAAGGTAGACCTGAAGCCAGGGCTCGCTGTCAGACATGGATGGTATCCAACCTGACAAAGGGGCAAATATTCACAGTCAGAGTGTCAACGACTAGTCAAAAGGCGACATCTTCGGTAGTGCTCAGACGAGATCCGAGGGGCGGGATCCGCCCCGGATGTGCGAAGTTAAAGTGCATAGTTTACAGTTTGGGGACTAGCATCAGCTGTGCAAATTTCCTTTTCTTAAACTTTTGTCTGCCGTCTTGCAATTTGTACTACTGACAAGTTAAGTTTAACATAAGGTCAACGTTGCAAACAGGCAGATTAATCCTGTCTCGATGTTCTCCTAAGGTATTTGAACATGTTACACTTTTTGTTCAAACCAAAAAGGCTTTATTCCATCCACTTGACTGAGCTCCGGAGCTTGATTTGAAGACAAAAAACTACACTACACTAGACTTACACGTGGACAAGAGTGATTTTGGTGACTTGCATCAAATTAGCATTAAACACTTTTCTTGCAATTTTTTTTTAATAAAGATGTTTTCTTGAAGAGCTATTCTTCACTACATTATAAAAAAAAAGTTCAAATAAGTTAAGTAAGTAGGTTAAAACTCCTTTCCAAAGTGGGTTTCCTTCTCATTGCACCACCCTGTACACCAGCTACTGTCAAACATCTTGCAAGTACCAATTGAATATAGGGCAACAAGTTAAGGCCTAAGGTTTGTGAGATTGATTGTCACCCGTACCTGTTCTGGGAACGCCGAATGGGTTGAGCCGGGCGTTAGCCGGGCCGTGTATTCCCTTCTCATCCCCCACGCTCGACGAAGCCGTGATCTCGGCATTGTGAATGTCTCCCCGTGCTATCCCAGCGGCAAAGTCACAGTCTGCAGCAAGCAATCGAAAAGGCAGAGAAGGCTTATCGAGACTTTGCCCCCGGTAAGAGGAGTGCTCGCGATCGGGTCGATATTCCCTCTCGGGCTCTTGAAGCTTAAGTATGCCTTGTGTTTAAATTCCACGCTGTATTCTAGAATTTGCTGCTATAAGACTGTAGCACCTAAACTAAGATACATTTCTAAGATCGATCATTTCACACTTTAGTTTCGTCATTCTGAAAAAAAACCCATTGATTTAATAAATCTTAAAGTAATTATGATTTAATTATGGTAAGATGCAAAGCATTTAACCAAAGACAGTAGGAAACTCAGTGAAGGAACGAATCACCCATTTCGCATTTTAGGTTCTTCATTTCGGGTTCAATATGCTTTCTATCAACTGTAAAGACTGTGATATACCTTTGGTATTATAATCTTTAACCATTAACATTTAACCATTATATACAATTATTTGTCCTCTAGGTTTCTTAATTGAACAATTATTTCCAGCATTGGTAAGAATAAGACAAATTGTGAACATTTAAATATCTTAATGTCCAAATGGTGATAATTAAGGTATCTCTTAATTGTAAGGAGTGGCTAAGAATTGGCAAGGATAACACAAATGTGGACAATTGAACACCATAGTATTTCTTTGCAGTGTCGTGTCAGTGTATACTCACCATTATCTCGGCATCCCAGGACTTCCAGTCGCAAGGCCACGCCCCCGTACGACTCCTGTGGGTTAATCTCTAGATACCTAGCTTTGATGGGTGGGTTCAGGTAGATAGGCTTCACGCAGCCTGGCTCACCATTGGCTTTAATTACCTAGAAAGTAATCAGTTATAATGCTATAAAGCGAACAATAATCCATTTTCTATATCAAAAATGTTTAAATGGAGTTGAAATTATGTGTCATAGTGTCAGCAACCCATTACCAATGATCCAAATACGTCAGTATTATAAACGCTTTTTGGTAAGTCGAAGACACCCTTATTTGGTATATGGAGCACCGAGGGCGCGTACATGTTTTCTAATGTGTCTTCTGATGTGGCCGTATAAGATTAGTCTATATTCTGGACACCTGATGCATTTTTTGTAGAATCTGTGATTTTTGGTCACCAGTTCAAACGTTGATACGCTACATACGCTAGAGGAAACGTAAAAATCACGTGATGCTTGAAAAGAAAAGAAAATAATATTGAAGAAAATCACATTGTAAAAAATAATTGATTAAAATTACAACTAGGCGAAAATGGAACGACACACCCATTACGAAACACTTTGAGTCAGTATGGCAAAACTCACAATGGACTTGATTTCCAATCTCTTGTACTCGTCGTAGGGCCAGAACGCGGACAGGTCGTTGCTGAAGCGTAAGGTAAAGCTCTTGACCCAACTGTGCTCCTTCCCTCCGCCCTGCACCAGCAGACCCGTGATCAGCATCCGCTCCAGGAAGTCGATCTCCAGCCAGGGATCCTGGTCCTGGGGGAGGGGCCGCCAGGAGGTGGGGTTGCCGATGCGGGCGTGGCCCGCCGTGTGGTTCTCGTCCATGTAGGAGGAGGCTCGGAGCTGGGCGTTGGTGACGTCACCGGAGGCCACACCCAGCGGCAATGGACATGAAGCTGTTTTGAAAAAAATACATGATTCAACTGGATATCCCTTCCTATCTTGTACTTTTCTTTTACTAGTCTTAACTATCTTAACCATCACAGTGATTCACATCCATTGTAGTGTATCGCATTTGGATTTTTATAGTAACAATGTTGTTTGAAATGAAAAGCTTTAGCATACCTGGATAACTGTTCTCTTCGTACGCGTCACAAACTAAGACAGAAAAAAAAATGTAACAAAAAATTACTTCTTGTTCTTACCAACAGGCTAAAAGAAAAAAAAAATGTTTCAAATAACACTTTACATTCATTGCATTACGTTCATGCGATTGCGCCTGAAAATCTCTCAGAGAATGTGCTCTTCATATACTTTAACATACCGCTCGATGAAGCGACTACCAGGTTTCCGCATCAGCCTCAGGTTCGCGTTATTTTGCAAAAGGCTTATTTACATGTAAATATGTCAAGTATATCCCTGGCAGGGGGAGTGTGGCCTAGTGGTTAGGGTTCGTGACTCATGATCAGAGGGCCAAGGGTTCGAGGTGAGCTGCTGGCCATATGCTGTGTCCTTGGGCAAGCCACTTCGCCCCTACTTGCTTCTTACCACACGAGTATAAATGAGTACCGGCATTAGCTGGGGAGTAATGATGCGATGGACTGGCACCCCGTCCAGGGGGAACAGAAATAATCGTTTCATGCTACGTTAGACAGGCATCCCATCGAGTGGGGAATGGAAATATTCTCTGTTGTTTTTCGTGCCTCTGAAACCGGAGGTAAACGCCGGCCTAATGGGCCACATTGGCTAATGACAAACTATCACTGGCAATTTCCATATTAACATCCAGTGCTCAAAATGGTTGTGAATCACGCTACCACAGACATCAAAGATAATTTTCAATTACGGAATTCATCGAGGCTTGACTGTCTACTGACCCGTGTCCAGTCTGGTGAAGAGATCATAGTGCTGGGAGCCTTTCCGCTCCGGATACATCTCCAGCATGTACACGCTGAGATTCGTCAGGTAACAGTGGCCCTCCGGGTGGTGCACGTGCTTCTGAATCTGTTGGAAAAATAAATAACGTGGCCGGATCACGCGAAACGAGTCTCAAGAACATTTTTTCCCCACTTAGGCCTATTAGCTTTTCTCATGCACAGGAAGCGCATCATTTGCTGTCCATGTCGATATAGTACGCAGTATCTGACATCTTAGTTAGGCCATGGAGCTATATGGTTAGGCATATGTGGGTGAAAAGGTCGACTGTTCCAGTTGATTTCTGTTGTGTAAGACTCTGTTCAGAGGACAATTACTCAAAAAAAGATCTAGCGATATGTGAGTCAATGTGTTGGGTTGGTTCACACATGTTTGATGAAGTAAAAGCCAATGTCACTTGAAGGCAAGAAGATTGGGAAATATTTACACTTCGCTCTATTAACTGCAGTGGTGGATCCGGAGGCGGGTTGCAGCCCCCTCCTCGTTCAGCCGCTGACTAATGTTATGATACTTACTAGTATATATAGGGCCAGAAATTATAAGTGGAATGCTAAACTTCCTACATGTACTCTCAAATTGCCTTAGAATGTAGGATAAAGCACCGTAGATTTCAAACATTTCCCGGGGACATGTCCCGGACCCATTGCCTTCGGCACTACTCTACTCCCCCCCCCCCCCCCCCCCGTTTACTTGACATTAGATCCATCCCTGAACTGTGTGTTCTGCTGGGCGATTTGAATTGACGTGAGTATGCACCATTATGTAGCATGGATGGATGTATTGTCGAGTCCATCACAAGTTCAGTCTAAAGTAAATCACAAGTCCAGCTGTCACCAGTCCAGTCATCAGTTACAGTGGATGAACAATAACTTCAAAGAAATCCCTTTGTCAAAGCTCATAGCTGGTGAGCTGAATTGGGACGGGGGGGGTTGGGTTTGTGATGGACTTGCAGGGGCTTGTTATAGTCATGTTATAGCCTCTATATGTACACATTAATGTGAAATAATATATTATATTAACTATTAACTATCACTCTTCCGTAATAATATGTGGTGCGTATATAGCGCTTTTATACCTAAAAGGCTTCATGATTATTGCCCTGCTCATTGGGCCAATGAAACATTCCAAATACCATCTCAGCTCTGTAGGGAGTATACAACTCGATGCTGCCAAATCGGCGCAAAGCAGCTTAAATTCAACCGCAATAACCATCTGGAAGAAGCAATGAAGTGCCATGCCTAAGGGCACACGCACCTTAGCCGCAGGCTGGACTCGAACACACAACCTGCGGAATTACCCGCAGACCACTTATTCAATGCTCCAGACCACGAGGCCACGGCACTTCACAGACCTACATTTGACTCACAAACAAAACTCAACCTTTACTAAAAAATTTATCTAATAGGCCTATCTAAAAAAAAACACCTAAACATAAAGAGTATAACTTCCAGTTGCGTGCAAATCGGTTAAAATCACGCACGTTTTTGTGCAAATTGATGAAAAAGAGGTACTGTCCCCTAACCCCCAAACTAATACCATTTTCCTTTACCATTTAATGTCTTCACAAACCTTCAAATGCACTTTTTTGGTGAAATGATGAAAAAGAAATATAAACAAAAAATCAAAAACTGTAGTCTGGTAATTGTGTCACACCTTACGCGCAAGCCTACGCCTGAATTCGATTACGTTGCATCCCCCGAGAACACAAACCTGTTGCAATCCATGCAAAATAACTGTACAGTTATCCCCCTGGAAAATCGGGAGTGACGACCTTTTCCTCCAACATCTACCTAGCCTCCCCGCAACATTTTTACCAAGCAATTTTGTTAAAAATTTAAACAGGGATTATGACTTGATTAATTTTCGGCAATTTCTGTAATTTCAATGGGGATTCCAAAGAGGAATGGTATGGAAAAACATCTTTTGGGGGGAAGACGATACGTTTTCTGCATCCCCCAGCCCATGGGGAAACAACTACAATTGCTCGCTTTTTTTTCTATTCGACTTTCTTTTCAAGCAGAGTTGACGATTCTTCAAAATGCCACCAATTTTTTTTTTTTAAACCTCCCGAGAATTTTGATTTTAATCTTGGCACAGTCGCAATTGATAGTTACAAGCGCAAGAATAATCAGATTATCTTAAAAGATGAGGTTGCACTTTCTGCCGATGATTATATGGATGGGGGTCAGATTAAAAAAAAAATCTCAGGCGAAAGTCCCCTAGAAACAAGGAGGAGAGGTTTTAAAGAACGGTACTGACTTCAAGTAATCGAATGTTGCCCCCGGATATTGAACGGGAAATCCTACCCTGGAAATGTAAGAATTGTGGATCGAGTTACTCTTACTCTACCTCTTGCGACAGACTCTCACAGAATGAGGTCCTTACATGATGAGAGAAACAGGAGTCGTGAGGAGACAGTGATTGATCTCTTGCAAGTGATCAATTTGAAAGAAAAAGATAATCACATTCCTTTTCCCCCCAAATGAGAACATGATTGGATTTTCGAGCATTTCAATTGTTAAAACCTGTTTTGTTTTGTTTTATTTATATTTGTTTTGTTGGTTTTTTGTTTTTGTTTTTCTGTTTGTTTGGTTTTTTGTTTGTTTGTTTTTTATTTTTTTTTATTATTATAATTTTTTTTTTTACAAATTATTGGTTTCAGTGGTTTACCGTAAATCATCACGATTCCTTTTAAAGTGCTTGGTACACATTAAATGTATTTTTGTTTTGTAATCCAATATGGTTTAACAGTCAAAAAACAATTCATGTTTTCAGTACAGTTTCCCGTTTCCTGTACATACTCCAGACTAACAATAACGAAAAATTCTCACCTTTTCATAAAACGTCAGTCGGGCAGAAAATAAACACTTTCGGCGTGAAAATCGCTGTTATTGCACGACAGCGTATTTTGATATCATCTACGTCTAAATATCACGAGTCAATGCCCGTGAGTTTATCCAGTTCACGTCTAGCTAAGAGAGATTTGTGGAGCTACTGCTGGGCTTTCGTCTGTAATCTTTAATAACCTATTTGAGACTGATTATATAGGGAAGCCAAACGCATGTAATGCAGTATTTAAACACTATATGGTATCGCGCATTAACGGAGATCTGTAGTTGACTTAAAGGTTCCATATGAAATATTTCAATTACACAAGTTTATGCATTAAACAAATATTAAATGACAATATTGTAATGTCGGTTTGACGTAGCAGTAAACTTACCGGAAGGGTTCCCTCCTTTTTTTAATCATTCTGCGGCCCAGTAATTTTTCAGATTTTATCCCAAGTTTAATAGTCAGGTGGCTTATATCTAATTTTCGTCAAGATCGTGACCGACTGGTCCAAAGCACCAAACTTGGCAGATATATTCTTATAGACCTAGAGAAGATATTTAGAAGGGGTGACACCCGAAATTCTTTTGGGAAGGGAGCCTAATTTGCATAAATCGTTAATCCCTGTCGTGTAATATATTTATTCCCATATTTGGGTATATTTTTATTTTTTATTATTTTGAAAAGTGTATTTTTGGGATTCTACTTACATATCTTTACTTAAATAACATTTTCCAAAGCATATAAGTGACTGAATAATTATGAGGACATAGTAACGATCCAAAATGGCTACTTTTATGCCCTAAAATTGCGCACATTTACCTTGTCTCCAGATATCATCAATTAGTCTCGCCAAACATTAGCATTGATGAACTTCAAATTCACCAAGTAGCTTACTGGTACAGCTACCCTATTAAAACCTTATGCAAAATCATGTGAACAATGATAACATTGTGATATTAAGCCCAGAAAACAAAAAATGGGAAAAAAGAGGTGTCCATAAATTAGGCTAACAAGTAGGTGAAGGGTTGCCTAACATGGAACACTGGAACAAGTTCAAGGAAATCCCCCTAAATAAGAGATTATTGTTGAGAAAACGTTTTGGCGTAGACAAAATTATTGTAAACAACAATAATCTCTTATTTAGGGGGATTTTGTTGAACTTGTTTAAGTCCCCACGTTACCCTTCCCGTACTAGCCCAATTTACGGACACCACATTTTCTCCCCTCTTTTGGTCTTTTGGGCTAAACATCAAGATGTTATCAATTTCCACTTGATTTCCCACTTATTTTTGTTAGGGTAATTATGCCAGTAAGTAACTTTTTTAATTTGAAGCTCATCAATACCCACTTTTGGCGAGACTAGTTGATGATATCTGAGGAAAAGGTAAATGCGCGTAACTTTAGGGTAAAATAGTAGCAATTTTGGTTCTTTACTATGTCCTCCTAATTATTCAGTCACTTATATGTTTTACAAAATGTTTTGAAGTAAGAATATGCAAGTAGAATCACCAAAATACACTTTTCAAAAAAATAAAAATATAAAAATATACCCAAATATGGGAATAAATATATTACACGGCTGGGATTAACGGTTTATGCAAATTAGGCACCCTTCCCAAAATAATTTCGGGTGTCACCCCTTCTAAATATCTTCTCTAGGGCTATAAGAATCTATCTGCCAAGTTTGGTGCTTTGGACCAGTCGGTCACGATTCCGACCATATGCCACCTGACTATAACCCACATGAACATTGTTCTCGCCTCGCCATAACTGACAGCATAACAATGGTTATGCACTGTTCGGGATCTGTGTCATAAGGCTAGTGTCTATAAGTTAACTAATATATAGGAAGATGGTTTTTAGGTTTATATTACCAAGAGGTTCTTACCTCGTTGAAGATGAAGGAACGGCAGGTGAAATCGCTCTCATCCAGGCACTGTCTGGCGCAGTCCTCGGCGTTACTGATGGACGGCTGGGCTTCCAGTAAGCCCAGGCTCAGGTCCAGGGTAGCGGACACCGTTCGGTTGAAGTGGGACAAGCTGTCCGAGTTACCTGTTTTGACGGAGGAGTTTTTAAAAAAAAGGTGGTTGATGAAGGAGTTATCAATGTGGATTTGCACTGACCGCAATGGATAGGTTCGGACAACCCGTTGGCCCGTTTGTCCAGATATTTGAAAAAGAAAACCAGCTGCCGGCTGTACTTATATTCTGTAATTTCTATTATTCGTGAGTCTTCATAATTCTTTGATTGATTGATACTGACAAAAGAAGGTTAACCCTAAAAGGGCCGGGTTATTTTGACCATCTCTCAGCCGGGGGGGGGGGGGCGGATTCCGCCCCCCAAAGATCTCAGCCATCGATTGACGAAAAATTTGAAACTCAGTAAATGCATAGAGCAACTCTTCCTTAACATACCCAAGAAATTTCATGACTATAGGTCAAAGAGTTTTGGAATTATGGGTAATTAATTATTCATATGTACGAATGGCAATTCTGCTCTGAGTACACGACGTATATCGGAAAATTCAGTTTTCACGGCGCGTAGCACCGAAAAATTTTTCGCTACGCGACAACCCGTGCTCCGATTTTTATGTTTTTGGTAACTATTATAAAATTGTTGTAAGAAGACTGCCGTATTCCTTATCATTGGTGACTTCATTCTTCATCTACTTGCTATATAATACAACAATTATTTGACATAGCCGATACAGACATAGCTGATGAAATTAGACAAAAGATAATCATGTAATGCAAAACAAAGATTCAATACAGAGGGGCGTACCAGCGTAGCATGTAAGTGTATCATGGGCCATTGAAACGTAACGAAGTTGTTCAATTAGGAACAAGTTGAGTATATATGCTTGAACTTGGTCTAGCTCATGTTTCCTCTTTCCAGTCTGTTACCATTCAGTAAGTTATCAGTATTAGTGCAAACAGGTTTATACTATTTTAATCGGTACAGTACTAAGGCTGACAAGTTAACCTTCGTTTTGCACTAATTGCCGTCATTGACCATGATAAGTACCACGTACTCAGTTTCTGCCGCCCGGTTTGTATGCAGTTCGTGTGCTCGCGCTCGCATGGGCTTCTTGAATAATTAAACCGTCAGATGTAATAAGTGTGTTTCGTTTTCACCTCTGCCTCGTTCAGTATTCAGCACGCACTGAACACAGCTTTAAAGTTTAGCCGTCTTTAACAACTTCCACTTGTGTCATAACACTTGTTTGATTGCCCAAGGCGACCATTAATTAACTTGCTGTGCTGTTTAATTTTCAGTCAGGTCTTAGGCCTATGCCATACACGCTTTATTTAGAATATGAACACTATATAGCGCAAGGTGCCCGTGATCTTGCTTGTCCATATAGTTAAAGGTATGTTTAATAAGCATGTAGTAAGACACTAAGGGCATGTAGTAAGACACGAAGGTTCTTTAGTCCGAAGGTTCGATAGTCCGAATGCACAAAATTTCCATAAAACGGGGTTTGTTAGTCCGAAAATGAAATAAGGTTCGTTAATCCGAACATTTGATGCAACAGTTCGAAGGTTCATTAATCCGAAGGTTCATATATCCGAAGGTTCGGTAGTCCGAATTTAGAATAAGGCTAATCAGTCCGAAGGTTCAATAGTCCGAAACGAAAATAAGGTTCAATGGTCCGAAGGTTCATTATTCCGAATCAACAACAATGTTCAATAGTCCGAAAAGACTATAAGGTCCGATAGCCCGAATCGACAATAAGGTCCGATAGTCCGAATCGACAATAAGGTCCGATAGTCCGAATCAACAATAACGTCCGATAGTCCGAAGTGTCAGACTGACGAACCGTATGGCATTTGGACTATCGAACCTTATTCTCAATTCGAACTGACGAACCGTATTGCGCATTCGGACTAGCGAACCTTATTCTCAATTCGGACTATCGAACCTTATTGTCAATTTGGACTATCGAACCCTACCGTGTATTCGGACTATCGAACCTTATCATCTATTCGGACTATCGAACCTTATTGTCGATTCGGACTATTGCACCTATTCTATTCGGACTATCGAGCCGTCGGATTAATGAACCTTATTCTATTTTCGGACTAATGGGCCCTTCGGACTATCGATCCTTCTGATTATCGAACCTTCGGACTCTTGAACCTTCAGACTAACGAACCTTCGGACTAATGACCCTTCGGACTAAAGAACCTTCGGACTATCAAACCTTCGGACTATTGGGCTATAACCGATAAATCGTTGTTTCTAGGTTTGCACAAAGCGCAGGCAGTGTGGTATGGCAATTGCTAGTGTTGGGGCAGTAATTCAATATCTCATGGTTACATGAGCAGATATCTGCCACTCAACGTGACGACATATGAAGTATATAAACTTAAGCCGATATTAAAATCTCCTCCGTCGCGACGCCAAAATGCTATCAAAAGTTACCGTTTAAACATCACGACTCGATGTTAATACGACGTACACAACTTGATACAAAACCTCTCACATCCTTAGCTTTGGCGCCGTTATGGTGAAAGAGTAACACACCCTGGTATTGTATACCATCTATCTGTTTATTACGGGGTTAGCGTGCCGTATATCATGGATATTTATTGTCCTGAATGTTTAGGAGTTCCTGACAAACATTCAAGATTCTGTAATTGATTTTATAAACCATTTCAGGGTAGCACCACGGATTCCTTCGTGAGAAATCCAGCGAATTATTTTGCTGTTGCTTCTGAAAGACAATAAAGTGAGTGCGTTCCTAGTTTTAAGCCCTTTTTAAGGAGAAGAATAATATTGGTTCTGTAAAGATAATGCGCAAAGCTTAGCAGTGTCGCTCATGTGAAAATCAGCTAACATTCAAGTAATAGAAACACGAATTAAAAATAACTCTGTACCTCCGTGCATCATTTGGATGTGTATGTATATTTCCTTTGGTTCAAGAATTTTTTTTTTAATTTGTGGTTTCCCTTGCAACAGTCATATTGTCTTCTGGCGGGAAAACCAGGTCATTATTAGACACTGCGGTACGGTATACGGATTGAGCCAAAAAAGGGCAACCTTAATGGTAAGACCAATGTTTTAATGAAATTCTGCATGTATCACTATAGGATATAAAAGCCAAATTAATGATAAAGAAGTAAGTGTTCTTTCAGCAAAACGAAAACAAATCACAGTGGGATGTGTGTGAATTGTTTTCGTTTTGCTGAAAGAACACACATCTCTTTGTGATATCCGTGGACATCACTTTTAAACGGTGGATGTGTTTAAAATTCTGTAACTTGAAAAGTTTATGAGTGATTCAAATGATTTTTGTACTAAAAGAAAGCTTGTTAATTGGGCTTTTATATCTTAGATTTTGAAAGTGCTATGCAGAGCTTTATTAAGAAAACGGTCCTTCCATTTGCGTTTCCTTTTTTTTGGACTCAGCCTGTTTACCCATGAATTGGTATTCAGTAAAACAGGAAACAGTCGTTGTGAAGGAATATTTATATCTCACAGCTGCAAATCTCCCCCGCTCCCTGCGCTGCAGGGAAAGGCGGCGTTAAACGTGTTTTCTTTTGTGTGGCACGTTTGGGTGTCGAAACAGCGGCGGCTGCCTCAGACTGACAGACTTAAGGTGTATCTTAGTTGCCAAGTATGATTGTCGTAAAAAGAAACCAAAATGTCATCCTCTAGTAACTCATTTTTTTTTTATCTTGAATAACACCCCAATTTACTTGTATATCTTTTGTCGCGAAAGCCTTGATTTGTGGGCAAAGACAATTTCACACAATTGTGTCACTGAAATAAGAGAGGTAACCATATTCGTGAAATTTTGAAACACTATCTAAAACACCTGCTTAAATTATTTTGACAAGGAAAAAGTCACGTCTGCACTTCAACTTGACTGTTTAGTGAGTTGAATGCAAAAGCTTGGACTACATTTTGTTTTGAAACGCGATGGATTTTATGGTCTTGATCTGCTATATGCCTATTAATGTCAAATTCTCAACATCTAAAGTCAAGTTTATTTGCTAGCAAGACTAGCGTGACCACAAGGCACGTTTTTTACCATTCTCGTATTCCTCCGAAAGATGCATGTCGTTCGCCACCGCCCTTCGTCTGCGCGCCACGCGTAACCGGAGAACAGCGTGGTGAAACTAAATCGGTCATTATTGGGACAACGATCACATTCCCCACTTTTTTTTAACTGACATGCAGGTACAAGAGATTTAATATAAGCCACCCTGTTGTCACTTTGTTTTCTTCTGATAGGTACAATGTATGAGAAGCAGAAAGGACAAAATGGGACACGCACTGTATATATATCAATACATGACATATTAAGTATGACCAGAAAGTAAAAAAAAAACACCTGTCACGCATTATCCCAAACAAGTGAAAATACAAATTGCTCTTAATTTGATGAGCTTGGAAACCCGAATGCTTACCTCTAGCTCACTAATATCTGTACTTCATGTCAATTTGCCAAGATCAAGGCGAAAGTAATTATTTTAGGGACAACTAATTCAGTAATCGGATAGCCCTAATGGTATCCGAGTAATATACAAATTACTGCCAGCAACTATAGCTATGCACCCTCGGGACGATTGAAAGTGCAAGTTCATTAGGTGAGGTCATGCATTTAAAACAAACAGGTGAATTACTTGGTGGATAGATCAGGTTAAGAGGTTACGCATAAATCCGTACGTCTTGGCAAATATTATGTAAAAACACCAAGTACATTACCTATACATATTAAGTCTATTATTGATGGAAATAAACTTTCTTTTAATATTTCAACTTTAAATAATTATAATACACCTAGTCATTTCCCTATGTGGTTTCTTTCAAGAAATAAATTTTGCTTCAAAAACTTCGAAAAGCATATTGGTAAAACTATTGTATGTCTCTGCAAAATCAACAGCTCTTTATGTTTGCCATCTTTTTAAAATATCACCTGCCGCCGTGTTTGCACAGTTGGAGATCATATCGTTACCCAACATACCTCCACTATAGCAACCAAAACCCCGATCTTACATATACTCAGAAACGACGCATATTATGTATCTCCTCTTCCCAAATGGTTTTTACATATTATGTACGGGAGTATTCTCTATCGAATGCATTGTGACCGACATAGGAAAAGCCTTTGAAGTGACGTTTGGTAATCACAAGTGTACAATTGACCTTTGACCCCTGGACTACTACGGTATGCTGTCTGATTAAATTGGCTACATTCACTAATGCCACCATCAATGAAACAGGAGTAATTTTAAGTGCTTTGAAAAAATGATATAAACGATGAGGGAGCAGACTCTAAATCCCCATTCCATGGAAAGATATTAATAAAAGTGGCTTTTTTCCTTCTATTTGTACTCACTTACCTCAATTTTCACGACCCTAGATGTGCAACTGTATACTCTAATAAAAAACTCATCACTGTCTATCGCCACCCCTCGCCGCGCCTAAATTCTCCATCGGAATCACTAATTGAATTTACAAAATAACGACAAAAGCAAATGGTTTGTTATAGATACTGGTTTGGGTATAGACTTACAGAATGGTATGCTGCAGTAATCCCATGTTGTATCGTTGTCTTGGTCGGTGTAGTAGCACCAAGGCTTTGTCCTGTTGTTGGGATTTCGACAATAGTTCTCCACCAGATCTTGTCATTTTGAAAGAACCAAAAGAACCGTTAAACTCTTCAATTAACATGCACAGTAATAAACGAACGTGCATTTAATTTAAGCACGAAAAATCTGTTGATCAAAAATATGCTCCTGACATGAAAAATGGTTTGATATCAAAATGAATATTGCTTGACTCCGAGTCTTGTACCGTAAAAAATGCCTAATATTTTAAAGAAAGTAGCTAAGAAGCTCACTTTGTTATTACTAAATATCAACTTTAAGGTGACGGGACCAATTTCATAAAACTATTAAGTATACAAACTCTAAGCTAACTAATGCGCATACCATATCTGCTAAGCGAAAACAGGTTACAGACCGAAATGTAGGCTAATAACTGATTTGTTTAACTCAAGTTCTACATTGTATAAAATATTCGAATAATTTCCTACTTAGAAGCGCTATGAATTCGGGCCTGTTGTGAAACCTGAAAAAGTCGTCATTATGAATCAGGAGTGTGTGCGCATCAGAATGTATAACCAAAATGTATATGACAGGTGGACTGCAATGCTGACAGGTGTATAACAACACTATTACCCAAAGTGACTAAACTGCTCTAAAACTGTTCACCCAAATCAATTGATAATTGAAACTCAGAAGTGTTAAGGATAAAGTGTTATTGGCTGTGTGCTAAGTATCACACACTCCAGCATAATACGTTGACATCAATCCCAAACTCAACCGCCCAACAATTACAAGGAATGGATACAACTGTCATATTCAATATTGTGTTTTGCCCTTCGCCGACGTATTTTTATTAACACTGTGTCATATTATATTTATTAATAGACTGCAGTATAGCTTGTTCATCTGCAAACCACTAGCATAATATTTTTGCCGTCTCCCCAGAATTTAACACTGGAAGAGTGGATTTTGTTTTTGAATTGTAATCCTGCATTATTCTTTATTTGTGCTTTGTGTTATTTATTATATTTATTTTAAACCCACCTGCATTCGGGAATGTCCGAGGATTGACGGGCATATCGCTGGCATCTTCCCAGCGAAGACACTGGAAGCCGCTCGCTGTGAACATAGCAGCGTCACGGTAACCACTGCTGTCCCCGTGCTTCATGCAACCAGCGTGAGCTGTTTCAGAAATAAGATTGAAATTTGATGAATGCGACTAGCAAATTGCATTTGTAGACGGTGGAATTAACAAGAAAAGGCAGAGCATATAGTAAAGCGCCAACATTATATATGATTGATACAGAATGGCTTTTCACTAGTCCTTTCTTGCATCTGGACTATACAATGGGCCGCAGTTAGCCCATTGGCGATACGGGGTAATCCTATACGATAGCACTGCCCGATTCTCTTCACCAGGCTACATACAACAAGTCAAAGTCACAATGACAATCAGTCAATCAGTCAATTAGTCAGTTGATTAGTCAGTCAGTTAGTCGATCTGTGGGGAGTGAGTGAGTCGGTCGGTCGGTCGGTCGGTCGGTCAGTCGGTCAGCCAGCCAGGTAGATAGGCCTACAAACATGACACTATGATGGCCCTGTCGGTCCAGCAAAATTCTGTGAGGCCTTAAAATTGACATCTTTTGCAGTACGATCAATTTAATGAGTCTGTATTTTAGATAGCTTAAAGGGGTTTCCCAAACCTCGTTTATGTCTCCAATTTCAGATTCATCTTTAGTTCCGGAATCATTCGGAGCCTGAGATTCCAGAACCAGATGGGAATTATCCAAGCTTTGGCCTCAATTCTTGGGATTCAATGTTCTGAAGCAAACCATTGACCTATTTAGCCGGAGTTCAGCGAAGTCGGGTCCTAAAAATCTCGAGTCGAGAATGGAGACGAAGCAAACATTTTGGAAAACCCTAAATCTCACACGTGGCACTTACCGTCACATGGGGGTATATCACACGTTGTCATGATTGTGGCGTTCTGCTCGGGACTGTAGTAGAAACATTTCGGGGCCGTGTTGGTAACATCGGTATTCAAGAACCGACAGTAATTCTTGTCCATGATATCACTGACTGCAATTGGTGTGAAAGGTGTAAGAGAAAGGCAAACTTAACATAATTTTACAACAAAATAAAGAATTCCCCGGTTCTTTTTAGGACCTCACAAACTAAAGAGATTCGTTAGATGTTGCAACCGTCAAATTAATTTTCTTGCTATCCTCACCATACAAAACTTCACATCTTATCCAACAAAATAATCATTAAAGCCAATGTTTTTGTGAATACAATTTGTAAGCAATGCAAACATTGTGTTAGATTGAACTGTATTATCCCTCACAAGGGAAATTAAAATGGCCTTGACAAAGAACGGGTTATAAAAACAAACAATTAGTAATTAAAAAGATGTCAAAGTGCAATAATAACACAAACTTAGTTAACACGGCCATTAAATCTACCTATTATCAAATTCAGATTCATTTTCGGCCTTAACATGTTTAAGACTCTTAACACAAAATGACCTTTCAATTGTTGTTTTTACCCCGCTGACTGTGAACCAGTCGCTACGGAAAAAAAACCCACACCGATTGCGGTTCCCTTTATGATAGATTTAAGTGCTTGTCAAAAATCGTGACAAGAAGTATATTTATTCAGACTTAATGTTATTTGCTCCCAGTCAGGGTTTGCTGCATAAGAGACATATTTGACTGTTTTCCGGTCCAATCAGCTTGCAGTTTTGTTATCTTATTCAAGGATAGGATCGTGCGAAATAGAACAAATTTTGTAGACGCGCTATAAGAATTAGGCCTATGTATTTATTTTAAAAGCAGGAATCTATAAATAAAGAGATTTAGCGGGGGAAAAACAAGGGATGAAACGTCCGTCCGTAATATCTTAGCCTTTCATGAAATGCAAAATGCAGGTCATTCGGAAGCTCAACCTCGTTGCTGCAATCTTTAAACAAAACAGAGAGCCATTAGCTCACCCACGTGTAATAATCGTGTTATCTGGTTACCCAGCAAACAATCCGCCATTTACAGAGTAAACTATGAGAGACACTGTCAGTTTTTTTTAAAGGCAACAACTTGGACAATTCTCTTGTCAATTTAACCCATTTTTGGGGGCCAAAGATTAAAAGGCTATGTGGATTTTGGTTCAAGTTTGATTATTACTGTCAACACTGAACACACTTGCTTCCAGTGTACTGCTTGAATTTGCAGTTGAGTAAAACGGAACGATTCGAAGACACTTCTTTAAACAGAACTTGAGAAGCCTTTCCCATAGTGACCATGATGTGGAATACACAACTTAGAAAGCCAAAACAAAAGGAAGAAGAAGAAACAGCAGAAGAAGAAGAAATAACATCCTTGAAAAAGTAAGGTATCTTAGATGAGAGTTCGGTGTGAACTCCTCGTATGGTTTGCACTGTCCTCTTTGTTTACATTTTGATATCGTCCTCTTTCAACAATATAGCCTATGCCAGAATTACACGTACACTGTATGTAACCCTTACGAGAAATGAACTGAAAACACTTCCGAGGTATCTAAGATCAGAAGAGATGCCGTGATTACTTCACACTGACTGCACCGACCTCTGTCTCGATTGTGATATTATCGTCTTTCCGTAACTTTACCAGAACTGTAACCGTTACGAGAAATACACTGAAACCACTTAAAAATCTGTAAAAAATATCTACTGGAAGGCATCTATTGATCAGAAAAGGTGTTTGGATTTCCTTACACAATCTGGACTGTCAACTTTTACTAGATTCCGAAATTGTCCTTTTACAACAATATAAGCTTTGCCAGAATTACATTTAGGCCTACATTGTATAACCAGTACGTGAAATAAAAACCCTAAAATATCTGTGAAAATATCTACACGACGGTATTTTTTCAATCAGAAGAGGTGTTTGGATTTCATTTACACAATCTGCACTGTCCTCTTTCACTATATTCGATTATATTCCGATGTTGTCTTCTCTCAGCAAAATAGCCTTTGCCAGAATTACCCAGCCAACTAGAAAGCAGGAGGTCGTGGGTTCGAGTCCCACCCAAGTGATTTTTTCCAACTTTCACTCCGGAGGTAACACACTGAGTATGCAGTGTTTATACGTCGTTGAAGGACAAAACTTTATATTGATTTACATCTATATACACTGTGATCACTACGTGAAAAAAACGGGGATACATGCAAATATCTCTAATAAAAGGCATCTATTGATCAGAAGAGGTGTTTTGGTATCCCGTCACAGTCTGTTCTGTCCTCTTTGACTATATTCCGATGTTGTCTTATTTCGTCAATAAAGCATCTGCCACGTACTGTGACCACTGCGTGAAGTAAACTGAAAACACTAAAACATCTGTGAAAAAAATCTACTGGAAGGTATATATTGATCAGAAAAAATGTTGGGATTTCCTTACACATTCTGCACCATCCTCGTCTAGACTCTGATGTAGTCCTCTTTCAACAATATTGCCTTTGCAGACATGTTCGCGTTGACCATTACGTGCAATTAAAAATTGAAAAAAAAAACATCTGTGAAAAAGTCTACTGGACAGGTATCTTCTATCGCAGAAGATGTTGTGATTTCTTTACACGGCCTACAATGTCCTTCTTTGTCTAGACTCTGATTTGGTCGTCTTACAACCATTCCTATCTCGCCGTCTGACAAAACGAGGACGGGTTTAATTCGATAGGTCGAGACACCGTTCACCTTGAATGTATAATGCTATTGAGCGCATACACGTGGGAACCGAAAGCAAACAACATAAGCCAGCGCCTTGGATCGTCTGCGCTGAAATGCCATTTCCTTTTTATATTTGCGAGGGAAAGAGAGAGATTTCCTTGATCACATACTTGAATATTCCGGGCACCGCCAGGAATGGTCCCGGAAAAATTCCAACACTTCTGTTTTGAGTTGTGAAAACGCAAACACGAAGTCTGCCTGATATATAGGATGACCCCAAAAATGCAACACTGAAACATTTGCCTTTTTTCCAAAATATGATCTGTGAATTTTGGATATCAAATTAAAGCTGAGAACCTCATCTTTGAAATACTGA